AGGAGGAGGAGGGAGAGACGAGATCTGGTGTTTGAAGAAGTAGGGAAGAGGATGATGAGGCAAACAAACAAATCAAAACGGTTGTTCTTTAGTCCAGAAGTGAGGAAGAGAAGCATTGATACGTCGTATGTCACTTCTTCCTACCACTCTGTTCTGTCCCATCCCACCACATCCTCACTTTTTGCAAATGAGAAAAGTAACAACCTGCACCTATTCCTCTCGACTGCCGTTTCATCCAATTTTGGACGTTTTTTCAATTTAAAATCAACAATGGAGACTGAAGAGACCGAAGGGCTCACAGCCCTCCCTCTTGCCTCGCCCATTAAAGAGGCAACGCCAACTTTTTCCGAGGAAACTGAAGGACTATCAGTCCCCCTTACTACCTCTACTGCCATTAAGCAGATGTCAACTTCCATCGAGGAGAGCAAGCAACTTCAAGTCCTGATTTCCCCCTCGCTTGTCATCGAGCCGATGTCACTGTCTCAACCCAACCCTGGCTGTTTGGAAGAACCAAATCAACAGACCGACAAACCCAACTCACAGCCTGTCAACGTGATAAATCACCAAGTATCTCCTGATCCTGTGATAAAGGAAGCTTTGAAAGTACTCATCGACAACGCCATCTCGGTTGTGGAGTACGGGAATCAGGTTCTATACAGATGTGGATTCGCAGAGGCTCTGATTGTAAGTGATGAAGCTTTTTCTCCACTCGCTCAGATAAGAAATCCAGCTTATAGTATTTTAACAGGTCGTAGAGTGGGTTGTACCCGATGGACAGCTGTTGCTTGCTTCACAGGTGTTGCTCGAAAACAACTGGCCCCGCCTTCTTTACCACGAAAGAGATTGGAATGGCAACCCTAGAGTCCCTGAATACTGGGAAACTCATTACCTGATGCATGCCCTTGATAGCGAGGACTGGATGCGTGTCCATCTTATCCCTCTGTCGTTGGTTGGTTTCACTCTTGAGGACACTGTCGAGGTTCCCTCGACATTTGCCCATGAGCTCCACCTCCTCACCCCCAAACCTCCTCATTACATGTCATCCTTGATACATCATCTCTTGCAACTACCCATTGATCACAATAGCCGAATTCGAGTTGAGAAGGACCTTCTGGGGTTTATTTCTACCTACATCCTCAAAGATGGACCCGCCAATACGACTGTGTGGACCTATCTTAATGACCAGGATAGCGACAAAGACTACCAGAAAAAAGTTGAAGAAGGGGTTCGGTTCATGAAGACATGGGACTGGGGCAAAATTGAGGAAAGATACCTGGCTATGGCTGAATGTGCGGTCCGAGATTGCCGCTACATCAATTCGCTGACGGACGTTCACGAAGAGCGACACACGCCATGAGTTGACCATACGATGTTGCAGGAGCCTTCAATGCAAACAGGTGGGAAATAAATTCCCATTAGCCTGTCTCTTTTTCGTCCGAGGACTCTGCATTCGTTGTCTTCCCCATGGCTTTAGATAGTCATGAACAACAGATTTAGACGTTCTTGTTTTTTCTTAGACATTTCTTATCCTTCTATGAACTTACTTGCAATAAATGGGGAAGTGAAAGAATGCTGTATGTGATAATGCTCAGAAGCTAGGAATTTTCGAGGACTAGTTGTGATGATTTGCTTGACATGCTGTAGTGCACGATTGTGTAGTCGTTAGCGAAACTCTCGACCGAAACTCGCCAGCAGGGCAATTTTCCTGATGCAGAGTTTAAGAAACTAACACCTCCAGCTTCAAGTATTCAAGACTGACCCAGGCCTAGACAAGCATCAAGAGAACGAGCTCAGGTCATCCGGATCAACTGGTGACAGACACCTCGACATGTCTAAGGATTTTGTCCAGATCTACAAGGAATATATTCCAAGGGTTGTCTGCTAAACTCGTGGCTGAATTTGTACGATGATATAGAACAGGTAGAAAGATGAAAGGTATCGAAAAAGTCAAGACGCCGTGACCTTGAAAGCATCGGTCGAAAGTGGAGGATGGAGCGCAGATAAAGATTGGTCATCATTCGTCAATCCAGCCTTAAAACATGTACTTGTGGCAGCCGGGTAGTTTGAAAAGGAACACCGTCCACAGCACAGAATCAATCTGTACGTACTGATTTGTATCATATTGCCATAGGGCCAAGCGTCGAGACCAAGGCCCAGATTCATACCGCCAGTCAAGCCCCGCGGCAATCTATGCACACCCGGGAATTTCCATGTGTACCAATTTAGAGTCCGCTATCATACACACATCATGGCCGAAAGTCAAATCGTGAGAGAGGAAACGTCGATTGTCTCCTCGAGTTGAATGTGGCGGCGCCAATCACCGGCGTCGCTCGAACCAGGCGGACGAGCCCATGACAGCCACTGACTGGTCCATCATCCACTCGCCAACACCCAGGTAGCTGTCAACCCATTTCTTGACATCTTTGTTCTCTGTAATCTTGTCTGAATTGAGGCTGGGGCTAGGAAAGTCCCACGCACACACGGCCCAACGAATGGGGGTGCGCGAAGGGTAACAGAGTTAGCCAATAGTTCTCCCATGCAAGCCGAGGGTATAAAAATGGGCAACAGGCAGAGTGAAAGATGGCTTGGAAGAAGAGGATCGTGAGGGGTTGGAGTGTATTTACGTGAGCCCAGTGGAGCGCTTAACACCTGCCAGGAAGGCGGAGACTGAGATTTAAAGCACCGATTAGTTTGTATTCCGAGGTAAAAGATAGAATTGGAGGACTCACAGAGAACCGCGTCAAATGCGTAGTGGGTAAGACGGCCAAGCTAGATTGCAGCAAGCATCCAAGTCAGTCATATGCTCTTTGTTCCAGTAACCTCGGTTATCCAAGATCAGCCAGCAAAGATCTCTCACCATGATGCTGAGTAGAAGAAGTCAAATCTGTGGTTATTGAGTAACTGGAAAATCACCAAAAAGCTTGAGAGACAAAAGTAATAGGAGGCCCAACCTGTCATGGAGACCGCCCAAAGAGTGGTCACGTGTAAACTCACATGACGTCTCCCAAGTGGCTTTGGATGAGGCTGGTTAAACTGGGTACATACCTGACATAATCCACAGTGTGGCTGGGGCCAGATCACTTAGGTGCCCGCACCTGCCCGCACCTGCCCACCTACAGGTGTGCCCAGGTGCGCACTAGCCCGGATTCGGTCTATCGATAAGCATTCTCATCCCACCGAAATCCCGTTTCGCGTCTTGGCCGTCTCTGAGCTGGGGCTCGATCAATTGGGTGTCTTTATTTGTCACATTTATTCGATAGAAGGACTCCAATCTACAGCGCGTAGGCCAGCACGGGGCGTCCTCCGCTATTCTGCGGTCAACCCAGCCTGGAGTTGATACATAACTCATGTCTTTTTTTCTGCCTGGACTATTTATGCCGCCTCTGCCGATAACTTCAGCTCTTAATTAATAGAAAATTTGGGTACACAATGAGATAGGGACTAAACTAGTCAAATACTCATATGATATAAAATCCACAGTTTAATTTAGTATAGATGTGGTTCGGTGTCAACATGTTGTACGACAGAAAGAGATGTCTTGGGATGGAACCACTGCTCACACCGGCGGCGGCCAACATTTTCCCTCCCGCCCCGCACCCATCCGTTTTCTATTTCCCCTCCATCTCACATCCTTTCTCTTCTACCATCCTCTCTGATTCTCAATTGATCAGAACTATCCTACCCTTTCTAAATCCATTCAACAATTGTTGATCATATCAAAATGGCAGCTACCAACTCCCTCGACCATCTGAGCAACCGCATGAAGCTGGAGTGGCACTCCAAGCTCAACACCGAGATGGTGCCTGCGAAGAACTTCCGCCGCACTTCCATCATCTGTACCATTGGTATGTAAAACCAACGATGAGAAATTTGACCTTGTCAAAGAAGTTGCAACGGAGAAAAAAAAACCCCCCGATTACTGACAGGCAATCGATCAGGTCCCAAGACAAACTCCGCTGAGAAGATCAATGCCCTCCGCACAGGTATAGCAATGAAGTTTCCGCTGGAAATGGACAGCGTTGTTGGGTGTATAGACTGACATGGCCATAGTCGGTCTTAACGTTGTTCGCATGAACTTCTCCCACGGATCATACGAGGTCAGTTTGTCCAATCAACATCTGATGAAGACCTTCGCTGACAGTGTCTGCAGTACCACCAATCTGTCATTGACAACGCTCGCGAGGCCGCCCGTATCCAGATTGGTCGCCCTCTCGCCATTGCCCTTGACACTAAGGGCCCCGAGATCCGTACCGGTAACACCGTTGGTGACAAGGATTTCCCCATTAAACAGGGCACCGTGCTCAACATCACCACCGATGAGGCATACGCCACTGCTTCTGATGACAAGAACATGTAAGAACGTTTCCATTGCCGAAGGGTGAATTGTTTCAACCGACATTCGCTCAATATAGTTGCGTAGCTGGGCGAGCTTGGCATGTGACGTGGACTGACAAGAGTGTGACGACAGGTACTTGGACTACAAGAACATCACTAATGTGATCACCCCTGGCAAGCTCATCTATGTGGATGATGGCATTCTGTCCTTTGAGGTGATCGAGGTTGTTGATCAGCAGACCATTAAGGTCAAGTGCCTGAACGACGGCAACATCTCATCCCGCAAGGGTGTCAACCTTCCCGGCACTGATGTAGATCTCCCCGCTCTCTCTGAGAAGGATATTGCCGATTTGCGATTCGGTGTCAAGAACAAGGTCGACATGGTCTTTGCCTCATTCATCCGTCGCGGCAGCGACATCAAGCACATTCGTTCCATCCTTGGCGAGGAGGGTAAGGAGATTCAGATCATTGCCAAGATTGAGAACCAGCAGGGTGTCAACAACTTCGATGAGATTCTCGCAGAGACCGATGGTGTTATGGTCGCCCGTGGTGACCTCGGTATCGAGATCCCCGCCCCCAAGGTCTTCCTTGCCCAGAAGATGATGATCGCCAAGTGCAACATCAAGGGCAAGCCTGTTATTTGTGCCACCCAGATGCTGGAGTCCATGACATACAACCCCCGTCCCACTCGTGCCGAGGTTTCTGATGTTGCCAACGCCGTTCTCGACGGTGCCGACTGTGTCATGCTGTCTGGTGAGACCGCTAAGGGTAATTACCCTTGCGAGGCCGTCAAGATGATGTCCGAGACCTGCTTGCTGGCTGAGGTTGCCATCCCTCACTTCAACGTCTTTGACGAGCTGCGCAACCTGGCCCCTCGCCCCACTGAGACCTCCGAGTCCGTTGCTATGGCCGCTGTCAGCGCCAGTTTGGAGCTGAACGCCGGTGCAATTATCGTTCTGACCACCAGGTATGTGCCGGAACAGCGTCTCTGTCGTTTGGTATGACGATCATGCTAACAAGTCCATAGTGGCAAAACTGCCCGCCTTATCTCCAAGTACCGTCCCGTCTGCCCCATCCTGATGGTCACTCGCAACGAAACCGCTTCCCGGGTAAGTCAAATTCGATCGTTCGAATGGCCGTTCTTTGCTGACAATAGTTTCCAGTACTCCCACCTGTACCGCGGTGTGTGGCCGTTCTACTTCCCCGAGAGCAAGCCTGACTTCAACGTCAAGATCTGGCAGGAGGATGTCGACCGTCGTCTCAAGTGGGGTATCAACCACGGTCTCAATCTCGGAATTATCAACAAGGGCGACCCCATCGTCTGTGTCCAGGGATGGCGTGGTGGTATGGGCCACACCAACACCGTTCGTGTGGTGCCCGCCGATGACAGCCTCGGTTTGGCCGATGAGTAAATCTGGAAGGTAAACTTTCGGTGATCAGTGGTCCAGTGTGCTTTGTTTACCGCCGGTGTGCGGATGTGATACATAACTCTTTTTTCTCTTATTGCCGCCTTTTTCTTTTGCTTTCGAAGCCAAGTTTGTTCTGCGCCGTGTGGTCTGGACCACAGTCTGGAAGGTTAATGCATTGCTCATGTAAATGAAACGAATTTAATGCTTTCCGGTCACGTTGGTGGGACAGTAAGACTTCACAATTCAAATTGAATAGACATAGAACTGGTATTTAGTCCTCAAGTCCTTGTAGATTTTGTCGTACGTCGAGAGTTCGCAATTGTCATAGTAGTCTCACACTCGCACACCAATGCATAGACTCACTTGCCCTGAATTCCACGCGCGATTGAAACTGGAATGATCCTCTTCAAAGACTATTTCCGTCCAAATAACTTGCAAGAAGAAAAGAATCGAATCGAACAAAAAGCAGATGCGGGGGACGTACACCCGAGGCAGGGCAGCTTAAAATCCCGATACCGGGACTGCTCCATATGCCCGAGGGTGTGTGACTCTATTACCCGGGCAGATACCGCAGATGCCGCAGATGCATTCTATGCTTCCACCTCTCTCGAGCAGGGAGTCGTGCGAATTTTGAAAACGTCTCAACGTTAGATCAGCGAAAGAAATCAAAATGAGAATTCCAAAAAAAAAAGGGTCTGTAAATTCGTCAGACAATTTTCGCGGAGCCTTTACCGTCCCGAACCCGGTTTCTGCCGATAGTTTCAACAACGCTCTGGTACACTCCGTACAGCTATCTATGTCATACGAGGTGGAAATTATATGGGGTCTTCGTTAGGGACGGACATCAAAGTTAGCTTGGAACCCCGTTCCTGGAGTCTTATGCACAGTACATGTCATTGTTGATTAGTATACTATGTACCGTCCTGTGGATGTCACCTAAAATCTCACGTCGGTATGTTTTGTACATGGACAAATTCAGTTCTACTTTCCAAATCTTCAACATAGCTGTGTAGACAAAAATCATCTTGCATCACTCGCAAAGCTCAACTTTCGTCTTACAATCCAAATCGTCGACAGAAGATTTGCCGAGTGGGCTCGCGATGAAAACAGCGTATATAAAAGCTGGTAGGTAGCGAAAGCTCTTCTGATATAGCGAGCATAGACTCACCTATTTTATTCCCTGTCCCTTCTGCAAAATTTGTCTGTGTATGCTTAAACCCCTCTAGTTTCCAGGCATCCCCCCGCCCAAACTGCGAACAGAATTCTCGGCACATACCACAAACCCTGGTTGCTCCCAAGATCTCGATCGTTTTCCCTAGATCACTTATGCCCCACCCCTAGCAATCTTGATTTTTTTTTACAAAAATCTGGGAATCCGCCATACTCCGAGGACTTATGCTCAGAGTGCTAGGAACAGATCCAAAACGTGAAAGTTGCCTGCGTAAAGGAACGGGCTTAAGCATGGCTGAGTGGACGGGAAGTCCTATTTGCCACACCCTCGAGTCACATCTCTCTCCCTGTCTATTGCACACTCACCCTTCTTTCTCATCAGCCTGTCTCATCATCACCCCTATTCATACTTGATGTAAGCCTCTTAATAGTGTAACTTTATACCCTAAACTCGGCCCAACGTGTCTCCTACTATATATCTCAGCCTTAGGGCATTGAGCCGCACAGAGAACACCGAAAACGATGTAGTCTTAATGCAAAATTTCAAAGTTAGTTACAATTTCTCTAGCAGATCATTCGATACCCCAGTTAGTAGGGAGGAGAGGGGCAACATTAATGTCCTGTGCACTTTGTTTCAATCGCTTGTGTGGCAGGTGTTCAGGAAGTGACTCTTATCTGTGTGATTGAGGGCATCAAGTGCTATAACCGTGAAGTGTATGCGCTAGCAATGAGAACGGTGGTCATTCGACTTGTGGGTTTAATGCAGGATCTCTACATGGGCAGTGTGATGAAGGGTTTGGTTACGAGTGCTTTGGAGACCAGGATTGCTCGAAAAGGCCTTTGTGGGCTGTGGCACAGAATCATCCGCTAACTCTCTAGCATTGGAACGGGAGCCCAGCGACCTATTTCCAAGGCTCAAGTAGTTCTTGGGTTAAATTGTGAACCAGATGCAGTTACAATGTCATTGAGGCAACTTTCATCCTTCCGAATGTGAAGAGGGAGAAGACATTGTCGTGGTAATTGTGAATGAGCATGACTGTATGCCAATCTTTTGTGTCGACATAGATCGTCGACTGATCATTCATTCCCAAGAAAAGATTCAGGAGCAACTTTATGCAGATACGAATATGGAGAGAACTCCTCTGTTATTGGAAAATTCCCAGGTAGAGTAGTGACGAAGGCCCTCTAATCACATCGTGAAGCATCTTTTCCTCTGATACTCTTCACGCGAGGTGACTACCAACTAGCCTTGGAAGGTTGCACGTATTTAATCAACTGAGTCTACCACAAGTCAATTATGCGGATTGTTCCAATCCAGATCGACATTGTTAGAGCTGTGTTTGGTTTTTTAGGTGCCTGAAGCCGACGACATTGCACCGCAAAATAACCCTATTTTCTTTCTTTTTTTTTTTGGTCTACTGTCTTGTCCTTTTGGATCGACAAGGGAGTGACACTTGTTGATTTAACCCCACTCCCTGAGATCTTTGGTTCTGAGTATCAGAGTATTCCAATAGCACCTATGCCAATTCACACTCGATAAGACTCTCGGATCCTCTCTGGGCACTCCAAATCTTCGTGATTTTCAGTCCAGCAGATCCCACCAGTAGGTGCCAGTGAGCTTCAGTCCGCTCGGTCGAAGCTACATCAGCCATCATGATAATATCCAGACTGGTTGTCTCCCAGTGTGCGTTAGTATGAGGGATGATATTCTCGTTTATCAGCAACTTGCTGTGTCCCCGCTTCATGGCATCCACCAGACCCTTTAGGATTTTACGGCAGTCATCATCTGGCCAATCGTGAAGGACGGAGTGCATGTAGTAAGCGCGAGCTCCTACAGAAGCTAAGATTAGCTTTGGTCCGAGCTGAGAGTGTGGGTCATGGTGGGGGAAACGATACCCTTGATAGGCTGCTCAGTGAAGAAGTTATGCTCCATTGCCTCGATCGAGGGGTGCAGTTGCCCAGTCTTGGCTTGTGCAACCACATCGGACACGTCCTGGAGCACCAGACGCCCAGGAGCAGCAGACCACTTGCGCCTGAACTCCAAGAGATCGTGGCCTATGCCGCCACCGACATCGACGAGGAGAACATCATCCTGTGCGACATTCGAGAACAGGCTGGGCACGTCGTAGAAATCAACATCCATCCAGCTAGGACGCCCTTGGTGATAGATAGACATGTGGTTGCTAAATAGGCCACCAATCTCTGGGTTCTCCTTCATGAACTCGAAGAAGTGAAGATCGGTTCTGAATCCGCGCTGGAAGGCACAATCTTTACCATTGGCCGGGTTAGTGTAGCCATTCTTCTTGAGCTGGGCAGGCAGAGCAAGCATGCCGGAGGTGATGCAGTTAGTCCTAACTAACGAAATGAGTATCAAGCTTTTTTATTTTAACTTTGAATTCCAGGTCTATGGGCTCTGACTTACGTGCATGCGTAGGACCCACTGTATCGTTGCAAGCTCAACGAAATGGAAGTTCCGGTGCGGCGATATTCATTAGGACCGGTCTCGAGGATGACCCCCATTGCGCACAAGTGCTTCAGGATGCGAGCTGATCAAATTTATGGTTCGTTGTGTGAATGGACAAGACACATGGCGAGATAGGAAGTCACATACCAAGAAGAACTGGGTCAGCCCCGGTGGCCTTCGCCAGCTCATCAGCAGACTTGGGCTTCTCATCTTTAGACAAGACCGCAAAAAGTCCCAGATCAACAGCGATCTCCATTGACGCAAACAGAGTAGTCTATGAAGTCAACATTAATTTCCATCAATGACAAAAAGGGGAGGTTCTAGAAACACGGGAACATACCTGGGACCAACAATGTCTGATAATAACTTCACGCGGGGTCTCAAGGGCATAGACCAGGGACCGGGCGACTTCCAAAAGTGTTGTTCGATCGGTGTAGTCTTGAAGGCGGACACCTTTGCCAAGGGAAGCAACTTGATCGACCAGGCCAGGAACCAGCTCGGGTGTGTTGGCGGACATTGCTATGTGGTCGAAGAAGACATCCTGGAGGTCTTCGTTGGCTTGATTTGTGCCGTTTGTGCCGTTCGTGCCGTTCGTGTGGGTGGTTTTAATCAACGGACTGCTTACGATGTCGGCCATAATGGATGAAGTTTTAACAAGTCAGCCTGAAAGTACAAGAGGATTCCCAGGTTGTAACTTGACTAGCCAAATTATTCGAAGGGTCTTGAAATGAAAACCTTTTTTTTTAGCTAAGCCCTAAGTCTCGAGACACGCTGCAGTCACTTTTCTTTTTCGGCAACCAAAGCTACACCGGCTGAGCAAGGGGTGGAACAGGGTGCAATCCTATGGGCCCGCAGTCACAAGGATCGACCTGAATTAATCCCATATGGGTTGCGTCGACGTCTTGTGTTGTTCCTATTCGGGAAATAGACTAGCACATGGTGCAACATCGAGCTACTTTGTACTATAGTGTGTCTGTTCTAGTGGGGACTAAAAAGAAATCAGATCAAAAGTACTAGAGGTAGTTGTGGCAAGCTGACCTGGGCCAGCTTGAAACTAGTCAATTTCAATTGTACCATGTTTTATCAAGGCGAAGATTCTGACCGAACCTGAGAAAAGAGAAATATAGAGATCACCCCCAAATCTTGTCAAACGGGTGGCGGACCGGCGCTCTGAGGGTGGACTCTAATTTATCAATTTGGATTCGATGATGTGCGTGCTCAGTACATGTGTCTGGCTCAACTTGGGGGTTAGGAAGCCAGCGGACATTTGGGCTAGATATAGAGACTGACAACACAGGGGACTCATTTCGATATCTAAACAGTACGTAGTCTGTACCTCCGGGGCTATTTACGATGTAGAACTGGAGGCCCGTCCACAAGGGATCATAAATCTAAACTGCTCGAAAAGAACACATATCCAAATTGACAAGGATTTCATCCAGCAATCGAAAGTGACTTGGGGCTGGCGATGAAAATGTTGATGTGGAAGGAGTGTCTAAAAAGAGGCAATGTAAAATGATAATAAGAAATTCACAACAAATGAAAGGATCACGCTGCGCTCCACCTCTTCATGCAAACTCATCAGGTCGTAAATCATTAGTATGAGTTATTCCAGCTGGCAGATCCGAATGAGGACTGTCAACCAAGAATCCTTTAGTAACCAGAGTCTTTCGCAAGCCCGTTCCCACCAACAGTCTCAGCTTCAGTGGCCTGGTTCTCATAGCGATATATCCCATTGGGTTGGAATTGATGCCAACAGCTAAACAAAGTCAGTATCCAGGCGCACACTCGAGAGAAGATGTACCAACTAACCTTGGAGCTTGAAGCACGTACCTGGCCATTGCCTCACGGAAACGGCCCTTGTATTCCCTGGGACTGGTGACCGTTGGTCGATTGCGGCCACCGCCAGCAAATCCTTTGTCCTTGATCCAGGACTCGAGTTTCTTGTCCCAGGTGTAGGTACGGATGCAGTCAATGATACCCACCACTAGTTCATTGCGACTTTCATCGATGGCGATCATGAGCGAGTAGTCCATGACATCTTGACGACCCAAGAAGAGTGTGTCATTCCATACGCTTTGGCCAATAAGCTTCTTTGAGTGCTCACGGGCAAAGAGAGGTGTCTCGTAGATGAAATCCACCATGTTCTCGTCCAAGAGAACCTCGTTCCGTTCACCGGTGCTTTCTACTTTGCGGTTTCGCATTGAGCCTTTAAGATCGAAGATGCGCGTAGGGACACGGTCGTAGAATAAGTTCTCCATTAGCAACAAGAACCAGTTGAACTCTGTTCCCGTGACTGGGTTCTTGATGATGACTTGGTAAAAGCCAAACATCTTAGCGATGGCGGAAGGGAGTTCATGGAATAGGGCTTCGGACATGATTTGGAAATAGGCCGGGGCAAATTTGAGGAAAGCCTGCGTCTCAATTGGCGAGAGTGACTTGAGAATGAAACGGTCATCAAGGGTCTTCAAGAACAACGATTTTGTTTTGCCACCCTTCGAGTCCCACTTTGCGCACCGAGACAAAGACTCAACAATTCGATCTGCCACACCGCACTTTTTCCGCAGGGCATCGAACTGCTCGGCGTAGAACACTTTGCACAGCATTTTGGCCTGGCCTTCCTGGAATTGATACTTGAGGTGTGTGCCTGTAGGTCGCAGGAGAGCATGTTCGACCCGTGCTTCCTTCACAGCCTCATTGTCATCTGCACCTGGCTTCTGTTCTTCAACCTCGTCAAACCGCTGTTGAATGCTTGACAGTTTCTCTTTGTAGTCTGAAGAATCCAAAGCGAACGCTACCAAAGAGCTTGGTTCATCCTCGCGAACAATGATATTGCAATCGGCAAATACATGATCCATGACACTGAGTGGATAATCAAGAGACGCCCACCCACTTGCAGAGCGTTCGGACCAGAAATTTGTCAGGATTTTCAGAAGCGTATTGCGCTCATGTCTAGGTAGTTCTTTGAAATCAATTGAGTCATCCTCTGCTGAGTGTTTGGTCTCTTCATGGGAATCTACCGGATGGAGATCTTCAACCATGTTTTGATCCTCATCACTTTGGTGGTCGTCTACCTCGCCGCCAGACAGCAATTGGTTGTCAGAGCAGAGCGCGCTGTCTACTTCCGTAGGCGTCGGAGGAGAAGAGTTTGGCAGAGAGGGCTCTTCATGAGTTATATCATCATGTGTAAGTTCATCGCTCTTGCGACTCAAGTCGTCCATTGGGATCCGTGGAACCGAGGGCGAAGATTCATCATTATCAACCGGTGGTTCACGTTCTTCAACAGCTTCTCGTACATTTCGATAGACCTCCACGATGGGCTTCGAGGACGCCAATGGGAATGCTCGGGACTGGGTACCCTTAGCAGCACGTTGACGTCTTTCACGCTGTCTCTCTTTTTCGAACTCACGACTCAATTGCTCAAAATGCCTGGCGAGATTGGAAACCTGCGATATTCCCCTTTTGCCTGGAGCAGACCGTGGGATGAGTGAGTGGCCTGAGCCAAATCGGGCATTCTTGAGGGAACTCAAGCCCAAACGATCGCTCAGCTTTCTATCCGATGGCTTTGCTGATGATTGGACTGCAGGCTTTTCCGGATCAATTAGATTGGTGAATGCCAATTTTAACCCTGGAAGTTGAATGCTGTGGGTCGATCGTGGTAGATTGGCTGGCTGGGACTGAGCACGTACAAGCGGAGGGGATCGTACCTTACCCGTGCGTCGCAAGGCTGGCTCGGTAGGTCTCGGTATCGCTGAAGGCCGACGTACTGGGGTACTTTGCAAGTCGGAAGCGCCGCTGTCTTCGGTCTCATTCTGGGATCCTTGATCGGGCATCTCGGAAATTTCTGGCAGTGAGGATTCCGATGATCCGTCGCCGGGCACCATCATTGGAAGACTAATGTTGGAGGGAGATTGATTAGAAATATCAGCATTGCCGACGGAGCTGTGTTCCGATTGACCAGTAGGAACAGCCAAGTCAAGATGACGGATTTCTTCTTGTGAGACAGCCTCATCCTGAGGCGAGGGCCTCGTTCCACCGGCAGCATCAAGTGTCAAACTTGATTCCTCTGCTGATACTGGAGGCGAGGGCATCTCAACTTCCTGGAGTTCCTCGCGGTGCTTTTTGCCAGCATGCTCCTCGACAACGGAAACCAGTACATCCTGTGCCTTTTCGGGCGACAATGTCATGCGTCGCATCTTACGTGGCCTGTCAACTTCCTGGTTGCTTTCGTCTTCAACGTCTGTCGGAGTTTGAAGGGTGTCATCTGCAGAAACCGATGTTGCGTCTTTGTCGAGGAAGATCTTTTTGAGTTGCAGCGTTGCCATATGCTTGATATCCTTTTCAGATGGGAAAAAGTTCATTTCAAAATCGGCAAATGTCATGTCCCATTCGACAACCTTTTCTTGAACTGCACGGAGGACCTCATTCAGCGGTATGATCTCCCAGTAACTCGAACTTGTGTATTTTTCTTGCAAGTACCGAACCAAAGAGCTATGGTCTTCATGGCCCTTCTTGATCAAAGTTTCGATTTCCGTCTTGCAGCTTTCCAGCAGCTCGGGAACAACACTCTCGACATTGATCCGTTTCAATCGGTCTTGAACAGATGCCATGAATTTGCTGATACGCTGCTCGGTACGCAAGTATACTTCGTTCCTCAGCTTCAGATCATTGTCCACCTTCCAAGTGACACGAGGCCGTGGAACAATAATCTCGAGGAGACGAATAGGGTCATATTGGACTCGCAAAGCAAGATCTCTGTAGCCAAAATAGTGGAAGTAGTCCCGCCGCAAATCATGCGAGCAACCCCCAGTACGAGCAAGCAAGTGTCTTCCCCAGAAAGAAAGCTCCAAGTATTTTCCGAATGAATATTTCCATGTGTTCTGCGACATAGGCATGACTTGAGTTTCATTGCCACAAACTTTGCAACAGCTCCACATCAGCACAGAGTTGTGGAGCCCACGGAGTTTAGAAGGATAAGGCTGGACCAGGACGCTGATCTGAGCCTCGCCATGGACGTACTGGCGGTGGTGCTCGAACATGCGCTTCTCGCAGCCGTTGACGGTGCATACGGAATTTGCTGTGTGACAAAGGTCCTCCACATACTGTCCGACGGTGAGATCAGACTCGAAAATTGTGTCATCCCCGTGCTCATTGTAGAACTCTAGGGCAAAAGTATCTGGTCCTGAGCAGGGGACTGATGTTGTTGTGCACACCAGGCTGTAGAGTATGACCAGATTCTGATGTGCGTAAGGGTCAAACATGTTGGGATTCCCCGCAACAAAGGCTTCCCATTGTCTTTTTTGGGTTTGATGGTGATAAAGCGCCCGATCGTACTCGGCTTCATGCGCAGCATGCAGCACTTCCTTTACTTTTGCCGGCGCATCTTGCGGTGATTGATGGACCATTTCCGGGGTGATGAGAACAAATTTCTGCGGTTTGACCTTTTCATCTGTGGTCTGATCTGAGTTGCGGTCTTGATCACGAAGAGACTTCAGATACGAAAGTCTGCGTTCCATTTCGCGCGCACGCGTCAAGAGATACGGAGGCTCGAATTTCACGAAAGGAGAGGCTGACAAAATCTTTGTGTCATAGTCCTTAACCACATCGTTATAGTATGTCGGCATTGGAATGTTATCTGGAACTTTTGCAGCATCAGCATCCACGAGAACTTGGCCATCGGAGATATCATCGTATTTCTCGTTCGTTCCTTGTTGAATACATTTATCGATAAGACGCGCGTTGCCCTCGTGGGCAAGGGCCTGGGAACTGAATTTCTTGTCTTTGTCGGACACAATTGTTGATTCTTCTGTCGGTGATGTTGATATCTTCCCGAATTCATCCCGCATAAGATTTGTTTCTAGGCGGAGATTGTACACAACGTAGACCATGAATTCAGTGATTCTTTTCACTTTTCCAAGGACTTGATCATCTCCTCCGCGCAGAATTATAGTACACCCCAGCTCTTTCGGACAGCCAGAAATATACATATATGTTTTCTTTCGGCCATTATGAACGTATGTTTTCACGTCGAAACTGCTGCATTCACTATGCAATGTGGTCGTCAAGAGCTTGTCCATAGATGTCATAATTCTAGTCTGTGTACATCTCGACACAGCCTCGAGAACAGATGGCTTCACGTTGTATGCAGTGGCAATTCCAGCTTGCTCGAGGAGGCCAAGGGCTAGGCCAGAAACAGTTTTCTCAACCAACAGTAGGTTTGGACGCAGTGCTGAGATCCGACTGACCAAGTTCTCTAGAAACTCGCGCTCCTGTCGAATGACAGGTTCGAGGCTCATGAAATGCTGTTGCTGACGAGCGTATTCAAGAGGAAATGTGATGATCAAGATGTTTGGACATAGAATGTTTCGTGACATGCCTTTCAGAGCTAAGTTTTTCGTGAATACGAGTCCCGATACATAAGAAGTGTCACTAGGTCGGCCGCCCGGAATCTTCTTCAACTTGACGTAGTGTCGAATGTCCATATCATCCCCTTTTTGGACATCTGGGTCGACCTCGTCTGCTGCTTTCAAGAGTATCGGCATCAAGGCGTTTTCCCAGCTGTCACCATTTGGCACAGTAGACTCCACAAGCAGTTGATGCAGAAGCTTTCGTACGTGTTCAAGACTGGCTTTGTTCAATTCCACTGGTGGCGCATCATTGCCCCTCATTGATGAACTCCGAGTCATCTTAAACCCGACCTGCTTCGTTTTCTCGGGTAAAGATACGACTGGTGCTAAGGTATCATGAGGAAGCATATTATCCTTTGATGTCCTGGGTGAATGGCGTGGTTGATAATTACTAGTGACGCTCAGGTTTCGGCGACGAGAAAAACGCGGTAGGTTCACGGCTCTTGAACTGGTGATACTGGTTTCGTCCGCATCTCGATTCATACTGGGAATAGTTCTGTCTCCAAAAGCCGATCTGCCCTTTTTCATGGCAGCGAGAAGCCCACCAAAGGATGCCCTCTCATTTTCCCCCCCACTTTTGGATAGAGCGCTCTCAGAGACTGCAGACAAGAGACTAGGTTGCTCATCACCACTGGATGCATCATCCGAGAGATATTGGGCAATTTCTGGGTCAATGATATTATCTTTATGGAAGGCGGGGAGTCGAGATTCAGCGTCTATGTCATCTGCATGTCGGCGTTGAAAGGGAGCGCGATCTTCATGAAATGGCTTGAAGCCCCGAATATATTGCTGCCGAGAGTGGTGGCGTTTGTGACTGATAGAGTGTGGTCTTCCACTCAGCGAGGACCGTAGAGAGCGTGAAGAGGTAGGTCGTACTAGAGGACGATCAGAATCTATTTCAAGGATTGCCGAGCGGCGGTTATGTCCCTCTCCAGCCCGTCGTGTGGCCGGTATGGCCATCGTCGGGGTTCTCAAAACATGATCGATCGATTGAGATACAGCCGAATATGAATCATCGTCATCAGCAGATGTCGGCCCAGTGTTGGTCCAGCTGAGTTCGGAAACTCGAGGATTCCCCACTATGGGGCTCTGCTCGCTATCGGAGAGTTCAGACGAATCATCGTCGTGTGCATTAATCATCTTCTCGCAGGGTTTGCATACCCGGATCCTCCCAGGTTGTCCAAACCGTGTTCCCGAAATAAGCAGAGTGCATTTCGAATCAAAGATTTGACCACAGGTTCGGCAGTGGTGTTTTCTGCGAAAAGTTGTGAAAGATTCTCCGCAATGAAAGCAGTCTTTAGCATTCTCGTCCCGCATCCAGAAATCTCTGCTAAGCAGTTTACTCCTTAGCTGTGACAAAACGCTGTCGCCCCCAGCGGGAGGTTGGCGCCTGGCTTGCAGAGATTGACCAGTAGGCCGCTCGAATTCAGTGTTTAGAGAAGGCAATGAAGAGACTGTTGTGGTAGTTTCAGCTGTGGAGGCCCGTGAAATCACGTAACCAGGCAATCGCGCTGCTCGGATTGAGGGCGTTGACTCTTCATTGGATCTGCTGGGGGCTGCAACCTTGGGGGGTTCATTGGCGTTGGCGCTCTCACGAGGAATATTTGTTTCCATGTTGGTTTGGAGGCTTTCGGCTTTGTAAGGTGCTTCATCAAGAGAAGAAATTGATAGACTTTTTGACTTAGAGACTGAAGCCTTCAGCTCCTCAGAAGGAAGATATGCTCGTGATTTAGAATTTTCTCCTGAGCGCTGTGATGAATTGTCCTGAACCAACTCAGATTGCTTGATGCTTTGCATGTTAGTTGATTGCGAGGAGTTTTCGGGCAGCGTTTGTTGATTTGAAGCAGGGACGGACGTTCGAGACTGGTTGTCTGCAGTATAGGTTGCTGAGAAGAGTGTGTCCTTAGAGTTGAATTCCTCATGATGGCTGTCATGCATCTTTGTAGACAGGACAGGCGAACTAGATAGGTTCTGACTCCATGAAGAGGATGTTTGACTCATAGAAATTTCCAAAAGGCCTTCTTTGTTGCCGATGCTTGTCGACTCTGCATTGTGATTACCCTGGAATGGACCATTGATGGAGCTGCTTCTTGAGCGATCGGAGTTCCCGATCACACTCACATGAAGTTGAGTGACAGCAGGATCTGCCACAATAGCACTGCCCGTGGCTTTCGTTAGTGGTGCGATACTGGGCTTGATTCCAGGGGATGGTGACACAGAGGCCTTAGAAGATATGCTGCCACTTTTGGAGGATATTCTTGATCTCTTTCCTAAATTCGACAGTTGTGCAAGGTCTTGATGAGTGTGAAAGTCTGGCACAACAGGCGAGTGAAGCCTTAATCCTTGGGACGAGTTGGGCTGTGACGGCAGATAATCAGCGGAGCTTGTAGCTAGATCTGAGACTGGTTTTGCAATTGAACGCTCCAATGGAGGACCCTTGATTGCAGGAGCTTCTGTCGCATTTTTGTCTGTAGACTTTCCGCCACCACTGACAATGTCCCTCACTCCTCCGACGGAAGTCCTAAAGCGACTATACAACCCGCTTAGTCCACCTTGTAATTCTCCAGAGAGTGCTTTCTCATCCGATGTAGCAGCTGGATCTGGTGGACTGGTGAATTCGTTGAAAAGAGTGAGTGATTCAGACTGGTACGCTGCATTATGGTAGTTATCCAGAGCTGCATTCATCGATTCTCGTTCAGTCTGCGTCGTAGCCAGAGAGCTGTGTGATCCGCATCGCCCAAGAGGAAGAGTGTTGGAAGACACAGATGGACTGTGCGAATCCTGAGGCTGCTGAGAATCCATGCTCATGTTAGGCAGAAAGGTCTCATCATTTCCATACAGGATGCAGGCACCGTTGATAGCCGACCATTCGCGGTCGGATTGCGGGAAGGTCTCAGGTTTGGCGAGTTTGAAAGGAGGAAGAGGATTGAGAATCCGATAGAAGCGTCTGTCAGGGCGATCAAAGAAACTTCTTTTTTAAAAAATGAGCAGGTCCCTCTGCTCTCCGCACTTTGAATGACGTGGTGGTGCTGAGTAAGCCATGCGCGTCTCCCCGGCTGGTCGCAATCGATAAGACGCGGTGGGTTTTTAGATACGGTGAGACCTTCCTCTTTTTTTCTACAAACGCCGGGACTACAATCATCCCACGTTCACTGCTTACACTCTTACCAGCTATGATTCATATGCTGTGTGCCAAGTTGATCACAAGGCTGGATTCGCACGATGGATCCAGTAAGTCCCTGGATCGCGGCCTTGGCCGACCAATGTCTCTCATTCTACCTCGGTCAAAATGATCAAGATGAATTTCAGGTGGAGGATGTCGATGGATGTCTCAGCTTCACTATCTGCAGGCCCACGCTTAAGAAAGCTGTTGTTGTATCGGTAAGATATCTCAACCAGCTGCGAAAAGCAAAAAGCCAATGAATTGTCGCTAACTGCATCTCTCTTGTCTAATAGTGGGAACAAGGAGAGCAAAATCATCGCGCTACATTCGCAGACTCAAAGAACCATATTGATGCGATTGTTTCACGAGAATCGCCAGATACACAGGGAGCAACCTCGCCGTGCCCACCTTCGGTCAAAGGGGGGCCTAGGCACCTGGTTGAACTTTCTGATATCAGGCTCCTTTTTACGTACTCAGCAGCTAGCCCAGACATCTGCCTTTACGTAAATCGCTTGACCATCCACCGGAATGCGGTCCCAAAAGGGGATGCGCCAAAACCAAGACCCAAGAAGGCAGCGGCTCTCAGAACATTAATGACTATGGCGTGCGAGAAAATCCAACAGACCCGAGAGCATGCTGGCTCGTGTAGTAAAACAAATACCGGCTTGACTGATTCTTTTGTTTCTCATCGTGACCAAGCCATGCCTCATTCTCCAAACAACTCGGTATCACAATTGCTCTTCTCCCAACCCCCACCTAACATGCGCCATGACGCCCCGAAGCGAAATGCAATGGCCAATCGCGTTTCCCTAAACGGGCCATCGGATCTTCTAGGGTTGCTAGCGCCTTCTCACCTAATTCAAACGAAAGACACGGCTACCGATGCGACACGCGCTGGTGAATCTACTACCAACGATCCGTCCTATTCCAATCTCAAACGAGACGTGGACAAATTGATAGCGGATTGTAGGGCTCAGGGTGCCCAATCTTCAAGTGAGTTAGATGATCATGGCCAGCCGTACACTGTTAGAACGGGGGACAACCTGCAGTCTTCAAAGAAAAGATATCATGGCAGTACAGATGCGTCACCCCAAGCAGCTCACGATGAAGATCTGGACTTGCAAGGCCGGCACAGTTCCAATCAATCACCCGCAAAAAAGCGGCAGCGTACTGATGCTGGGGAAATGCCGGTGGACCCAACTGAATTTGAGCAAGTGCAAAACAAGCCCGTGCCGTCCCTTCCTAGCGTGCACGTTATAGGCACTAAATCAGACAATTTTTCCCCATCTTCAACGAATCCATGGGAAGGAATGACAAAGATACCCTTAAGCGAAGTTGAAATTCCAAGAGATCAGGCAGAACTTTTGGAAGGACTCAAATGGATCCCTCAAGATCCCGGCGTATCTGCACCTCTATGTCACGTACCTCCTCATCTTTTGACGCGGTGGAACTACACTGCACAAAAAAGGCAAACTTTGGCAGAAGAACAACAAGAAGAAGTGGATCAAGTATCTGAACGTGCCTTTACGCCGACCCAGCAAGAATTGTATACATATTCCATACCATGGTCTCTGTCCCCCGATAGGACTCCTGCTCGAGATGTTCTTCCACGGGACACTGCTTCTCCCCCATCATACATACGGCCTACTGGAGAAAATTCCATGCCAAACAGCACTCGACCTAGCGTTGATCAATCTGCAGAATATGACAATGTGGTGAGCGTGGTGAATTTATCTTGCAGTGCTCCTTCTCAGTCAAGGCAGGATGATATTGATTGGTCAGAGGACGGCGTGAACACAGCAGACCACCAACGTCCTCTGTCTCCCGAAGAAGTAACAGCAAAACAAAGACATTCCATATCTTTGGACCATGGTCCCGGAGATGACCCTTTCCCAAAGCACAACGGTTCAAAGTCGCTCGATGTGGTCAAAGTCCATCCCCCAAGTACCTTACAAGAACATCATTCCGAGGAACCATCTGCAGAGAATGCCCCACTTAAATTTAAACCGTGCGATGAATCAAGTAGCGATGAGAGCGATGGGCCAGAGATGGAAACATTTGTTCCTTTCGCTTTGGGTGGAAGCGTTCCATTAAGCAGTCAGCCTGAGCCGGAACTCACTAGCTCAGGGCCGTTACTTCCAAGGTTTGCAGGGGCGACTATCCAAGTGATCGAGACACCTGTGGTCCGCGCCACATACCTGAACACTGAGAAGAATAGCAAACAGAGAGCAGGATTTCAGGCGCCGAGCTCTCAGCAGCCATCCTCTCAGGCTCCGAAGACATCCCCCTCGTCTCGAATTCTCAATACCTACCGCTCACAAGAGAGCCAAGGGCACAGTGACTTATCGCAGGAGGCACCATCTCTACCTTTGCCAGTGCTGGAAGACGAATCACTGGGAGTGGATGTGCTTAGTACTCAGACTCAAACTAGCAGCGTACATGCACCATCGCAGGCGACAGTCCAGTCGTCCTCGGACATTGTACTTGATTCGTCGAGACCTGCTCAACGACAGCGTGGATCGTCTATCTTTCATTTAGACCCCTCGGATGACCCGTCCTCTTTTCCTCACGCCAGCTGTCATTCGCTGCCAACATCTCAACCTCATGAACCAAGCCTAGATTCTTCGAGAGGACCGTTCTCCCTCGATGGAGCCTCGCAGTTGCCAGAATTGTCCCCTACTGAACTCACCACCTGGGTCGCTGCTCACGGAGAGTCGCCATGCAAATATCCACGCTCTCCGCGCTGCAAGAATGCTGATGCTAGCCAAAAGTCATCTCACAGTGCAAATGCCGAGTTGGTAGCGCGGCGACAGGGCTTTATCGGCAAGTCTGACAAGTACGCTGAAGCACAGAAAATCTATGAAAAGTTCTGCAATGATTACTCGCCATATTCTGGTGATTTTTCTCACTTTACTGAGATGTGCTCGAGGTTGCAGAAAATGCGGCAAAGGGACCAACTGCAACGGTCGTTCCTGTGGGATGACTTTGTCATCCAACATCTGGAAGAGTATTCGCGCTATTTTGAAGAGCGCGCATCTCAGGAATCCAAGCCACTAGGCTACGAAGACTTCTTTTGCTCCAAATTTTCACGCCCTCAACACAAAAGGAGAAGTCTCACAGCCCATGGGGTTGACATCGTCGCGTCTCAGTTTGTCCCACCTACCAGTACCAAGCTAGGAAATGCGCAGGTCTTACATCAAGTTACAAGTCCAGGCGAGGTGACCCGGGATAAAGCGACGCAAAGAGAAGTTGCCAACACGTCATTCACAGCCAGCCTTGTGGACAAGCTCTCAAACCTCCATGCTCATTCCTTTGGTGATGATCCTGTTCCGGATGTCCACATGCCCACTGTAACACAATCATCGCCGTCCTCATCTGCTAGCACCAGCCCAGACTCGTTGGAGCTCAAAATTGAACCAGACGGTTCTTTCAATGGAATGATGGGCTCCCAAATTATCACGAGCAGCAATGACCAAAAGCCTGTGTTCTCCAGTTTTGATGAAGAATTGATCGACACAACACAGTACGACGCAGATAACATTCACATTGCGCCTGATCTGAATGACATTGAAATGGCCGAAACTGGCATGGACGAAATTGACGAGACACAGGAACGAGATGACACTCACCATGAAACTGCAAGCATTGAACTCGGTGACGAGACTGACGATCACCACATCTCTGCCTCTCCCGCCCCGCCTGGGCCACTGGGTTCTCTGAATGTTGCCGAGCCCGAGCGGCCAAGGCAACGGAGACCCTGGTTCCGCTCTCTTCGGAAAATGTTCCCCACGGGTCCTGTGTGGTCGGATGACCCTGATACGCCGTTCAAGCGCTGGGCTCGTCAAGACCAGAATGTTCTTCAGGAACTCAAGCGTCGCGGTGGAGCTAGAGTTTTGACTGATGAGAAGGGTGTCATTCGTTGGCCCACCTACAACCAAGAGAAGAACTCTGATCTCTAGGGATTGTAATTTAATAGCCACTTTTCATTCAAGAATTGTATTTCTAATTTTAATGGGCCAGCGGCTGGCTCAGTACATCGGCAAGGAGTACTCAGATACCATCTCGTTTCATTTCATGCTTCCTGGAGACAGGGAAACCAAACATGGGATGGTGCACTATCTGAATCTGAGGATTCAGATTTATGTATTATTTTGACAATATCTTCCAACCATTTAGCCCCTGTATTTTTAACCAGAAGGCCAAATTTCGGACCCCTTTTTCTGTCAATGGTGACAACACTTCGCAACCCCGATGTTCACTTAAACCAAGGCTATTATGCGGGTGTTTCACAAATTTGAAGAACAAAAAAGTCCCCCCAATCGGATTTCTTGTTCCCAAATTCCCCGTAGGACTCCAACGCCTCTGACAGCATCGAATATCGGTGCAAAGATGGAATGTAGAGATCGGCAGCAATCGACCCGGGGTCGAACCTCGCTGCAGATTCTAGCTCACGCCTATAAGGCCCCGAGGCTGACAGGAGCCATAATCTCATTTCACGATGATACTGGGGCCAGCTAGACCCACAGAGTAAGCACTGGGGGATTTAAGAGATGTGAGATTTTTGGTTGTTAGCGATTGGTGTTGTCATGCATGCACTGATTGGACAATTTAAGTGGTTCTACGGCATAGGAGGAATTGAAGAGCCGGATGCTATTTGTAAATGGGGTTCAAATTTTGAAACAATTTTCAGGCAGATCACTTCTGGTGATTTCTCCGCGGAGAATCAGAGAAAGGCACATAACTGCAAGTGTTCCTTCCCATAAAGACTATCTTCCTTTTGTTAAAAAATGGCATGAAGATCATTAAAACATTCAAAAAAGGACATGGTCATTAAAAGCATGCTGAACGCCACGAGAACGCCTTGGTATCGCAAATCTAAAATCGCTCCAGAATGGGTGTTCCAGCATAGAAAGTCCGCAATTTTTTTTTCCTAGGCATGGCGGTAAGGCTCGTAGGCGCTTGACTCCTGATTGTTGTGGGTCATGGGGATATCGTTGTGGTGAGCGGGGGGGGGAGGGTAAGAGGTGCTGTAACCATGCTGGGGAACATGGGGCCCCTGAGTGCCGAAAGGGGGGTGGGCGGCACCGATGGGCTCATAAGTGTAGGGAGCCTTCTCTGCAGTGACGCCACCACGGGTGTTGTGGCGATCCTTGCGGCTGTAGGGCGAACGACCGGAGCAGCAGCAGGTGCTGAGCAACCAGAAGATGGTGGCTCCCAGAGAAAAAGCAACTGCGAGCCAAGTAGCGACGTAAATATTCTTGCCCAAGGCTACATTGACACTATAGACCTTGAGGGCTGCGCGGAGAGAGCCCTTTGCGATGGAGAACATGATGGTCGAGGTGAGCGATGCGCCCAGAGTGAAGAGGAACGAAACGATCGAGACAATGGTGGTGACGCAGCTGCCCCAGCGGCTGAAGATTGCGAAGATGCCAAGCAGTACCTGGACACAGGTGGCAATAAAGGCGACTATGTAGGCAATGAACATCCACTTGGAGACGGCCTTGTAAACTTTCATGATCCTCTTCATGCTGTTTCCAAGCTCCTTCTCAAGCTGGGTCTCGCTCACTCCCAAAACTGAAGCTGGGTTGAAGTAGAACTGGGCCTTTGGGTCTGTGCAGGAGGAAACGGTATCTGTGGTTTTGGTGGAGTTTCCCTCGCAGTAACCCCAGAGACCAATATCGTAGAAATCAGCAATGTGAGCATCATCCTGCAATGACTTGATGGTCGCCGAGATTTCGTCCGCAGTGACATCAGTGATCCCGGCATCTTTGAGGCGATCTGTGATTTCTGATGAAAGTGCCGACCCGGAACTTATGTTTGAGAGATCAAGCTATAGGTTCTTGGCATTAGCGGGGGTACTAATCGTAATCGTATAGAGTCTGATCACTTACGCGAATGAAGTATAAATTGTTCAAAGTCGAAGAACTGGCTTTTGTGCAACCCAATCCCACCAGAACAATGCAGATCAAGGATGCGATGGTCAAGGCATAGGGCGTGAAGATACACGCAGCGCGACCGGCTTTTCCCATGATGAATGAGGTCTTTTGATGGAAAAGATCGAAATATAGATCAAGAGGTGAAAGATGGATGAGAAGTGGAGAGTTGAGACCGGGGGAGGGGAAGGCTGTCATATAAATCCACCATCCCAAGTAGAGTAAACAACGTAGAACCTTGGTAACGCATAGCCTCAAAACGAAAAAGAAACTCCAGCCTCTCAAGAAGGCGCAGGATCAGCGGACCAATCAGTGGCTGAGCGGTCACTTCGCCAGGGCCACGCTTGCTTCTATTTGAAGCTCATGCTAGTCTGATTTAGGTCTAGCGGCATGCCACGCTAGACGCTATCGGCTTATCCATACTCCAACTCCATACGGAGTTCTCTGTAGTCCTCCGTACATCCACAGTCAGATCAGTCAGAAGAACGAAAATTTAAAGATCTAGTTTATTTATTCCCAAAACACTAAAACTGCATCTTACTATCTTAAATATCCCCTAACTCACCCATTGGATAATAGTGTGCAAATCTACGGAGTACGAAGTATCAAACTTCGTCCAAGCCATGTTCTGACCGTCCCAGGATCAAAATTTCAGTGGCCAAATGAGACCTAGGCGATCCTTCAATCCAAGCCTCGTCACCATTTCCACTCTGATCAGCCTTGCGGATCAGTTTTCAAAATTTCCCTCTCCGCCTCAAGACTGCGTCAGCCTGGATATGGGAGTACCGGTGTAAATACTAGGCTTCACAGTTTTTCTCTTGGCACAATATCCCGTATACCGCCCTGGCCTTCCTGCACCCCTCCTCCGCTTGTCTCTGTGCAGGGCAACATCCACTCGTGGTGATTTTATGTTCTATATTTAGTTGGGGGGGGGGGGGGGTTTCTTTCTTTTTTTTCAGATAAATTTCTCCGAGTCTGGGATAGCCCCCACTGACGAATCTGAATGTTACGCAGCTTAAATGTCCCACTGTTTTTTAATAGCAAACCCATGCGCCGATCGACCGCCCTGGCCTTCCTGCACCCCTCCTCCGCTTGCATTGGCTACAACTGATACATGAGCAGTTGGTAGAACAAATTTTTTTCTTTCTTGTAGAAACAGTATGCATCCATCACGAAAAAATCTCTTCTTAATTCCCCCGCCAAAATTGCAGCAACCGAACTTGAACCCTCATATGCTACACATGGACCACTGAAATTCATATTCGCCTCATTGGAAAGAATTTATTCCAAGTATGGCTCAAGCGTCGACAGCATACCCGTGTACGCCACCCCAGTGGGAGGTTCCATGCCGAAGATATAGTCACCCCACCAAGGACCAGCACCCCACCACAATGCCCCGAGCCAGACCTCCGAGTTGTCACCCAGATAATCAAGCATGCCTGTAATCGCCGTTTTGCAATCATCATTCACACCACCAGCAAATTCGCCTAGAACCCCAACCTTTTGATTGGCCTTCAGCCACTGTGTCGCCTCCGTCACGCGCTCTTTTCCGATCGTCGTCGACACACACGTCTCGCGCGTGCCTGATCCGTCTGAGTCAAGGTACTGGTGCATCTCGTAGACGATCTTGTTTTGGGGATCGGTGAGCTCCTTGAGGTTGTCGTTCACCTTCGGCCAGTTCCACGCGCTGGTGTAGGAGTTGCCCTCGACAAAGATATATTGGCTTGTTGCCCCCGCTTCACGGATACCGTCAATGGCTGCTTGGTTGAGCTGTAGGACGAGGTCCTGGTCCATATCGTGGAACTCGTTGTCTGTGCAGAATTTGGTTAGCACAAGGCCTGCGATGCGACTGAACGTTTGGGGGTACTGACTTGTGTCGAAAATGACTTTCTCGTTCGAGACGAACTTGCTTGCGACGTTCTTCCAGAATGTCTGGAAGTCGGAAGTAGTTGAAATGATCTGGCCGTTGCTGTGTATTATGATAAGCTTCGATTCATTCGCTCGTTCTGTGAATCGAATACTTACTATCTTCCAAAGTTTTGCGGATCAAGCACGGCGTGGGATCCTGCATCAGTGATGGCTGTGACCGTCTGCCACTGGATCAGTATCCGCTTCTTTCCTTTCGGATGTATGTGGCGCAACGTACCGCAGTCAGGTTGCTTAGATAGGCACCATCAAATTCTCCTATCATGGAGTTCGGTACCAACCGTTCCATCAGGAAGGCCACCCGGAAGATATTCATCCCTTTTTCCTTCAATGTTTGGATAGCGCTAGCATCGGGGAAGATATAATCGGTTCCCTATCCCGAATTTTATCAGTTGAGATCATCGGATGACATACCAAGTCCACTCACATAGACACCAGGAAGGTTGTTCTCGCCAAATTCAGCTCCAGATTCGCTTGCTCCGAACCCTATACCAGGAATTAAGTAAATCGATGTTCAGAACCATCTTTGGAGTTTCATGGACTCGAACATTTGAAGGGTGACGCTCTCTTTGCATGGTTACTGACAGAAGAGGGAGCTGCTGCCACGGAGACGGCCACCGCAGCGAGGAGGGCAATTAGATCGAATCTCATATCGACGAGTCAAGTTCTGGCTTGCATGAGATCAGTAGTAAAAGTCTAGGAAAGAAGAGGAGTGATGTGATGGCAAAGTGAAATAAGACCAACGACCGGGCCAAACCTCGCCATTTTATAGTTCTATTGTCAGCGATTTACCAAATGTAGTCGAGCGAGTGGCAGGAAATCTAAATATTCCACCAAATGGAAATTAGAGATCGGGCGACAGAGAAGGACACGGAATTTCAAAAATCTTCAGGCCTTGAGCCTAGAGTAGGATAAATAGCAACTTCGGATAATATAGTTCGTCACAACATGATTCATCGCCAATAAGGGCCCACGGAATCATGGATCATGGTCAGAATCAGCCCTTCTTGGCCACCTAATACGAAACGGAAAGCCCAAAAGGCAATGTCCCGAAGTCTCCAAACTAGAAGAAGCCTGATCATTATCCAAGAAAATCTGGAATTATGCATTGTACATCGTAGCTTCCCCAATTCAATAAAATGTTCTTCGGGCATAGGTGGCTTAAATGTGTGTCGCTTTGTTTTGGGGGCATCAATATCTTGCAAGCCCGTGGCGCTTCAGGTATCGATCGGCGTTCATAGTTAGAGAGTTTCTTGTTTTTTTTTCCAGTCATGTTAAGAGCCTTTTCCCTTAATTAGAAAATTCTGTTTCATGCACTTGTGGAGTGTGTGACATCCATTAATAATGGAATATCTATAAGCATTTCACTAAACTAGAAACATAGTTGGGTTGAACCTAGGCCGCAGGAATTATTGATAGAGACAGAAAACAAAATGTGCAAGGCAAGCGAACATGGCAAATTGATTGAAAGCTGAAACTTATATTATCGCACTCAACGATCTTGGTACCAGCTCGGAAACAGACAGTCCACATGCTCCGCCTATACAGAAAGATTTGAAAGTTGAACCATACTACTCTAAGTGCGGCAGATTCTCCTTCCCCGGACCATCCGAATCGGTCTACCAAGCACCGAGGGAGTGCATGTGCTCTTTCATGTCTGCAGCCTGGAGCTTATGGTAAGCATAACCTGGGTGGTAGTCATTCCACCAAACACAGGTAGAACCATCGTCATTGATACAACTTGCATCGGTAAATCCATATGCTGTGGGGTCGTCGAGGATTTTGTTCATGAAAGCGAAGGTATCGTAGAGAACGGTTGTAGTCTGTAGCTAGTTTAGTTGTGCGAAATCGGAGATGTAATTAGACACCAGAACGTACGCCACTGTTGTCTGCAATGAATTCAGTGACCATTGCTCTAAGGGCTGCGTTGAAAGCTGCGAGCCACTTAGCATGGCCAGCGGAAAAGGTTGCTCCTTGGTTGGCGATCTGGGGAGATCGACTTGTAGGAGGGACATTGAGGAAGATGAACTTGCGCCCACCATTTGCGTAGAGCTTTTCAGCTTGAGCCTTATACTGGGCCATTATCTTTGGAATCAGAACACCGGCGTCGTTGCTTGACCACGCCCAACCAATGCTGAAAATTGGAGAATTAGTCCAGCCGTTTAAAAAAGGATTCATGGAAGCATACTCATTGATTCCAATCCAAAATCCAAAGACTGCGTTTTCCGAAGTCCATGGTGCAGTATCGGGCTTTTTACTATATGCTGTCTCGAAGCTAGCGACTTGCGTTACCATATCTTCCTTGGTATTGGTAGCGACGAGGGAATTGTCAAGGGACGCTCCCCCAACAGCGAGGTTATAGCTGAGGACTGTTGAGGCATTGTTCACAGTAGTCAGGTATCCCACCCAGTTGATGCCGCCAGTGGTTGTTCCGGTGCCTGTTGTTGTTTTTTTTTTAAATCAGCCAAGCCTGGTTTCCAGATGGCGAACAAAACTCACCTAGTGCTGGGTTTCCCATCGGGTTGCCAGCAGTTGGCTGCGTGCCGTTGATGTCAAAACTAGTCATGGTGTAGGAATTGCCACTACAGATGCTGTTGAGCTACTTTCACAGCGGGCGATGAATAGAGGACAGAATTAATCACTCACAATGTGAAGAAATAGCTGTCAATAGCGCGAGCTTGCAAGGGAGCAGCAGCAGCCAGCCCAGCGCCGGCAAGCATACTAAATAGATACTTCATGGTGAGGAAGATATGAAAAATTTCTTGTAGTCTGTTGGAAGAAAATCTTAACAGGTTCATAGTTCCTTCCTTATATACATGTACTCATCCCTTCAAACGGTGCTTTCGTCTCACTCACATTCCAAATCAACAAGCCGAAGGGCCGGCCGAATAATTTTAAAACACGAGGCTATGCCATTTCAGCAAGCCTTTTCGTCAATCATTTCCTCAAATCAAGTCTTTCCGACTCATCCAAATTAGGACAAAACACGGCGAACTCCCCGAAACTGCGGGGCAGACATAGAGTAGTTTTGGAATGTTCAAGCCATTTCATTATTTCAGAGAAGCTGAGCAAATTTTTGGAGTTGATGAAGATCCCTAGTTGCTTTATTGTCCAGTCGTGTGACTTTCCTCTACTAAAAAAGTATCCGTTATGCAGCTAGAACGCGTGCCCTAAGTTACTTCTGTCTTCCTCTTGCCCAGTTGATTTGATGTCGTCATCCCTCTCTCCCTGGTCTTGCACAGCGTAGTCCCGCATGGTATATTCTATGTTTATCTTGTTGCATTGACATCCTATATACATCCGACATCGAATCGGCATCATGCAGACAAGGCTCGATCTGATTCGGCAGCAAACATCTCCATTCCCACACCACATACAACCAATCGTGACTGCTTTATTTCCGATCCATGTGCTTGGCTCTTCATGGGGAGGCCTTTCTCAGGCCCATGGATAAGTCCCACCGATGATATGTCAGCCACGGAGCTGTATGCATCCAGTAAGAATCCCACGGTGATCCCCTGGGTACCGGGCTTTGTAGGGTCCACGGTGATTGACCAGATTTTGACTCGGTGATCATTGCCAGAGGATGCCACGGTGATTTCAATGGATTCTGTATTTGATGGGATATCACAAGAGATTTGCTGATTGAGTACTTTGACTGCGCTAACTGCCGCAGCGTGAGCATCAGGGATGGAAACCGTAGACACCTGTGCAGTTTTGCCGGTGTTGGATGGATATGTTAGTAGGAGGGACACGGAGAGCGAGTTATCATCACCTCCCGTCACAACAACAGTGGCTATATTTGAGATAGGAACCAGTTCCATCCCCTTGACGCTGTTGGAATGAATCTGATATCGACTTTCACATGTGATGTTTTCTGGTGAGACAGAAGAGCCGTCGAAGGGGTGCTTAGCCTTCAAGGTGGATTGTGTGATGGTGTAAAATGGTTCAATTGTGCTTGTTAGATGCCATAGTGTGAAGTAGCCATCAGTCGCGGCGGTGATAAGGCTCACGGAAGAACTCGTGACCAAGAAGTGCGCTTGAGTCAAACAATTTGTCAGGTATTTCCCACGAGCCAACAGAGTGAATTGGCCCCCGTTAGATGGCGAAAAGTGAAAGATCTGTCAGAACGTTAGGACTGGATGACGTATTTGGAGGAAAGAGCCACTCTGACCTTGAAAACAGAGTTTGAAAGAGCAAGGCACAGAAGGAAACCCTTCTCCCCGTCAACTTCATCTACTTCCAGCAAATCGAAACTAAGTATTCGAAGATCTGAGTTCACGTCTTCCTTCGGGCTGGCAGCCATCAATTTCGTAGCAACCCCGAATATGGGAATGGTGCGGACTCTCCACACGAAAAACTCCTCATATGCAGCACTGGTAAACAGGTATCTTCCATCCTTGGACCAGGTCACCTGCTGAATCCCAGACCGGTGTGTGTCCAAGACGCGCAGACACTCAAAGCTACCCCACGGACTAGCAGTCAAGGAGGAAGTCGGCGTGAAAAGACGAACAGTAGTATCCTCTGCACCAGTCGCAAACAGAGGCCGATCTCCATCGGTAGGGTTGAAAACATCCATCGCTTTGATTTCCCGTCCGTGACCTCCAGCTCGAAGTAAAGTACTAGCACCAGCTCGTACGCGAGTAGTCATCAAAGAAGCTCCGTTTTTCCACGCGAACAAAGCAGTGTTATTGTTGTCTCCTGGGATGAAGTCCCAACCTCGGCGAAAGCCGCCTGAAGCAATGGATGCGACATCTGTCAGCTTCGACTCATTGCGCAGGACGAAATCCTGGGATCTGAATCCGTACAACATGAAATCACCAGTCGCTTTGTCGAAATAGGCACCTTCAATGTTCCCACCGGTCATAGATGCTGTACGATGCACTGTTTGCATTGATACAACATCTGTTCCCTTCCCACAAAGCCGCAATTCATGGAGACAATAAGTTCCGTCTCGCCCACAGGTCAATACAAAGTCCGAGTTTATGGTATCACTCGTAGTAGCAGATGTGACGACGCTAATGTGATTAACAAAGTCCCGGCCATGAACACGTCGGTTGACCAATACGGGCTTAGCCTCGGAGGTGTTGTATATGGCAAGCGCGCCTAATTTTGATCCTACTATCAAATATTGGCCATTGAAGATGAAAGACGCACAGCAAACCACAAATGATGATGGTAGGCTAAAGGTGATTGTTTCGGCATTTGGATAATCGCTGTTCCAGCCGAAGACGTTGACGAGTGTTATTTCTTCCCCAGTAGGGTAACAGACGAGGAAGCTGATTTTTTCAGAAGTGTTCAAGGTGTCCATCTTAGAAGAATGAGTCGGAAGGAAGAATAATCCAAGGGGTCTGTTGCCAACGTCTGTGATGTTGATGACAGATTTCGTAGCGTGATTATAGAGTCGAATGAATCCTCGGCAACTACCGATCAATGCTAGGCACATTTGAGGCAAAGTAGTCAGAACGGCAAAAGAAGCGAGATCAGGTGTTTCACACATTGTCTCCCAAGCAATCGCAGTCTCCTCTGCCGGGTCGAGATGTCCAAGCTGGATCTGACCTTGGGTCGAAATGCGAAGAAGGCAGTCTTGGGTGACAAATGCAAAAGCTTTTGACCCCTCGGTTGTGGGATTCTTCTTTGCCTTTACTTGTAAGTTAGGCAATCGATGGAAAGAAGCATCAGGGCCATTGCCTAGATGTTCATTGTCATTTTCTTTGATGGGGAAACTTTTCAATGCACCATCGGCACCTCCAGTGTAAACCACAGTCTCAGAACCAATTCTGCAAAGATCCAGAGACCAAATGTGCTTTCCAATATGTGTTTGCATTGAAGAAATTCGCCTGAGCTGATAATCAGTCATCCCAGTGGATGATGAGTGCCAGCTTAGGTCCCACAAAACGCATGTGCAATCCTCTCCACGAGAAACCAACCCCATATGAGTTTGGCTATCATTTTCGATGGTCCTGAAATGGACACCCCAAATTCGAGAGGTGTGCGCAAACTCCTGGACCACACATGACTCGGATCCAACGCTTTCCTCGCCTGCCTTAACAGGACCAAAGCCAGTGCTTCGCAATTCAAATCCGTCTGTGGAGTATGCAGAGGGTTCTTCGGCTGTTTTGCGTTCACAATCTGATATATCCCAAATCCTCACAGTTCTATCGTCACTGCAACTGGCCAGTATCCTTCCAGATTGATCTCCTTTCAAGGTCGGGATCTGGGGAGAGATGCGGACATCGAATACTGACCCATCGTGGCCCGTGAAGAAATGGTGTATGGAGCCCACTGCATTTGCTTTGTAGGATCCAGTTTTATTTAAGAAACATGACCATACAATGATTTCTCCGAAGACGGTACCAGCGGCAATAAGGACATGGGAGGAAGAAAGCGCAATCACATCGGCGGAGTAGAGGATAGACTTTACACTTGTCGCCAGTTGATAAATGGATATGCTTGTGCTTCTCCCGGGTAGCTCACTGTCGACCACTTCGAGGCTTAAAAGCGCATTGTTTGCGGTGATAAAAAATGCCCCGTAATGACCACCTGCAGCAGCCGCGCACCCATTCATGATCCAATCTGGAGCAGTGAATTCGGCACTAGAGGTCGACAGAGTGACTTCATTGTCGGAGGCCAGAAAGAGGTTGACCACTCGCACTGTGCGACCACCCCAGACCAAAATTTGGACATGGCTCGAATCAGGATCATGTGGTCGTTCATTCAAAGCAATGAAACCATGGATATTGTTTCTTTTGAAAATCTGAACTTGAGCGGCAACCACACCGGTAGTTTCATCAATCACCCGAAAGAACGTGCCGTGACTTTGGAAGATGAATCTTCTATCACCCAGTACAAACGTCTTCAACGCTGTTATCGGGAGAAAAGCATCAAGATGCTGCAGTTTGAGTCAGCGGGACAGCATTTTGACTATAGATATGGCAGCACTGACCTCGAGTGAGAGAGACATTGCCAGCTTCTACGCACATTGAGCAAAGAAGTGAATTACACGGAATATCTCAACTGCCCCAGATAAATGTGTACATCCCACCAAACGCCAATAAAAAGCCCACTACATTTTCGATGATTTCCCCGACTAGCTTACATAACGATTCTACTAGACCATAAGTGGTAAGATGTTGCACGTGATCTCGCGATCGAGGGCGCGGGAGCAGAATGGCGCTCGAGCTCGGTGCTCCACTGCCCCAGAAGTCCTAGTTCGATTACTAGCCATCTGCGAAGACATCTCTGCTACAATTGAAAATTTTTCTGCAATGCCAGGCCTTCTTAATGCAGACTCTTGATCTCATACCACTTTGATAAGCCATGGGTGTCACTGGCCTCTGGACAGTCGTGCAGCCCTGCGCTCGTCCCATCAAACTCGAAACACTCAACAAGAAACGACTAGCTGTCGACGCGTCGATCTGGATCTATCAATTCTTAAAAGCAGTGCGAGACAAAGAAGGCAATGCGCTTCGAAATTCTCACATAGTTGGATTCTTTCGCCGCATCTGTAAGCTACTGTACTTCGGGATCCGGCCCGTCTTCGTCTTCGATGGCGGGGCTCCGGTCATGAAAAGGCAGACAATCGCTGGTCGAAAGAAGAAACGCGAGGGTCACAGGGAAGATGCTGCAAGGACCGCAGGAAAGTTGCTTGCTGTGCAAATGCAACGCAGTGCGGAGGAGGAGAACGCTCGTCGGCGCAATAAATCCCAGATCCAAGAGGAGGAAGAGGTACCTGATGCTCCGGTGTATGCAGAGGAGGCTTTTATGACGGAGACAGAAAAGCAACAAAGCCGCAAGTTCAAGAAAAAGGACGCGTACCACCTACCTAACCTAGACGTCTCACTTCAGGATATGGGAGCACCGAATGATCCACGCATCATGTCCCAAGAGGAACTGGAGGAGTACGCTAGAACTTTCCACCAAGGGCAAGATATTAATCTTTATGACTTTTCGAAAATCGACTTCGACAGCATGTTTTTTCTCAGTCTGCCCCCCACTGATCGCTACAACATCTTGAATGCAGCGAGGCTAAGAAGTCGACTTCGAATGGGTTACTCGAAAGAGCAGCTAGATACCATGTTTCCTGACCGTATGGCATTCTCGAGGTTTCAAATTGATCGTGTCGCAGAACGAAATGACCTTACGCAACGATTAATGAATCTAAACGGTATGAACGGAGAGGAAGCATTCTACAAGTCTGGGCAGCGCATCGCAGGAGAACGTGGCAGGGAGTATGTTCTTGTCAAGGACCGCGAACATGAAGGTGGCTGGGTCCTAGGTGTTGTGGGAAACAGGGAAGGCCACGAAGAAAAACCCATCGATCTAGATCGACCCGAAATATTTTCTGATGAGGATGAGGTATCTGATGAAGATGAGTTTGAGGACGTTCCAATCGAAGGTTTGAACCGGCTTCCAAAACTCCCTTTCCTTCAAGAGGGTGTATTCGACCAGTCGCTTCAGCTTGAAACGGACGAATATTTAGACATGGGAACCGCTACACAAGAATCGCGTCATCCTGCACAGCGACAGTTGCAGAATGAACCTCGTGTACAAGAGGTTGAAGATGACTCGCTTTTTGTTGAAGCCGAGGGAAATATAGGTGCACAGCAGCGAAGCAACAACACTGATGATTTCTTTGATGGCGACGATGATGACCTCGAACGAGCTATTGCCCTTTCACTGCAACCAGATAAAGCCAATGAAGAAATTAAGCCCGATGTTCCCGTTCATCGACCGGTCGTATCGGGTCCGTCTTATGAGATGTTGCCAGATCTCGAGTCCGAGAGCGATGATGGAATGGACTTTACAGCTGCCATAGCAAGAACAAAAGTCGTGAAGAAAGCCTCACATGCACCGAATCCATTCGGTGGTCCTCTCCCTTTTGAATCCATCAAACTCACTAAAGTTACGAAAGATAATGATAAAGCTGGCGAGGTTGGCGAAAATGCAGGGGGTTTTGTGGAGGAGCCTACAAAGAAACCAAAACAGGCGGACCCACTTCCTCCATGGTTTATTGGTGAGCGTTCGGATGCATCATTCATCGTTGATCCCATTGAAGACACTGAGAAGGATGATGAGCGAACTGCGGCGCCAGATCATCTGTTTCTCTCCAATCGTCGCTCGCTAGACATAATTGATGTTGACGAATTCTCCTCCACCAAGGAAGTCGTTGATCTAGAAGAGGAGGATGAAGAACAGGGAGAAGAGAAACCTAAACAGGAATTTCAAGTCGAGGACATTGAAAAGATTTACAATGAGCTTTCTACAAATCTGGAAGAAAAGCCTTTGAGCGAACCAGCTCCAGCTCAGATCCATAGAAATTTTGATGAAACAGTCCTTGGGGGCCCTGGAACACAAATTCAGGACCAAGTGCCCACACTTGATGAGCGGTCTACACGCAGCAAACATTCTCCTTCGCCTGAATTTGAAGATGTTGTCCCCCAGCTATCCACCCAAGGCCCAGAGATCACCGTTGTATCCCATCAAAAGGCTCAGCCCCAGCCCCAGCCCCAATTCTTCGAAGAGATCGACCAACTAGCAGATTTTGTGCAGGATCAAGCCGACTACAGTGACCCGGAGGATGAAGAGCTGTTCAAACAGCTTGCAGCTGAGGGCGAGGAGCATGTGCGATTTGCCAATACTCTTAATTCTGCTGCTCCTATCCAGGAAGCCTTTGACTACGAGCAGGAACTGAAGCAACTACGCTCTCAGCAGAGAAATGAACGTCGCGATGCAGACGAGGTGACCACCATCATGATAAATGAGTGCCAACAACTCTTGGCGCTGTTCGGATTGCCCTACATCACTGCGCCTATGGAAGCTGAAGCGCAGTGCGCCAAGTTGGTCTCGCTAGGTCTTGTGGATGGGATTGTCACGGATGACAGTGATATCTTCCTCTTCGGGGGAACGCGAGTCTACAAAAACATGTTCAATCAAAGCAAATTCGTCGAGTGCTACTTAACGTCCGACCTGGAGAAAGAGTACGCTCTTCATCGACAGAAGCTTATTAGCTTTGCCCATCTCTTGGGCAGCGATTACACAGAGGGCATTCCTGGGATTGGTCCTGTCACCGCCCTAGAGATCCTCACCGAATTTTCCAACCTCGAGGAGTTTCGCAATTGGTGGACCGAATTGCAAATGGGTACGAACAATGCAGAAGATGTCCACCTTGCCTTTCGGAAGAAATTCCGAAAAAAGGCATCCAAAATTTTCTTGCCGCCTTCATTTCCCGATTCCAAAGTTGACGAGGCATACCTGGAACCGGCGGTTGACGACGACCCTTCTCCATTCCAATGGGGTGTTCCTGATTTGAATGGATTACGAACCTTCCTCATGACCACAATCGGATGGAGCCAAGAGCGGACTGATGAGGTCTTGGTACCGGTCATTCGCGACATGAATCGGCGAGACCAGGAAGGCACACAGTCCAACATTACACAATTCATGCAAGGTCCACAGGGCGCGGGTGCATTTGCGCCTCGCGTTCGTACAGGTGGACCCAGCCGCATGGAAAAGGCATTTAGTCGACTACGTCGGGAAGCTCAGTCAGGTGGATCATCCTCGCTGGATGACGAGCCAGCCGTCGAGGACAGAGAGGGAGAAGACGCCTCTGTTCCACAAAAGAAGGGCAAAAGAGGTGTCTCAACCACCAAGGCCAAGGCTGGCACGAATAAGAAGCGAAAGACTCGTCGCACCAACTCTCCGGAATCATGATATGCGGATTGGTGGAGTGAGCTTCTCCCATCGGTAGCATCCTCTGTACATAATAGACATGGATACTCATCCTTAGTATTCATCAAACCTCTCATCCATACACCAAAAAAAAACTAGCCTTAGCATCGTACTTGAAGACACTGGTTACGTAGCTACGTAGGTACGTGAGGAGGCGAGAAAAGGAGAACCACTTGTTCCGATGCATCCCTCTCGCACCTGTGAATGGAAAACAGAGTAGCAGCTAGCGATGGTCTACTATGGAACGCTCAAACAGATAGACCATGATGTGACAAATTCTGTCTGAACAATGTTTGATACCTCAATCCCCCTCATTCTGCCATCAGGCAAGCTTTCCTAGTCTCATATCATGGGGAGATATGTATCTGGTATCAAGCAAAGAAAGAGGAATTCAGGCTCTACTCCGAGAAAGATTTAGGGACAATAGTAGAGCGTTTGCGATGCTTGAAGGAACTGTATCTGTGGTGTAGATATCCTATCCGGAATCTTTCGTGGCCAAGAAAGAACGCGTTGCTCCTTCTCTTTTTCCTCTTCGACAACCCCGTTTCAACACAACTTCTACATCTCCATCCCATATCACACATACCTTCCATCAATTCCAGAAACTCAAGGTGAAATTATGATGATTCGATACAGCCAGCTTGAAAACAACCTTATTGATAGTCTCGATCTTAGACCCACAACATCAAACTAAATTGTGGCAAGACGTTGGCCTCGAAACAAATTGCAAAGTCGACATGCTAAGGAGGTGTGTTATTTTTCAATATTATGCAGAGTTGATGTATCACTATCCCAAGGCCGTTCTTTGTGGACGAAGAATGGATATATCCAGACCCAGGTTGTAGCAATAACTGTTTTGCCCAACTGTCTATGGAAAGCTGTTTGTGACTTGCCCCTCGTATGAAGCGTTCAGGATGAAGAAAGGAAAGGGGACATCCGAGTCCTTTTGGTGTGGACTGCGAGGGATCTTCAAATTATATTTCCCACCATGGAAGATGCTTAGTAAGACACCGTCCCCCTTCCTATCTAGGATAGCAACGTGTGGGTCACGCACTTGACACGCAACCAGAGTCACAATCACAGCGGATGATGTGGCGGAACCGGGGGATGTGGGCTACCCATACCCAAAACCTGCATTTTTCGTGTTTCTAGCGTCACGAATGATGATGCTCATGTCATCTCGATGGTTCCAGAATTAATCTGGATTGTCCCGGGGATGTGATCCTTGTTGTCCAAGAATTAGAAAACTCGATCTCCGAGGAACAGTTGGAATAAGGAGACGAGGCCATTACAAGGCCTGTTGAATGAACGCCTTGATCGACCAGTCACTGTATGCTCTCAAGTTCAACACCAGCGGTTCGCAGCCGACATCTTTGGCGAACCCTGAGTTCTTTCTTCTCATCCATCTCCATCATCGTCTGTAGTTTTCAATCTACCATCCTTCTTAGGGTCAGGTACGATCGTATGTTGGACACCCCGATGGATGGAATTAAAAGCCTGAGACCACATGGGTTTCCCCCACGAACAGGAGTTTTACGATCTCTACGATCAGCAGTCCGACGAACCGCGCGCCAATGGTAGTTTTTTATATCCTATATTAAGTATTTGCAGTTTCTCAATATCAGAAAGAGCACATATCCAACTCTCGAAAAGGGAAATCCAGGTACAGCCGCGGTCGGATGTTGTCCATAAGGGTTCTCTATGTTGTATAAAATGCAACCTTTCAGACTCCATGACATCAGGGGGGGGGGATCAATGACGTCGGTGATCGTGAGTTTAAATGCAACTCCACGTCAACAGACTATTGGCTTAAATGAGAGAGGCTAGTAGAGGCTGAATCCCTGCACTCAAACCCTCTTTTTAGTCTCTTAGCGTCTTATTTTTTTCCCCCCCAATCCCAATCAGTTTTCTCCTTGGGCAGAAAATAGTCGACGTCACTTCCCGAGAGCTTCCAGGAGAACTTCACTTTGATCAGCTGCTCAGGTGTCATTGAGATATAACCTCCCCTGTCCGCTTGCAGTCGGAATCTTTTTCTTCTGTCACATCTCGCAGGTCAAGTACGTACTCCCAAAAAAAAAGAAATTTCCTCTTGAAGCTCACGTCACTACTGCGCAAGGCACTGGAAAAGTCTTTTTTTTTTGTCTCTAATTTCTTTTTCTACAGGAACAAGAATTTCAACATCTCTACAATCATCTTCCTATCTTCAATTTCCTGTCCAAAATATGCATCGCACCTATTCCATGCGCCAGTCACGCGCCCCGACCGCATCGCAGGTCGAGAGCCCACCACCACCACTGTCCACAACCAAGACTGGGAGATGGCTAGGGAAAGGTGGGATTGGTGAGTGAGATTGGCATCTTCTGTGCGATTGGCTTCGACGACTGGAAGTTTCCTCGGGGTGTTCGTAAGGTTAAGAGGCTGCCTAATTGGGCCGCCAACGACTTCTCCCCGTCGCATCTCCGAGAGAGACGACGGTAGTTGGAGACCATCGGTCGTCGGAGAGATCGTTGAAGACATTGAAACATCAAAGTGAACTCACTAACATTTTGCAATCAGGCCATGCTTTCCGCAAGAATGCCGCCGGAGCCTTCGGACCCGATCTCGCCAAGAAGCTGTCGCAGCTCGTCAAAATGGAAAAGAACGTCATGCGCAGCATGGAGCTCGTCGCCCGGGAGCGCATGGAAGTTGCGGTATGTGGATGACTTCGAATCTGGGACGATCGGGGGAGAGATTGGAAACTGACTCGGTCGCCATAGCAACAACTCTCCATCTGGGGTGAAGCATGCGATGAGGATGTGTCGGATGTGACGGACAAGCTCGGCGTGCTGATCTACGAGATCGGTGAGCTGGAGGATATGTTCGTTGACCGCTACGACCAGTACCGTGTCACTATCAAGAGCATCCGCAACATCGAGGCTTCCGTACAGCCCAGCCGAGACCGTGAGATTCTTCGACCTTCGCCGCTCAAGTTCCCGACCAGCATCAACTAACTGACTTGATGTCTAGGCAAGCAAAAGATCACCGATGAGATCGCCAAGCTCAAGTACAAGGACCCTAACTCGCCCCGCATTGTCGTCCTGGAGCAAGAGCTCGTCCGCGCCGAAGCCGAGTCCCTCGTCGCCGAGGCCCAGCTATCTAACATCACCCGCGAGAAGGTCAAGGCCGCCTTCCAGTACCAGTTCGATGCGCTCCGTGAGCACTGCGAGAAGGTCGCCATCGTCGCCGGTTACGGAAAGCACCTCCTCGACCTAATCGATGACACCCCCGTTACTCCCGGCGAGACCCGCCACGCCTACGATGGCTACGATGCCTCCAAGGCCATCATCCAAGACTGCGAGGATGCCCTCACCAACTGGGTCTCCTCCAAGGCAGTTGTCAAGTCCAGTCTCTCCCAACGCTCCCGCACCCTCTCCCAGCGCCACCGCTCTAACCTCAGCAAGAACCGCGAAGGCGTGGATTTGTCTGGACAGGATCAGCCCTTGGCTGGGGATCGTGACTCTTGGCTCCCCGCTGACCAGCATCCCAACTACGAGGATGGTGATGATGGTGTCAGCACCATCGAGGGCGAGCTGAGAGGCCGTGAAGAGGAGCGTGAGCCTATTACCGCATAAGGGATGGATGAGAAAGATTCCGATTTCTTTTCCCTGGCGAATCTGACGGTGGAAACTTCAGGGCAGATGAATGGGGTAGGATCGATCATCTGTTCCTTTGGTTTTTTTCTTTTTTTAAATCACGTTCTTTTGTCCAAAATCCCTCGTGCTTACGATCTTCGATATACTGGGCTTATTACATCCTTGAAACCGTGCTATTCTCGCCAAAATACGCACATCAATCACGCCATGGAATTTCGGACGTTTGAAGCCTTTGTTTTTTTATTTTTTTTTTCTTCATGAAATCCTCTCAATGTCGTGATCCAACGGCTACGAATCGTGCTTCGGGGTGTCCACTTCTCCATGCTTGTTAGATCGAGGGACGTGGGTCTATTTTTTTTTCCTTTTCTTTCTGCACAAAATTGGAGAAGTCCTCTGAGATGAAGTGCTGAGAACTGCCTGGGGCGGAGGGGGGGGGGGGTGTTTTTCTGATTTCCATTCCCTGTTTTTACCTAATTGATGTAATACCATCTTACGTTGGCTTTTGGTTTTGGGTTTTCGATTAAGATAGTCCAGGGTAATCAAGGGGGTTTAATGAATTGTTCTGTTCGAAATTTGCAATTGATTCATGTCGGAAGTGGACAATTCGGATCTCCACCGGTGTCGTCTGTGTGGTTGTTGTTACAGTTCGCCTGAACAGCGCAGTCCTGTGGGGATGAAACCCTTACCCCGGAAAAGTGAGACATTGCATGCTCCAATGGCGTTCGATCTCAATGAGGAAATCATTCTGACAGAGCACGCCAGCTAGAGCACGTCACTTACCGCGGCGTTTACGCCTTTGTTATGACGTTTCTGGTAGAATCCCATAGAGCCGGAAAGTAGAGCAGCAAGATAGCGAGAGAGGTAACATTCGTATAGCAAGAGACCCTAGTTTATGTTGCACGCATTCCAGTCCACAAGATAGCTAGCACGGACGGAAAGAAAACAGAAAAAGTGATTCCCATAGCAAAAGAGGACAAAGATATCAAAATCAAAAATCAAACTTTGACTTCCCCGAGTCTGGACCACAACACCGCCAACTCATCTCCTTTCCCATAAACCCCGGGGAAAGGGACAAAAATGAAACAAGCCTTCGCAGCACACGGTTTGATGTAAAGTAGATAGAAAGGGTTGAGAGGATGTAGAAAAGGTAGAGCCTGGGCAGCAGATGTAAAAGATAGTACCCAGTAGGCAAGAGTAGAGAGGGGATAAGGCGTGGAAACATCCAACGAAAATGCCAGATCTGCAGTGCAGAGGCAAAGACCATCCCTAAAAGTCGAAATAGCCACGGTCGGGAGGGCCGGGCAAACGAGAAGAAGAGAAGGGTCTTGACATCGTCATTTTGTCAGCGCTCACCTGTCCCGTTTCCCCATGTTGTCGTTGAATTTGACTGATCGAGAGAGAGAGAGAGAGAGAGATAAGTGCAGACACCACAGCGAAGAACGTAGATCGGGTGGGGGGAGGGGGGAGTAGAGTTCCGATTCGACGCGGATACCTTGTAGAGTAGAAGACCGGAGAAGACGTAGGCTGGGGAGATGATACAAAAAAAGAACGAAACGGCAGTCAACAACGCAAACAAACAATCCCAAAAAAACACACACATTCTTCCATTTTGGCTCGTCACTCCTCCGTACCGACGCCCTTCTTTTTGGGCTGAATGTGTTTTTGTCTGGTATTCCCGCCAGGACCTTTTAGCTCGAGAGCCGAGCTATCCTTGGCCGGGGCCGGTACACGAGAACCAGCATCGTGTTTCTCAGTGAGGAGGTTCTTCAACCACCGATTCTCCATCTCGAGCTGTGCGACGCGAGCCTCGAGAGAAGCGTTCTTCTCGGTAGTTTCCCGAACGGTCCGTTCGAGGACCTGCTCACGCTGCTTCTTCTTCTGACGGAAGCGGGCGCTGGCGGCGGTATTTCGACGACGACGATCTTCCTCTGCGGCCCCGCGCACGCCCTCTTCTTGGTCGAGAGCGGCGGCGATACGATCGCCGGAGATCGTGGTGCTGTACTTGGTGTTTCCCATTTGGCCGTTGGGTGGAGAGATGGATGAAGAAACATCGGATGGAGTGAGGGCTCCCTGTGCGTGACCGAGCTCGTCGGGCGCATATGGGACTGGCGGATAAATTGAGTGTGCTGAGTAGGGCATCATGTGCTCTGGGAGATTGTAGTTGACGGACTTGTCGCCGGAAGGGCCTATGGATGCAGTAAGCGATCGAAGTCGATATAACCCCGAGGGAGTAAGCCCCATGGACCGGGAAGTGCAAATCATATTCCGAAGGATATAAGCTCAAGAAAGGTATCAAGGGGATGTGCAGTTAGACGTCAGCATGCAACCACTGGCGTTTGTCATTTCCTTGCGGGATTGCGTGCTTGTGCATTAGGAGCACCGACGGTGATCTTCCACCATGGGGGATGGGAGATGCATGCCATTGTTCACATTCTGGGGGTTTTTTTCCTTCTTTCTTTCTTTCTTTCTTCTTCTCTTAAAACAACAAAAGCACTTTGCACATGTGTAGGGGGGAGAGCGATTCAGTGCCTGGCTATCCAGGCACTTCGTTTTAAATGAACAAGAAGAAAAGGCCCCCCAAAAATAGACAGATTGAACTTCAAAATTTTTTTCTTTTTCAGATGGGGATTTCAAGCCCCAAACTAAAGCTCAGACGCAAAAGGCGCGATGGCGTAACAAATGCAACATTGAGCACAAGTTTGTACAAAGCTTGATACGTACCATGATAGGGATAGCCTCGGAGATCGAGGGAGCTGCGGTCGTCTTCTATACTCTCGTAGGAACTGACAGATAGACCGCCCATACCTTCGGTCTGGTCGTAATCCATACTCGCATTGCCAAATGGGGCCAGCCCGGACTCAGCGTCAAATGAGTACTGTCGAGTCTTCGCTGCTGGATCGTGACGTGACATCAAAAAATTGAAGTTCTCAAGTTTGTCGAAAACGGGACCTGAACCTGGCAAAGGTGGTTGTTCCCCCGGCATGGTTGAAGAGAGAAAGAAATAAGAAAAAGAAGTTCAGCCCCCTTGAGTTTTAGGGTTATGGTAGAGAAGAGGGGCTGTTGGTAAACCCCAGATCCGGACGGGACATGAAGCAAATCAGGATCACCCGGTTTTTTTTCCCAAAAAAAAAGGTCCCAAGTCGAATAAACGAGGACCGGCAAAAAAAAGGATTTAAAGAAAGAAAAAAAAAACGAGTTTAAAATACACCACAAGTCAGAGAGACACCAGAGTAGAAAAAGACCGGGAAGTCAAGTTCTCGACCACGTTGGAAAAATAGAAAAAAAAAGGTCACTTCATTGTCGCATGCCGCGGGAGTTCCACCTGGACGAATGAAAAGAGATGGAGGTTGATGTTTTTAGCAAAGAGGGGGGCAAAGAGGAAGAGGAAAAAACGAAAAAACGATGCTAGTCGATGATCTGATAGAATGGAGAAATGTCGTGATCGCAAGTTCTGGTTCGTCCGTTGAACGATTCACCGCTTTGTAGCACCTCGGTAATTTGTAGAGAGGGAATAGATCAATAGAGATAAAGTAGAGATCTCTCAGTTTCTCCAGATTCAGATCTCAGAGAGATTGCTATTGACAATAGACAAAGAGAGGGGGGGGGGGAAGGACATCTCCACTTGCCTCGGAACCAGGAACCTGAAATCAAGGATCAAGGCACAGGTACTAACTACAACAACAAGGATCGCGTTTAGAAAATGTGTCAAATTGGTACTCAAGTGTCGTGTAGATGTTCTGCATGATGTGCTTGTCCAGGGGCATCACGGATGACGCGGACGAGGGGCGGTTATACACCGAAATTGGGCACCAGAAGGCTCTCGAAGTCTAGAAACTCTCGAGTGGTCGATGATATCTGATTGATCTGAACACAGTCAAGTCTTGAGAGCAATGATCGAAGAGTCCTCAACCGTTATACCTTGCACTCGATGCTCCACTCTTTCCTCACCTAATGTGGTGTCTTCCGCAATGATCCGATAGATCTTAATCCCCTCCCCCCCCCCATATACACCCACTCCCAACCCTATGCCATCCACCCTCATCAAACGCCTCCCCAGTCCCACGTATCTCATCGTCCCACCGGTATGCCTTGGAACTCATAGCAATCACCCTATTTATCCCGAGTGCTGCAGGATGGGGGCAAGATTGCTCCAAGAACATCAACATCTTCGCCAACATCTCCGTCTTTTGCGCAGTGGAGAACGACAAAAGAGACAACGCGGTAAGACCTTTGGTCAGCGCAGAGAATGACGGTTTCATCGTGGATGCGGCGCCAATCCGAGATGAGACAAGCCTTATATTCAGGGCGCTGGCTAGTGTCACAAACTGGACAGCACCACACGAGGTTTCGCCCGTCTTGCGTGCTTTGTGATGCCCCCCCCCCTTCCAATGATTTCACCATCGAGGAAGTGGCACCCTCGGCCCTCTTCCGTTGTGGTTGGTTGGTCGAAAAGCACCGCCATGTCCGACGCCAATCGGGCGGGTGTCACATTGAGCTCGAGGTAGTATAGCTTCGATCTCTTCGGCTTGCTTTCAACATCTTGTATTTTCTCTCGGAGACAGCCGATTAGTGGCTGGGCGCATGCGTTTACTATTCGTCGTGCGGTCGCCACTGCGTTCCGCGGAGGGACGATCAAATGTACGTATGTTGTAGTCCGCTTGGATCGCTAGCGGTGGGTCCGAGGGAAGGATTTCGATGCCTGCATGGATTCGTGCCAGTGTGCGTTCACTAGCGGTCGTTGGTTCGCGGCTTGAATTTCCATCGCTGGCGTCATATCTTCTTCCTTCTGCGACCGTGACAACTCGGTAGTCAAAGAGATTTTGGGAGTCGGGCCATACCTAGGCCCTTGTCTCCGATCGACACGATTGCGATTACAACGGGTCTCCTGACGAGTGAGGTGATTATCTCCTGAGGTCTTGGGATGAATCGCAGTCGTTTTAAAGTCCATCAGCAAAACATAACAGGTTTGTGTCGACTTTGACTACAGGGGTATCTCCAAGTGTCAGCGAGATTTAACTTCCATCCTGGTTGCAATTGTGTGAAATCAGTATGACCGTCGGGTCATTGTGACTCTCAGATTTGGTAGAGAGATTAGTCCGGGGATTTAAGCTTATCTTCCTCTCTGTATCTGGGTCCCTCTAGAAGGGGGCTTTCAATGCGATGTCTATTATTAGCCTGAAACAAAATACAGGTCCTCATTCTGGCATGGAGATCAGACGATCGCTGGAGATAGTGACCACAGGGTATACAATCCACTTGCATACATCGTTGGACATGGCATGTTCCTCGGAGATCCTTCAACGTTGGTGGATCCAGGTGCATCCAGGGACCTACAGAATTGCGCCGTGGCATTGGATCAGGTACACATGCGTCCCAACAGAATCCAGCGATCCTTCCAATGTACATCCGTTGATACTACAATGCATCCCACGTTTACAGTAGCCGGGGTCATGTTTTACCATTTATCGATCTCATTTATTTGTCATGCTTGTAGTGTTGATTACTTCAGAAGCCTACCCCTTCCCCCGCCCGAGACATGCCACTTTCAGGAAGTCGCTTACGAGGATATTGTGGATGTTTATCTGATGAGACTCTGCGCTTAGGTAGGGTAGCAACATTCCTACCTACCTACATCGTCTGAGAGCTCCTAGGCCCCTAGGCAGTACGACAGTTAGGCCCTCAGCGGGGGTCCTCATACCAGTGCCTGAGGGGGAAAGTTTTCGATAATCGCTACGCTTGAAGACTAGGCCATATTTTCCAACAGTTTGAGAACCTAGAGTAACTCCTGTTGCATCATGTGAAAGCATTACCGATTTGGCCTGGGTGATACTGCAGACATCAGATTGATTCTTCGATGTCTTCTGATGGGTCTTTTTCCCCTCGATTGTAGAGCTAGAAGGAGATAGAATCCAGAGGTTCAGCCCTCGACTATCTTCGAGTCCTTCAGAGTCTCCTGTGGAGGGGGTGAGGAGGAGCAGGAGATATATGCAGAGATCATTGGCATGCTTGGATATAGGAGGCCTGGAACATCACATCTTGAAATGTAAACATTACGAGAAAAGGCATTTCATACACATTTCGGGCTATGTCAGCTGTACGATCTTGAATAGTCTTGATCTTTGCCTATGGTACCCTAAAGAAGGTGAGGAAGATGTGGAACACAACACAAGGGGACCATGCCGAATTTCAAGATTTTTTGCCAAAATCGATTGCAACCATCTCAATAGCGCATGAACTTATTAAAATTGTCTTATCTCTTTGCAGTTCTCAGCTCATTCGAAATTGATAATGCTACGAGCATTGCATCTAAATGGCTCTCGATAACTTAATCGGAAAAAAGTGCTGGTTGTTGAGATGTAACCTGTTTCGGCTGCGCAGCTCGCTTACCCACGGACATCAGTGTCGATGGAGAGCAAACAAAGGATGGCACCTAACCCCCGGTAACTCGCTCACGTCGTCAATTAGCATAGACGTTGAATCCCAACTCGGCGGTGCGAACGGTTGTCCCGATCTGGTAGGCGACGCCTGGGGCTCCATGACGAGATCAGCCATTTGCTTAGGGTGCCCCCTTCGGGCCCTTCGGGCAAAGACAGCAGTGATAGGTCAGACGGGGCCGAGTACCCTCTCTAATTGCAAAGCGTGGTGGGCCATCGCTAGCGGAACGGGCCCGAAGATTGCCTTCGTCCTATTGGATGGTGCGTCGGTCTCCTTGATGGGTGATCCGGCCCCTAAGTGAAATCCGGCCTAGTGATTGGCTCGATGACACGCAAAGCAGGATGTCTTTGAAGTATTTAAAATCCTCGGCAGTATAACGTTAACAGCCCAAGCTCTTCATCTCAATCTATCTGACACTGGTCTCAAAATGGGCAATAAGAGTTCAAGCGCCTCCGACGAGGGGTTCGATGAGACGAAAGATCTCGAAGCAGCCAACCCCACAACCCTAAATGAGCACTTTTCCTGTGCCGACGCCAATGCCAATCGAGACCCAGTTCTCATCACATGGAGTGGACCGGATGATCTAGAGAACCCTAAGAACTGGCAAAATGGTTTGAAATGGAGGAAACACCTGCGTTATCTCCCTTTTCGTCTTCATCTCGCCAGTCTCATCGTCTATGATAGCCCCCGCTAGGCAAGATCTTGATAAGGCCCTGGGGATGCACTCCGATATTGAGAGATACCTGTCCATGGCCATCGTTATCCTCACCTACTCCATTGGCCCCATTTTCTTTGGCCCAAGTTCGGAGCTCTACGGCCGGGTGCGTCTGCTTCAGATTAGCAACGTATGGTGCCTAGCCTGGAATTTGGGATGCGGGTTCGCCCAGACAACGTCTCAACTCTTTGCATTCCGCGTTCTTGCGGGAATTGGTGGCAGTGCACCGCTCGCAATTGGAGGGGGTACCATTGGCTTCGCAGGCAATCAAATCCCCAAGGAATCTTCCATGAACTGACCAGTCTGGCAGCGACATGTGGAGCGCCGAAGAACGTGGCAAGGCCATGGGCATCTACACTCTTGGTCCGCTTCTCGGACCTGTCGTTGGAACCATTGCCGGTGGCTTCATCTCCTAGTACTCGACTTGGCGCTGGGTCTTCTGGGCAACCTCTGCCGCTGCCGTTGGGGTCCAGGTTGCCGGTCTCATCTGGCTGCGTGAGTGTCACTTGAGTACGATCCTTCGCAAGCGACGCGATGCTCTCGTGCAGAAGACGGGCAACCACAATCGGCATACCGACCAGAAGGTAGAGAAGCTTGTCTACAAACTTCTACCTGCCTTTGAGCGACCGGTGATTTTGTTTACGACCCAGCCTATCGTCTTCTGCATGGCCATCTACATGGCCTACCTCTTTGGCGTAACGTACCTCTCTCACTTGCGACTTTCCCGAACATCTGGACTGGGGTCTATCACGAGAGCACCAGCAGTGGCGGACTGAACTGCCTATTCATTGCGACTGGGTCATTCGCCGGCCTCCTCTTCAACCTGAAGATGGTCGACCGAATCTATAGGACCCCCAAGGTGCGGAACAACAACGTTGGAAAGCCCGAGTACCGCATACCATCGCTAGCCTTGGGCTCTGTCGTAAGCACTATTGGTCTATTCTGGTACGGATGGAGCATCGGGCATACCCATTGGATCATGTCAAACATCGGGGCGCTAATCTTCACCACAGGCACAATCTCCTGTCTGCAGGGCATGCAGACATATATTGTCGACAGCTACGAAACCTACGCGGCTTGTGCCATCCTGCGCAGTCAGTGTAGCTTCGGGTTTCCGCTCTTCGCTCCGTCAATGTATTCATCTCTCGGCTATGGCTGGTGTAAGAGCGTGCAGGCCTTCATCGCCATGGCTATTGGATGGTCGGCGCCTTTTGCGTTCTATTTCTTTTGGCATAAGCTCCGTACTGCTTCCAGGCACGCTGCTGATTAAGTCAGGAAGTGATTGCGATGTGCGAGGCGTGTGCTGGAAACAGTGAGCTGTCTGGAATAGCTCGTTTTGTGAGGATCTGGGAGATCTGGAATTTTGGCCAACTTTTCCATGGCTTGTGGTGGGGGGTGTGCCATTGACTGTGAAGCGCTGTATTTCAATCAATTAGATCAAATCAAAATATTTAGTGTTGGTTTCCTCGCTCCTGACTTGCGTAGGTAAGTATTTTCGAGGGAAAAATGTAGTTGGGTCACGGCTTCTTGGTTGTACAAGCTTACAGAATACACGAAGAGCCTTGCGCAAATGCAGGCCCTGGTGTGTGTGGTTACGTACCCTGCGCATGGCGCCGAGATTGGTAATTTGCCGGTGAAAACACAGGAATACACCAAGCACAAAGAGCTGCGCATCCAACAGGTGTCTGGGCTTTGTCGTGGAAAGGGGCCGGGATAACATTGCCTTGAATCATGAGGTCCATCTATGGCAATGTGCCAGCCGGTCTTGTTGTCAATTCCATTTTCCCTTTCCTTTCTCATGCCCTTTGAAGGCTTGCCGAAGACTAAAATTTTGGGGTTGAATCAGGGAATTTGAATCGGAACCGATGGTCTGGGCTGTGTACTGATGGCGTGGTAGCGCACAGGTGGTGGTTGTCGTCTGGTAGCGAGAAAAATCCGATTAACAGTCTCATGGCAAGCACAATCCGGGAGACTCTAGGCAGATCTCTAACCTTGAATTTCCAAACGCCGATGCCAGCAGCCGAATCAAAGCCCCGGGGCGGAAACGGCCAACACAGCCCGGGCTGGTTCTTCAAGACAGCTAATCCTAGAAGACCCAACCTGAAGGGTCAGGCCCGCCATTTTAAATTCAGACCTGTCCCATCAATGTTGCCAAAAACTTCATCAAAGTCAGATGAGCCATCCACAAGCTTGGTGGTCCCCACCCTTTCATCCAGACTATCCTGCTGTCTGCTCACTTCCGGTTCGTGTTGTGCGCACAGCGCGGTTATTAAAAGTCGGCTTTGGGGACGGCTAACTTGGTGGATTCGCAAATCAGGCCTTAAGAGTTAGCTTACCGAGTGTGACATGTAGGGTTCTTCTGCCCTTGACAAGTTCTTGGTGATTTGCATAGACATCTGCAATCTTGTTTCAAGAAGCATTTAGCTCTGGAGTTGAGTGGAATCCAACATCTGCAACCCTACGTAGATTGCAGATAAGGGCATCCCACAGGTAGAAAGCTTGTATTTGCCATCCAGACTTCTGCATTCTGGGGGTTGCCGTAGATGGCGCTAGTTGTATCGAGAATCCTTGCTGCGAGTGCACAGATACCCCTCCGTTGCGTATCAGTGATGGTTTGCGTTATCGGCAGTGGCATTCGAGCTCGCAATCTAACAGCATTGATCGCAGATCGGGTGATGCCAGTAGTTACATAGTGCAAGGAGTTCAAGATGTCGCAGTGTCGAAGAAATTAAGTTTCGACAAGGTCTTCGACCTCATTAATAAGTCTCTCAGTCTCTTCTGCATCCCTAGATTGAATTGTCGCACCAATCGCTTTCAATTTGACGCCGGTTTGGGTATAGAAATTGGATAGTTCCATCCGAAATCAGAAAATAATCGTGTCTGTGGCGCTTGTCTGTTCGAGGGGCGGCTCCGTCATTCCACGAAAAATCTGATCATCGTTGATATTTAACGGTAGTTAAGTATCATAGCTATTTGGCGATACAAGGATACCAGTTCCGGAAACCTAGCCCGCATAGCTGTCAAGTGGAAGCAGTTGCCAAAAAGAAAGTCTTCGTCGCATCTAAACTTCAAAGGGTGGTAAACCAAGGTTCTCACCATCACAAGTAAGCCCCATGCGCTGTGCGAGGTGAATGGCAATACTTGCTAAAATCCAAAACGGTGCGAGTCGGTTTGAGTACGCATAGCAATGAGGAATAGTGTGTAAGCCTGTAGCACCGCCATTAATGTCTTCTTCAACCGCGAGGCATTTATTAATGCCTGGTAAACAACGGTTCGATATTTCGATGACAAACCATTCCTTGGTTTCTTGAATTCCCGTAAACAGTCAGCGTCCGACGTAGAGGTCACGGCGAGATAGCATATGACAAAAAGCAAGCATTCCTCGCTCTTCGAGGCCATGGGGGGGTCGTTTTGAAACGGTGCTAACCATTTTTGCGACACTCGGAATATGAGGAACCTTACACAAAGGCTCTGCTTTTTGCACGTACGCATTCCAAAGCTTGGTCGCCTCCTCATAGCCGGGGTGCTGTCCGGTCATGCTTTGCGTGTTTCCAGGTATGGCCCCAGAAATGGCTTGCGCTACAAGGAGACCCAGGAGACACTCAGGGGTGTTCTCATCAGCTCCAGTGTCCTCGTTATGGTTGACATCCTGGTCGGAATCGGAAATTTCGCACAGGCCGCCCTCTCTGTCATGAAGAAGGACACTGTCAACATAGCGAGACTTGCTGTCGGTGGACAGAAGTTTACCCGAGCTGGCAGGTTGGAGGCCCGGCATTGGGATTGGGTTATGTGCACTGGCCGCTGATGCTTCAGTCTTCTGGCCGTATGGGGTCGACGCAGAGGATGCATGGAGAAGGTTTTTGTCATGCAAGATGCGCTCGTATCGCGCTAATCGCTCCTGTATGTCTTCGAGCTGGCTTTGTTGTCTTTGTCTCTTTCGCGGTGGGGAGTCTGATAGATGCACTGGAGCTTTGCTCTGCTGCAGCCCGAACACATTGGCATCGTCTTATCGCATTTGAGCTTCTTGCGCACTCAAGCTTGGAACTTGAATCGCATTGTGGCGGAACCGGGGCCAGGACTATGTTGGACAGCGACGGGGGTAATCCGAACCGGCGCGGGGGGCAATTGGAAATAGGTGTGGCGTCGATATCCATGACTTGTCACCGATAACCTTGGCGCTTCACTATCGAAATGCAAGGTAAAATGTGGATGAAAAACACCACGATGTCTAGGTCTTGGGAGGCCCATATCTGGAAACTTGTGTCCACCATTCAGGAGAAGGTTGATCGTTGGCACTGGCAGATGCAGTGATGAATATCTGAAGTGCTCGGTGGTACCTTCGGCCTACGGCAGCCGAAATGGCCCAGCCCCACATTGGCTCCCAATGACGTTCGCTGTTCCAAGTCACTACATACTATCCTTGGTACTTCTATACCTGGCTATTGATAAGCTATTGATTATCCTTCTAGCTATGATAGTGCGGGAAGAAACATCTATCTAAGAGAAATTTAAAAGAAATCCAAAGGAAATCTCAAATAATATGGTTTTTTATAGTTAGTGAACAGATAGTTGTGGTCAAGGTTTATAAATCTCCCTCCCACCAGGTAGCTGGGCCACAATTCTGATCATCGCCCTTCATCCAGGCCGTTCGCTCTGGGCATGCTCAGAGCTCAGTAATCAGCGTCAGGTTCTAGATCTACTAGCCAGTTGAAAATCCCAAGACCTGCAGCAGAAGCAGAATGGACTAGGACCATCCCTCACACATCTGTGAACTTTTTGCCCTCGAGGCGAAGGCAGCGCTACAAGACCAGTGTAGCACGTCCCGATGTCCCATGGCAGGAAGTAGCAGATACGGTATCGTGAAACCCCATCCCGAAAATCACCGGCAAGAAGCTGCACATAAGGTTGAATGGATCACGAATGATGCGAAGTTCTGGCAGTGCCCCCCTTGTCCTGTGAGGTAGTAACAACACCCTGGCAGTCACATCACTTGAGCTACCTGGGCAGATAAATCAGGTGGTTGGATGCCCTACGTCATTGAGGACAAAGGCCGCATGTGCAGCCATCCTAGTGTCATTCCAATCTGGTGATTGTGATCTTCTGCCTTTCATGACAACAACTTTGAGAAGTGAGTTAAGAAATTGTATACGCTGGTGGAGGGACAGAAACCCCGCCGGTCCACCAAAGTACCCGGGGAAGGGCACAGAAGTACGGAATTCGGGAGTCCCGACATCCGTGAATCATCCGTGGACTTTTGATTATTCATCTGATTTTATTTTCTCTTTCCCTGCTGATTCTGAACGTCTACCTATAGGTAGACTTCAAAAAAGAGATCCAAATAAGGAATAAAGATCTCCCGCTAGTCCTCGCCATTTCCGCCGGGTGACTTTTTTGCAAAGTCTTGGCATGCACATTCATGACTCCCACGCAATTTACAACCCTTGGCCGTCAAGGCAATGTACCGTCCATCTTCCCAGAACTCATTGCCCATGGATTCTGCGCTATGGAGAGGTCAGCAACTGAGGGTGGGTTTTACTTGTCATCCTGAGTTCCACTTTCCCGGGTGACTCCGGTTTATCTAGCGTTGCTGACGGCGGCATGGTATCTTTCTAGGCTTGTGAAATGTGCCATCGAAAAAAGACCAAGTGTGAGGTTGAAGGGTCTAGTTTAATTTGCATGCAATGCATGCGCCGTAATACGCCGTGTGCCTTTCCGGTTCAGCATGAGAAGCGGGATGATCACCAAAGGTACGGCGATGCTCGATATTTTAATTGTCGTTCCCGATCGTTTTTTTTTTCGATCGTGACTAATTCTATCACAGTAATGAGGAGTATGTCAGGTCTTTGAAAGACCGCCTCGTCAGGGTTGAGTCGTTGTTGAGGACGGCAGGCATCTTGCAAGAGACCGACATGAGCCAAGACGACTTTTCCGATGAAGATGATGGTGGACCAGCTAGTCAAGAGCTATCATCTGCCTCCAGTCCAACGTCAAATTTCGGGTCGCCTCTTTGCTCAAAGGGTGGCTTCATCGAGGGGACGCCTATCTTCCCGGCGGACCAAAGAGATGACTCTCGATATTTCGGTGAGTACGGCTAATATGATACGCAACCGCCGAGACTAACTCGACGGGCAGGGACATCGTGCTCATTGTCAATTCTATCGCGAACAGGTATAGACTGGATTAAGAGCAAAACAGGTGATGTCAGCTTCTTGCGAATCATATCTCCTGAATCCGTTCATGAAAATCCCTGGAATCAGTGGCGACCGGACGTGTTCCGTGATCTTTTTGCCTCGAAAGTCTTTAAGCCTTTACCCCCGAGGTCGGAAGTATTTTCTCTTATGAAAGATTTCTTCAGGACGGCTAACCGTCTGTTTCCTATCTATCTTGAGTCATCATTCATGAAAATGGTTGAATGGCAATATACGCAGCAAACCTGTGATGACGCTGCCCGTTGGGCCAATATCAACATGGTAATCTGCCTGGCATATGAATATCGATCCTCGAATAGCTCCAAGTCAGAGAAAGAGAAAGAGAAATCCCAGTTGTACTTCAGGAACGCCATGTCGGTCTTCACGGAATTAGCCTTAAAACGCACCGATTTACTGAGTGTACAGGCTTTGATTAGCATGGTACGTCTCCTTCTACCTCGGGTTCTATGGAAGCATCTAACATTTTGCAAAGGCCTTCTTCCTTCGGGGAAATTCTGGAACTCAATCAGCTCTGCCACTCATCACTGCGGCTATGCGATCCAGTCACCGAATGGGGCTTCATCGAGATATTGCAAGACCAGAACTTAGCCCGGCTGAGCAAGAGGAGAGACGCCGCGTTTTTTGGGTTGCATTTGTCATTGATCAAAGGTAAGCTGAGTTCGGTTAGATGTCGTCCTAGGTACTAAAGACAATATTCCAGCACATGCCTAAGAATTGGAAACGCCCCAGCACAACATCAAGATGATTTTGATGTCCCTCTTCCAGAGGAACTGGATGACGACAAGCATGGTGAAACCGCAAGCAACATCCCATTCTTCCGCGAGCTCTGTCAGATGTCGCTCATCAAGAGCCACATCTACAGCCGATTGTACTCCGTTAAGGCATTAGAAAAACCTCCCGTTGAAATCTACAAGAATGTTAAAGAACTACATGCAGAGCTTGAAGAGTGGAAACGCGGATCCCCAACTCTTAATGAACCGCAATTGAAATATAGTGAACGGGACTTCCTGTTTGGCTTTGCCGCTATTGGTCTCCATTTTGTCTACCACAATGCTTTGATCATGATACACCGGGTACCCATCTTTCTTAACTACATGATAGCAGCCAGAAAGGAACCAGAGAAAGTCCAGTTAATCAGCAAGGCACATGCCTCAAGATCAGCAGCCATTGGTGCACAGGCCGCTCGAGATACTTTGAAGGTCGTCAATAACATGCCATGGGGAGATATCGCATGGACCTGGTAAGTTCAACGGTCTCCTGATCTATATCAGCCTCATTTCTCACACTCAAATCCCAGGTCACTACTATACTACGTCTTCCTGGCAGCATCAACATTATTCTCACATATCCTGCGGGATACTCGCGATCCCAGAGTGCGAGCAGACCTTCAATCCCTCGGCATGGTTTCAGCATTCTTTGCAACTCTTGCCCCAGGTGAAGGGTCAAATAATTACGCTAGTTTCATGGCCCGGATGAGCGCAACCCTCGAACGCATTGCCAGAGTCGCCATCGAGAAAGACGAGAAAAGAGCCCGCGCCCCAGACGAAGAAGACCAAGAATATAAAGCACCAGGAGCCAAGAGGCACACCTCTCGGACACAATCAGCACCACAGCACCAAAAAAAGCACCGCCGACCCACAACCCTCCGCAAAATTATGACCCCCGCCACAGCTCCCGGGTATTCAACATCAAGCACTACCACCCCTAACAGGATGGGCATCAGTATCCCTGATACCCTAGAGGGTCTTCCGCCAGTCAATTCTTCAGGCTACGTTGTCCCCGTGAGCCCATTGCCAGACCCGGGCAATAGCAGCCAAATCCAAATCCCATATCTCGCCAGTCCCTACTCGCCTTCAACCACATTCCTCCACGAAGCAGGCGACAACGGCTTTTGCGCACCGCAAATCCCATCTTGGCAACTATCTCATGACTTTTCTTCCACGACTGCAACCCAAGCCCAAGCCCCAGGGTCATCAGGCATGACCCCTAACCCCATCAACACCATCAACTCCCCAGACTCCTTCACCAGCACCGCCAACTCAATCCCCGATTTCTTCCAGTACCCAATGTCCGGCGACTGGAGCCACGGCGGAAATCTCTTCGGCGGACTCTTTCCCACGGAATACACCTTTCCACCTCTCAATCCAACGGAAACTCAGTCTGCCGATGCATATTCTTCCATGCCGATCCTGTCAGCTGGGTCGTTTATTGATGGTGCGCCTGCTATTGGCGGCCAGACGGCTCAGACTGGTGGGTTCGATCCTCAGAATCCGGGCTATGGTTATGCGCCGCAGGGCCAGGAAGATCCGAATCAGGCCGCTGATCCGGTCTGGCCAAATGGCTTTTTGGGGTTGTTTTAGGGATAGGTTAAATGGCAGGGGGTTGTTCGAATTCGTTGTTCTTGTTAGCGTTGTCATTATCTTTTCCTAAACACAACCTCTCTATTCTTTTCTCAGTACATGCATTAGCCAAGATTCATGAGTGTTGATATACATAGCCACTATCGATCAAGTGTGATATAATAGAAATAAATCCCAGCTTTGGGGCATCCCGTATAGACAGAATGTCAACAAGACCTTGTGTTCCACCTGAGTGTGTCAAATGGAGGGAGAGCGAGCCCTGTGAGAAGTACGATTCCGACTTGTAAAAATCAAGAGTAGAAAAAAAGTGATTCAGTCAGTGGATATGACAAAAGACTAGGTATAAAAGAAACGCCCAGCCAGATCCCGAAGTCATGATATCCATCCCATTATCCCGCGCCATTGAACCCAAGAAGGGCATCAAAAAATTTCATCCTGCGCCTTCCTTCCCAAATTCGGACCTAACCCACCCTATAACCGAATCACATAAAAACTGAAAACTAAAACACAGATGCCGTGAGCGTGCGGACTGCCTTGCACCACACGCCATTTCCTAGCTGGAAATCGCCGTTCTTATCCTGACCAAGGCTTTTGCCGAGAATGCTTTGCAACTCCTTGTCTGTAAGATCTGACTTGCTGCCTGTTCCGAAACCATAGACCTTCGTCGCCAGAACGTCAATTTCAAAGTCCAAGACGCCGATGGTGTTCCCTGCATTGCTTTTATCAATGCGGGTACGGACAGTGAAGTCAACATCGATTCTCTTGGCACTGTTACTTTTCAAAGCGGAGCTTTTACGGCCAGGTGCGGCGAACGCCGCGTTGCCGAGGAGAGTGCAGCGTGTAAGTAGAGAAAGAGAGCCCTCATCGGGTTTGGATAGTGTGAGGCGAGTAACACCACAGAATTCCAGCATGCGCGTTTCGTTTTCTAGGCCAACTGTGCGGTCCCATGCGCTAGAAATAAAGCACAAAAGCTGCTTAGGTGAGACAGTAGATTGCTGGATGGTAGCCAGGTGGTGCTGTAGCGAGTGAAGGACCAATGATGCAATGGCAGAAATGTAAACATTCTTTTGGGAAGTCAGTTCCATCGGGTAGTTCTTTCCCTCTTTCTGGCCGCTATTTTTGGAGGCAAAAGCTCCAGGATAGAACTCTAGTTGGAGCTGGTCCCGGTAAGCCATCTTTAGTAAAGGTCCCTCCGAGGCATCTGAAGGAGTTGAAGCCGAAACGATCGACCAACCAGTTTGTTGCTGAATTCGTTGGACAGAGGCTGGTTTTAACAGTAGTCAGAATTGCACCCACAAAGAAAAGTCTCCACAAGGGAGGGAGGAGGCTCACTCTTCAATTCATTGATCTCCCGGGCACTCCAGCCACGGCACTCTTCCTTCATACGCTCTGCCTCCTGGATTTGAGCCAGGTATTCATGCCGCATTTCGGCTCCAGCTTCGATGAAGGTGGTTTTCTCCTGGACCTCCGCCTGCAACCGCTCAAGTTCGCGTCTCTTAGCTGCAATCTCGGAGTCCACTTCAGACAACTTGCTGCGCGCACTGCGCAGCTCATCTTGATCACAGTTGTCCATCTCTTCCACCAACTGTTGTAGGGTTGTTGCCTCTTGCTCGAGAGAAGCGTGCTTCTCCACGAGCAGTGGAACGTTCCGGTTAAGCAAATCTTCTCGCTCAGATAGCAGATTATCGTCTGCTTTCATTTCTTCCGCGTGGCGGATGAGCCCTTCCTTCAACCCCTCAAGCAACTTCATCCGCCACTCGTACCATGTAGCTTTGCTCAGCAGACGAGCATGGGTCTTGACATTTCGGAATTGATTATCCATGATCACTCGGATATCCGGCGGAGCGGTGACATACTCCTTGAAAAGAGCAGGATTCTCGGCATATGTTTCTGCCTCAATAGAGCGGATCACTTGCCGACCTTCAGAAATATAGGATTTCAACTCCCGGCATGACTAGAGAAGGTGTGAGCAAAAACTGGTGTATCCGGGTGTAATAAAACTTACATGCTGGTACAATTCAAGCATTGGAACAGTACAAAAGCCAGCTGCCACACAATCTTCAAATGTTATGGAGCCTAATTTAGGTATATTCTCGCTAGACGGTCGTGTCAGCTTCTTGATGGCACTGCCAGGGGCAGTTGTGTGTCGCCGTTTTGTAGTAGTGAGTTCCATAAAGTGAATGTTGGTCATTTTCAGGAATTCCTGTAACTGAATAGACTCAACTTCCACAGGGGGTTGTTCGACAGAAATTTTTTCTTCTTCTTCTGGCTGTTGAGGATCAGAAGCAATATGAAGGGCATCAATGCCATGCTTGAGAGGAGTTGTCGAGATCTGGGAAGCACTCCGTAATTGCTGGGAAGGCGTCGTGCTACCCTTGGGGGGCGATGAGCTAGCAGCTCTTTGGGCGGGTGAAATCATTGTCTGATGGGCATGTCCTTCCCTGAACATAGGTGTTGGCAACTTCACACCTTTGACTGGGCTGACATTATGGCCACGCAGTCGCTTGGGCGAGTTGTCTACTTCATCTTCATCCAAGTCCAGCTCAACTGGGCGCTTGCCCAGAACCCCACGAGCAGCCCCAACATGAAGACTCTTGCGACTGCCAATCCTAGTCTTCTTCGGGCTCATGTTTGAAATCATATCCTTCAAGCTTGGGGTCGCGTCCCGATCTGACTGCAAGCCTGTGATGTGGCCACCCTCTCGGAGTTCCTCTTCTTCACGTTCACGTTCTTCCTCTGCCTGCAGTTGCAGAGGATCCTCGAATCGTACACCTGATCGGGGCTGTTCTTGCGGAACGAACTGGGGTGTACTATCGCCAAGCGACTGGCGCTTGTCGAGTAAGGCCGCCACGCGAGGAGATCCAAGACCTTCTTTGTCAATACCTAGACCAGAAGAGCGACGAACCTCGCGTGGTTGCAATCTGAAGAGTGGGGTCGACTCTCCTGTTGCTTTGTTGTGCTCAAACAGGCTTTGACGTAGAGACTTGCGTTTATCTGCTGATTGCTGGAGCTCGGGCTGGAAGAGCTTTCTTGGTGAAGCACTCCTAAAAGTAACATTGCTGGAGGGGGGTGTCTTGCTTGGGGTGATGGGTTTCGTTTGGGGGGTAGACTGCTTGGACGGAGTTAATGGCTTCGCGTGTGGTGAACGTTGCCGGCCGGATGACCCTGGCGTCCCCGACGATCCTGGAGTGAAGCTACGCCGGGAAAGCCTAGCCCGCACAGTTGCCAAACTGGGGCTCCCATTTTCGGATGCAACAGCAGCAATTTGATAACGAAGAGGTGATTTCGCAGGGGACTTGGCAGGAGATTGCCGAACGTTGTCTTGAAAAGGCGAGCTAGCAAGCTGACCTGAGTCGGTTTCGAGCTCCATTATCATCCTTCCATGCACTTTGTCGTTGGCTTCAATCCCTGACTGTAGGATACCACCAATCGCACTGGTCATCTCCATGTCCATACCATCGTCAGAGTCATTGTCTCGATCAGAGTTCATGTGATCAGAGTTGGAGGCATAAGTAGGCTGGTTACCCAAGATTTTGCCAATGGCCGAAGTGAATTCCATTGTCATTCCTTCATCTTCGTTGTCAATCTCTGAAAACTTTGATGGTGAATTCTCCTGTGCGATACCACCGACAACATTTGTCATCTCCATAGTTTGATCTCCGTAGTTGGATTCTTCGGCCACAGACTGGCGGCGAGCCGTGCTCTGGCGATGCCCAGAAGACTTGCCAAGAATGCGTCCTACGGCATTCGTCACGTCCATGCTGAGGTCTTCGTCCTCGTCGATGTCATCTGATTCTGGTAAACCTGGAGTATTGGCATCCTTAGATGGGTCGAGGTTCTCCTCATCATGTCGAGCGCTAATATCTCCCCAATCAAAGCTTTGTCTTTGGCCCTTTTTTATCCACGGCTGGAAAGCACCGGTTATTTCTTGATCCGCAATTTCCATAGACATCTCTCCGTCTTCATCAAGTTCGGTTCCTGCTTCCTTTGCGGCCTGGCGCAGAGCTTCATTGAGTCTGGCACTAGAGCTTGAGCTAGAAGTTGCGTCTGATTGGACACTCATTCCTGAGCGCGCGGTCACATCATCCATGCTCATTGCAGTACTCTCGGCATCAAACCCATCGTCGGAGTCTGAAGCATTGTCATCGTCCTCTTCTCCGGCCAGGCTTTGGGTGCCAGTGTCTTCGCTTCCTACCGAGCTTCCGCTGAAAGGACTAGACGATAAATCGTGACCATCGTTGTCACCCCTAGATGATGGGCGATCTCTTATCTGGTCCAGATCTTGTGTGCGGACAGGGGAGAATCCGAATTCCGACTCTGCTGGCGAAGATGGAGCATCTTTGGTGGGTGAGATAGGGGCAGATTGGTTCTGGGAGTTTGCGGCAGCAGATGAGTGTCTTGTTGAGTTCGCGGCAGAGGAGGAAGTTGAGTCGTCTGGAATTTCCACCACGTTCCAGGTGTGCAGGGTCGCCTCAGGAGCAAAGGATACCCGCCGATTCGCTATATCGATGTATCAGTATTCACTTCAGTGATAAGGTTGAACATACAAACCCATTGATTTCCTCCGTGCCGCTCTTTTCTCTAGGATATTCTGTCGCTCACGAGCTTTGCGCTCCTGTTCATCGCGCTCCTTGGTAGCAGCCATCTCCTCGCGAATGGCTGAAGTCGCATTGAATGTATCAAACGGGTTCGCAGTGTCATCATTGTCATTACCTGTCCTGGGAGGTCCTGGGGTAGGTTCAAAATCATTTAAAAGACCCTTTTTCTTTTGTTCCTTCTGGCTCTGTCCGTCCATGGTGCCGTCATGGGTCTGATGGTCACCACGAGCTGGTGTACGTCGGCGCGTTTCCTCGAATGATGGTATGGTTCGCACTGGAGAGACAGGGACTGTAGGTTTGAGTATGGACTTTAGTGGAAAAGAAGCTGTAGACTATGAGTAATTGAGTCAGAATTTTTCTGCATATGGGCACGTGGTATTCCGTTGGCAGCTACCTGACGACGATTGCCGTTAGAATTTTGGAGGGCATCAAGCCCACCGGGCCCCAAACTCTTGCTCCGAGATTTCTTGACTTTCAGAAGAGTCTTTGTGTTATTCGAAAATGGCTGAGCTGCACCAATCTCAGTTGTCGCATTTTCCTTGTCCAAACCAGACGTCATCCTAGACCGCGGGGCATGAGCGATAGACCGGCGAGATCGTGGCGGTCGCAAAGCCGCGGTGTCGGGTCGAGTTGACATTGTCGGCGGTCAAATCGGCACATTCACTGATGGATTCAAGATTGCATTTTCCGATAAACAGAGCGTTAGGATCTCTAGATCAACAAACCTGGGCCTGTATCTGCTCCTATGGCACCTGCCCAACGCGCGTTGCCTCCGCAATCACGTGATGTAAACAAGGTCGCAGAGCCCTAACCCCAATTAGCCTAGTCCAAATCAGGACTAGTGCCGCACACTACGAATTACCAAAGAAAGATTCCGACAGGCAACGAATCTTCCTCATCTTCGACAGCCGCCAACCCGACATCTCTTCGACACCGCTTCCTCGTCGAACAACACCGCAAAAATGGCCACCGAGTTGACCGTCCAGTCGGAGCGCGCTTTCCAGAAGCAGCCTCACATCTTCCTTAACACCAAGGCTTCGTCCAAGAAGACTGCTCAGGGCCGCCGCTGGTACAAGGATGTCGGTCTCGGTTTCCGTACCCCCAAGACCGCCATTGAGGGAACCTACATCGGTATGCACGACCTCCGCTGAGCTTTTGTTCGAAATCTGGTGGCGGAACACAGGGGTGGGTGGTCTTTTCAGGGAAACAAAGGGCAAATGGAGGATCGCATGGAGCAACTGAGGGGCCTGGAATCTCTGTCGTGTCTCTCTCTCGCCAACGTTCGCATCCTATACTCGAACTTTCAAAACTCGAAAAGACCACTCATGTCCAAAAAATTATCCGCAATCACCAATTTCTTCATGTGTCAGTTGCTCATTTTTGAACTTTTACAGACAAGAAGTGCCCCTTCACTTCCCAGGTCTCCATTCGCGGCCGTGTCCTCGTCGGCAAAGTCGGTAAGTGGATCAAGAACCGCCTTTGAAAAATTAAAGGGATATACTGACAAGTTCTGTCCAGTCTCCACCAAGATGCACCGTACCCTCGTCATCCGTCGCGAATACCTGCACTACGTCCCCAAGTACAACCGTTACGAGCGTCGCCACAAGAACCTGTCTGCCCACGTCTCCCCCGCTTTCCGTGTTGAGGAGGGTGACCTTGTTACCGTTGGCCAGTGCCGTCCTCTCAGCAAGACTGTACGTTCATTTGTGATCCTTGTTAATTTCCGCTACTTTTGGAAGTCTGGAAGTCTGCAAAACCACCCACTGTTGCATAACTACAGCATATCGAATTCGGCAGTCGACGTTGTTTTTCTCGGAACTTGGTGACTAACTCTAAATTTCTGCATAGGTTCGCTTCAACGTGCTGAAGGTTCACGCCAAGACCTCGCGCGCTGTCAAGTCTTTCTCCAAGTTCTAGGTTAATAAACCGGGTGTTTTGAAGGCGAAGGAAGCGGTATGGACTGGATATACGGGAAGTTCTTGGATGGGGGTCGGGATAGTTTATGAGTTTCCATGTCCCAGATACCTCGCTGATGAATGTGTATCCACACAAAAATCAAAATGATTTGTTCGGCCCTCCCGTGATGGAAACTGTACAACAACTCTGGTACAACACAAGATTGACCATGCATGGCAATCTGGACAGAGCCTCTCAATGCGCATCTCGAGTTGTTTTCTTGCTCTAAAGTCTAACATTGATACAGTAGGACCTCAGTATGTGTTCTTTATGGTAATAGCAAACCACAGGCTCAGAGAAAGGGCTGTTGTTGGGCTGTCTGTAGGCCTGGTTTTGATCTCATTCAGTTGATCTCATTCGGGCACTAATTTGTTATCTTGCTTGTCGGGGTTCCTAAAGCCTACTTTGTTTGCTTTATTCGTGGATGTACAACCTAGGTACCTTCAGATGTTGTAGATGATTCTTACAGGCGTTCCCAACGATCGAGCACACAGCATCGTCAGGAATTTTTGATTCAACTACTTCACAAAGGCATATCGAAATTTCGACTAGGGCTTCTTCGTCTTCGCAAGGCTGTGCTAAACAAAGATTGTTTCAATGTTCTCTTGCATGCTAAGCATGGATTGTTTTCTTGTGGCAGTTCACACATCTTTCTGTTGGTTTTCGTGGTAAGCCCAATTTCGGACTTTCTCAAAACAATCCATATCCATATGACCATTTAACATGAGACTGTAGGTGATCTTTTTTCCTGATTGCAGCGGGATTCTTCCCCGGATCTTCGTGGGCGTGTCGGGAACATATATTCATCATTGTCGGACGGCCAGACCCGTTGCAGTGCCCGCTGGGAACTAGTCTCCTCGTTATCCGAGGTGAGGTCAATGATCTATTGATGATGTACCGGTCCCAAGGAGGGTTCGGGGCGATCGTTCTCGGGGAAAATCCCACTAGACAGCGTCTCATGTGTTGAGAACTTTTCGTCATCTGATGTCTCGCTCATTTCGCAGATCGTTATAGGTCGAGACCCGTCCACACCTTCCGACTCAGATGACCCCCCTCCCGAGTCTTCGTCGGTTTCGGGTGGCTCGTAGTCTACATCAGAAATGTAGTCAGATGAGATGTGCATCTTTTGGAGAAAACTTCTGGGCGTCTTTTGAGGTGTGGGCCATGGAACCTCACATTCAGAATCCGACAATTCATCGGGCAGGTATGGTGGCTCACTTCGAATTCCGCTCTGAAACTGATCTGTCTCCTTCTTGTGCCTCCAACCCCATGCCTTGGCAAACTCCGAGGCCAGGTTTTTCCAGTGGATTGCTGGAACTTGGAGAAGAGTTAACAATTTTCCAAACGTTCGACCAGATTTGAAAAGGTGACTTTCTTTTCAATGCCAGCATTTCACGCAGCTTTTCATCGCAGCATGCAACGCTGCGGATGAGTGGGATTTGAACCAAGCGATTCAGGTCGCGGTGGGATTGCGTAATCTGTTCAACGCTGACGATCTCCACGCTGAAAGCAATTGCCTCAGCTATGACACGGCCCCAGATGAGGTACTCACCATAACCCTTCCAGCCACCGTATACTAAAGTTCTAGTCCGGATCGCAAGCGGAAAGGCATAGAAGACTTTCGTTTGCAGCTTCGCTGTGTCGATAATAGTCAGCAGAGCGCCATTTTGACCCGCAATTGCACGGTGAAAAGGTGCCAAAGGAGATTGAGATGCCGAAATAAATGGTGTCCTGATCTTCTCCTTGGTGACATGGCTTCGAAAGAAGCTCTCGAACTGGTCTTCAGAGAAGTCTTCCGGGTCAGACCATTCCTCATTGCTGAACAGGCCCGCTAGGAAAACGGTCTTCGAGTTGACTCCTTGAGACTCACGGTTTGACCAGCGAAACAGCAACGGTGGCATGTTCTCAGGAGCAACTCCTTGCATTGCTTGTTCATGGTCGTAGTGATGACCTTGTCCAGGGGAGTGATTTTGGTCTTCCTCGTGATGATGCGGGCCCCATCCTTGGTTATCTTGAGATTGATCTTGGATCTGTTGGCCCTGGTCAGGGCTCTTGTTTCCCTCGGAATCATTCCGCTGGCTCCGGTCATCGGGACCCGCCGTCTCGTTCATTGTCAATCCATGCTTGCACCACATACATCTCTTTCCATGGCTAGTAACGGCCGACTCATCGTTTACCAGGCGCTCTGTCTGCCCCAGGTAGCCGGCTTGCCCAAAGTGATCCAGTTGTTCAAGATGGTCAGTTTGTTCTCGATCGTGGCTGACAACAATTGTGTTACTCTCACTGCTTTGATGGTCTCTTTCGACGAAAAATTGACACCTTTCCTCTTCGCTTCGCTGCTGCAGCGGGAATGGCATGCTGTGGGGAGTTTGCGAGGGGGACTCAGTTCTTGGTCCCAAGGTCAATACCAGTCGCGTCCCCCATTGAGCAGTGTCTATGTCATCCTCTGTCTTCTCGATGAGCGGAAGACGCAGGTTCAATGCAGTGGACTTGATTCGTTGGGTGACGTTTCTCCATTCTCCGTTGATGTTAAACTCGGTGTCCCGGTGGACACGAGACCAGACAAGATCGCCTATGTTTCTCATCCAATTCCACTGTGTGTGGAGCGTTTTGCCTGGAACAAACCGATGGATTCCACGTTTTCTCAGACCTTCGCGGAACATTGAGAAGAAGATCTCCTCTTTCTGTTTCTTGTCGCATCGGAAAACCCGATACACACAACAAAGAGCTTGTCGCATTGGGACATTCCACCGTAATTTTGGTCTTTGGGACAGAGACTGGTTCTTCATTTTTAACGGAAGAAACAGGTAGGGGGCAAGGTCTCAAGCTAGTCACAAGGTTTTAATTAAGTGTGTGAGATGGTAGTTTGTTTCGAGCGGACCGAGGACTTGTCCAGAAATGAAGGTTTGGAATTGAAAAAAAGAATGCAAGTGACTAGGGTGAGAAGAAGAGAGGAAAGGCGAGAGAAGAAAGGCGAGAGAAGAAAGGAATTTTTGGTGACTTTGGGTGAGTTGGAATAGAAACGAGAGATGCCCAGTTCATCTGTCGAACCTTTTGGGATATCTTCGGTCCCATGTAGGCGACTATTCTTTGGTCAATGAAAAGAGCAACGCCAACTGGCTGTCTTTTAACCCCCCGAATATGGGATCTCTTCTCAAACCCTTGTTCTCATCCGGGGAAAAGGTAGAAGTTATCTCACTATTCTAGGTCTATATGTTGCCTCGGATGAGGCAAATATGTGCACGATAACTATTAACTATAGTTTGCTGGTTAGAGAACCATGTCCGTGTATAGTTAACTAGCTGACAATCAAGATCGTATCGACCTTTCTAGCCGAACCACAAGTGGAGTATGGACTGCAGTATATAGTTTGGAGTGTGCAGCCCTCGATCTACACTTGAAAATATTACATGGGACTCTGCTACTTAGTGGACTTTTATCCTGGGAAGAACGTATTGTTTCCTCTTTTCATTCAATTAAATTGGTGGTTAACATTAACAATGAATTGTCGCTTTGTCGCGTGTTCCTCAATTGTGTACAGCAGGTTCCCTCTACCCACTCCCCGGCTTACCACTGGCCACTAGCTATCTACATTAGATCTCATTTCCACAGTTCGTCTTACTAGTAGATAATCAAGACCGCTGTCCATATTGAAATATGCCACCATTACAATAGAGACCGTCTTGCCGAAGAGCAGTGACATGAGAGAGAAATGTGTAGCACTGAGGGCACTAGGGTTAGATAATATCGCCAACTACTGATCTGCTGAAGACATAGCCATTCCGTGATAGTCCATATAGGTTATAATCATTCAGATAGGATCCGATATCTAGCAAAGCTCTTGCAGCACTTGCATACTACCCCGTGCACACTCGGAACTCACAACATGCGCTAGTCCCGATTTAGATTTCCAGGGACATGCACTCCGGCCCAGGATCTCTCCCTTTGCCCTCACCCTTGAGATTATCTTGCTTGCTATCCTTAGCCCTCAATTTGCTTCTCGATCCCTATTCTGTAATTTTTATTTATCGCCAACTCCTAACCCGGCTGTTCCGATCGGACTTTGGCCCCTCTCCCCTAGAAAACCATCCACTTTCCCCAGGCTTACAGCATGGCTCAATGAGCCACGTCATGAAAGATACGGATGATTGAAGATCTTCTCAGACACTAGAAGGGCATAAAATCTGGGAGCAGGCTCTCCAGTCTTTTTCTCATTGTCTTCCGACAGACTTGCATTCTCCTGAGCCATCGAGAAGTTTGGCACCGACTCACGACTTTCAATTCCAACATGACTGGAGGATTTGAGAAGTCAGTAAAAGGGGCCACAAAGCTCAAGGTCAGTTGGAGTGTTTAAAGTCATCATTTTCCTCATGCGACAAGTATTAACTAAAGGGCGCGAACAGCTTGCGGCCCCTAAATCCAAATACATTGAGAATATCCTTGTGGCAACTCATACCGGCGAGGCAGGAGTCGCAGAGGTGTTCCGAACCCTCCAAATACGACTCCGAGACTCAGCATGGACCATTGTTTTCAAGGCGCTTATCGTCCTCCATCTCATGATCCGAGAGGGCCAACTGGATGCTGCGCTGGGATACTTGTCCGACAATCCAAAGAAGATTGCGCCCAGCAATTTCTCGGAAGGTTCGACCAGGAGTTCCCGCATAGGCATGTGGGCGCATATGACTAACTGTCTTTACAGCACAATCGCAGGGACACAACATCCGACGATATGCTGAATACCTAATCACGCGTGCCAAGGCGTTCGAAGCCTGCAAGACGGATCATGTACGCAGTGGGCCGGGGCGGTTAAAGAGGTTAGGTGTGGAGAAAGGCCTATTGAGGGAGACAGAAATTGTACAGAAACAAATTCGGGCCTTACTGCGGTGTGATGTGGGTGAATTCCGAATTTGAACTTTCTTGGTGACTGACAGGGTACAGCTATTGACCGATGAGCCCGAGAATGAGATCAGTCTAACCGCATTCCGTCTCCTCACACTTGATCTTCTGACCCTATATTCGGTCATGAATGAGGGCACAATTAATGTTTTGGGTAAGTCCGCAGCCCCTCCAGATCGGCATTGGTCTAACTTTGAACCCCGACAGAACACTATTTTGAGATGTCGCGACCGGATAGTATACGTGCCCTGGCAATCTACAAGACGTTCACAAAACAAACGGAAGAAGTGGTCCAGTTCCTGGGAGTGGCAAGACATTTCCAATCTGCTACCCGCCTGGAAATCCCGAAGCTCAAGCATGCCTCCACAGACCTGGCGCGCCTTCTCGAGGATGATCTCAACGATCCTGACTTCGATCTTCGCCGACGCGAGTACTTGGCCAAGAAAGGTGTACGCGTTCCACCGAGTATGAAAGCCAGTGCGACTGCAGATGTGTCAAAGCCAATGCCGAATACGCCGGCGTCAAACCCACTTAGGCAGGCCGAACAACCGAAGCCACCACCTGTAGATCTGATCGACTTTTTTGAGTCGATTGAGCAGAACCAGCAGCCAATGGCGCAACATACTGCATTGCAGTACCAACAAACAGGGTTCCAACAGCCGCCGCCGCAAGCACTCTATCCCCAGCAGACTGGTTTCCAACAGCAGCCTCAGGCGATTCAACAGCAGCCCTCGGTAACTGGATATGGCCAGCTGACCCAATATGGAGCGCCTTATCAAGCACAAGGCCCAAACAATCCATTTGGACAGCCGCCGCAGCAACAGCCGCCGCTACAGCCACTTCAAGCTATGCCAACTGGCGCTGGGTTTGGAGGGTACTCCCCCCAGCCGCAGTCGTATGGCTTTCAGTCACAATTGGCTCCTATTCCACAGGAAGCAATTGCCGCTTTCCCTGAACAGCAGCAGCAGCAACAAGCACCTCAACCCTTGCAGCCCCAGCACACCAATCCGTTCCGCCAGTCATCGATGCTCAGCACTCCTACGGGCGCTCAGCCACCCGCCGCTCCTCTATCGCGACAGAATACGAACCCATTTGCGAGACGACTCTCCGCAGCAAACACGCAATATAACCCACATGAGTCATTTCAGCCTGTGCAACCCCCGCCAGTGCCCCTTTCTCAGCCACCACAAGCGCAGCCGATTCAGCCTCAGCGGACGGGAACCAATCCTTTTGCACGGGCTTCTCCTGCTCCGCAGCAAGGTCTACAACCCCCAGCAGCTGCCCCCTTGCGGCCTAACCCAACTGGCAGCACCAACCCTTTCCGACAAAGCCAGTTTATTAATCAGCAGACCGGACAAGGTTGGCAAAACAGCGGGCAGAGTGGTACAATGGGTGGATTAGAACAGCTGGACACAGTGCAGGTCTTCCCGCGTCCCGGCATGACCTAAATTAGGGGCCCAACACCACATGGCTTCGGAGTGAAACCGACATCCGTCAATAGATTACCTACCTTCGACTATCTCATTCGTTGCATCTCACTTGCTCCCCACATCGCCTCCACATCGAGTAGACTACGGGTGTTTCCGTAGCCTCTGATAGTAACCACATCGTATGTTGTGTTGTATCTGGTAGATTTCAAATCACGTACGTAATTACCTTGAAGGAGCTCCTTAATCTAAGATCGACGTAGTTGGTACTCCAATCACCGATCTTGTCACCCAAAGGTCAAGATCATGATCATCATAGTCTTCTGAAAACTTGCACAATTTCAAGCTTACGATGCTCGACCAAGTTCAAGGCTAGTGCTGACAGGGGCGCACCATCTTGACCTAACGTCTTTTTAAATATGTCACAGGGGGGGGGCAACTGCGGATCATCCGTGTGTAAGGCGATCCCCGTAAATTTGGAGGTGTTTCATGAATCCCAGGGAGTTTGAGATAGTAGATCAAAAATGTCCAAGTTCTCTAGGGAGTACTCCGTACACACACACACATGTTCTCACTCTGTTGCAACACATGACCTCAGAAAGAACAAGCTCGGTGAATAACCTGTCGTCAGGGTCAAGTGGATCTTCGAACTGCCGACTCTTCTAGCCCTGGGCAAAAGGCGGGATTAATTGTGATTCCGAAAAGATCAAAAGACCAAAACCCCTTAAATCATCCTAAAATAAACCTGTCGAATTCCACTAGATCTCTTAGCGGGGCTGATGATTCGACAATGCTTTCTGCAATGTGAAGAATCCAAATTTCTTGTTTCTACCCCGCCGGTCCGGAAAGGAAGTTTGTCCTCTTCTAAACCTCCAGGTTTCCCTCATTCTACACAGGTAATGCCTGGAACGTCCAGATCAGCCCGATGAACGCGAAGGACATCTTATCGAGTTGCGAGCAGACCTTGCCCGTGCTGTCTCGGTCATCGGCTGCGGCTTGGGCGGCCGATCTGATCCACTCCCCCTGTGCAGCGCCCATCCACTTCGATTCCAACCCCGTACAGACCGTGACCTCAACACAAACTCCTCCACCTCCCCCTCCACCCATAGCTCCCAGTCGAAAAACAACTACTAGGGTACGCAAATCCCGCAAAAACAACAATGTATCGGTGGGCAAATCGACGTTATTCTGGGTCAACAGTGATCAGCAAACTGCAGCGGCAGGCACTACGGACGAGACCCTGAAGCGGATTCGGTCCCATGTTATGTCCGAGCATAATCGTAAGAAGCGGATGGAGAGTACGGAACAGTATAATAAGAGCAAATGGAAGCACCTACCTTATCAAACCCCGACAACGAACCCGGGAGCACTCGTGCCCGCTGAGCCTGTCCGTTCGCGTGCTAGCTTGTCCGCCGACTTATCCGCTAGCTCGTCCAGTGATCAAATCTCAGATGAACAAGAGCTAGAGCAGGTCGACGAGCTTGTTACATCAATATCTGTGGGATACCCTGCTACGCAAGCTGCATCATGGGAGGACTCTAGCTCTGGTGGGACGATGGCCCACCCCGCTGGACCATCTGCATGGTCTTACGTGGGACAAGGGGCCAATGATCCTTTTTCTACTGGGCATACGCAACTGACAGATAGAATGATGCGACATCTCCGAGTCTGTGAGTGTTTTCTTGTCAACCCCCATCATGTTGCATACTGACGCCGTAATAGTCCTCTGGGATCTGACACAAGAAGCGCATCCATTGCAAACGCGATATAAGCCCAAGCTGCAGGCCCATTGGGCATCCTTGATCCAGCGCGATCCAGCCATTCTCCATGCCACAATCTGTATGGCGTCTTCCAATGACGCTATGCGTGCAGGCGAGCTACCCATCCGAGATCCGAAGCAAAAGCGGAGCCAGTTGGTGATCGACACGTTCCACCACCGTGGCGAGACTATTCGACTTGTCAACGAGGGCCTGTCAGACCCAGCCAAGGCTTCCAGTGATGTTTTGATTGCGGCAGTTTCCACCTTGTTGACAATTGAAGTGAGCATAATCTCTGAAACCAGACTTGTGATTCTCGGAGCTAATCCCTGATTGTAGATCGCGTCGGGAAATCCTGACTATCTCAAAATCCACCTAGCAGGTTTGCGACAGATGATCGCATTGCGAAAGAATTTTGACGATGTTCCTTCAGACGTACGATTCCAGATCTCATGGTTGGTATACCCCCGTCAGGATCAAAATACAAAGCTTTGTTAACCTCGCGATTAGGACTGATATCCGAGTGGCTTGCATGGCCCACGCCAAACCTATATTCCCCTTTGTTCGCTACACCCGCCCAGCGCGGTTCTCTCTTATCCCACCCAATGACGACGTGGCATTACTTTCCACCCGCCTCTTCCCTCTCCTCAAAGTACCCGGTATCTTCGGCGAAGCTATGCAGCAAATCGTATATGATCTCCTCGAACTATCCTGGTATGCAGAATGGATCAAGGGCAACACCGGGTACAAAGAGTTCAACGAGGAGACCGAGGACTACTTCAATACAGAAGTGCTACATGTGGAATACCGACTGCACACAGACCGATATACAGCAACAGGCCAGGTAAAGGGCGACAACTCCATTGAGGGCTGCACCCGTCTCGCTTTACTGCTCTTCCACAACAGCGCCATCTGGAACTTCTATCCCATGGTCGGCCAGTTGCTACCCAAGCCGATCCAGGCACTGCGCACCGCCCTCGAGGCGACTATCCCCTCGGGCTTATTCGCGCTCTGTCGCGACCTGCTCCTCTGGCAGCTTTTCATGGGCGCGGCGTGCAGTCTAACCCTGCCGTCCGAGCGGGCCTTCTTTGTATCTGAACTCGCCAATGCTGCGCGGCTGCAGGGAATCTACTCGTGGCAGGAGGCCCGTACCATCTTGTTAGGCTTTTTCTATGTCGATCGTATTCACCTGCCCATGCTCCGTCAGGTCTGGGATGAGTGTCATTTGCAGGTAGAAGAACCGGCTGTATGAACTTTGCTACTTGGCTCTGCCGTAATAGATCGAACTTGGTCAAAAATTAGTCATGTACAGCTCCTTTTTTTTTTCTGGTAAATTCTCGGGCTTCGGACTTGCTCTCTTGCTCCCTACCCCATGAGTGAAGACATAAATTATGTAGCATCGTGCTGTTTCCACTGATTGACGATTTCTCCCCAAAGCAGTTACAGCCCATCTCCTTCATTGACCACTTCTCCAGAGCTTAAACCAAATGCACTTGATATGTACAGCGTATTGCTACCCAATCGCCCAGACCCGGAGTACAATATACTATCTATCCCAACCTTCAAACAGCCAAGATACCAACACCACAACCAAGTACAAACCGTCCGATTAATCTCGACATCCTCCATCATTCTCGGCATCCATAAAAGACAAGCACGGCATCCCGACATCCGAACAATCTCCGGCGGTCTCTGCAGGCGACGAAGCTGATACGCCGTAGAAGCCCCCACCAAGCGTGCACCGAGCTTCAGCCGGGGAATGGCCGGCTTTGGCTCGGCGTTGCGCGCTGATTGATAGATGCGACAGCTCTGCTTTTTTAGCATGCTTGGCCTTTCTGACTTAGTCCGTTGTCTGTTTTTGTTTTGCCTTGCAGTCCGGTTCACTTTTTCCTCGTGGATTAAATCAGACATACCGGTCCTTTCTACAAAAGGGTTGTCGGAGAAAGTTACGCACATCAACAACACACAAAGGTCTCTGGAGTTTCACGTTCTTGACATGTCGCCCTGCAGGTGCAAGCCCAGACCGAGAAAATTCCGACACGAGATCAGACACCTAGCTCCACTCTCGGGTGGCTTGATCCCGAGCATATGGAAGACTAGGGTCTAGGTATAATAGACTCTGCTGGTGCTGAAAAAAAAGAGGATTGCGTGACATATACATGCTTCCATGCCCCCCTACTTTCTTCTTCTTCTTCTTCTTCTATCCCCCTGGAAAACCAAGTTTTTCGGCCTATGAACACCTTCAGACTGTCTTCAACTTTTCCTTGGCACTCAACATCACTGCATGAATCACATACCAGGCTATTCATGGCTTGGCATCCTCCAGACTGGTGATTCTCAGCTTGAAACAAGAACCCGATTGACTTGCATGCATGGCAACACATGACTGGGTTGGATTTTATGATGGCCCAGGCCAACAAGAGCAGCAGCAAAACACAGTGTGATAATTCAACACCTCAAAGGCCCCAGGACACCAATCTACAAAATCGAAAGAACGCTTGGTGAAGAATGTTGATGAATTAATTACTGAGTTACAGAAACTCGCAGGTAATAGAGACTAAATACAGCCAGGAAAAAAAAACAGCCAGAAAGCACAAGAAAATCATTAAGTGCTCTCCGAAAATTTACAACCAGCATGATCAATCGACTTTCCAAAAAGGGTGATGACTGACAGATTTTTTTTTTTGGAAACTGCGCCGGACGGGATGCTCCATAGAGATCATCCATGCACACAGCAACAGTCACCGACTGACCGACAAAACCCTAAGCCGCAATACAACCAACGAGCAAACGTGTCGATGAGTACAATGCGGGCGAATCGGATCCTGTCTATCTGCAGCCTATACATATAACACTGGGTATCGAAAACATTACAAGCGTCAAGGGGATACTCGGCATTCCCGTCTCTTTTCCAATCAAAAGTGAAAGGTCGCTTATGCGAGCTCACGTTCAGTCTTACCACGGCGAACACGGCCAGTGGGAGACCAGGGGAAGTGAGCGACGGGGATGATGAAGAAGCTGTTGCTAGTATCGGCGATACCAGCGAGGGCATTGTACCAGGCGGAGAAAGCAGCCAGGAAACCAAAGAAGCCACCGGCCTTTTGGACGTTGACATTGGGGTGACCGTCAGGACCGCGCTGCAGGTAGGAGACACCGAGCAGGAGGAAGGTCAGGTCCAGGGTGAAGAACAGCGTGAAGAAGGCGACGGTGGACTTGAGGGTGCAGAACAACATGATGGTGGTGAAGATGAACCAGCCCTAATTATGACATTGTCAGCGGGCGATGGATTCCCTTGGCTCGACTTGTGTAAAGAGAGGCAAAACCTACCATCAGGAAAAGACCCATGGAGTCATAGAACTTGGAAGGATCGCTGCTTGTCTCACCGAGGGCCTTACCGATCTCGAACCCACCAGGGGTCAAGACGATAGCGAAAGCGATCCAGAACCCACCGTAGGAGGAGAGAGCAGTCGCACCGAACGTATTGCCGACGGCCATTTCCCTAAAAACACCGCCCCCAACGGGCACCTATTAGCCGCAGAACCTGGGTGGGAACCCCCCAATGGGCCACGGAAGTTACTGTTACATACCACATGCCCGAAAGCAGCTGGACAAGACCGCCGTAACCGAAGGCAAGACCGACCACGATGTTGGGGCTGGCGATATCCAGGGTCCCCATGTTGACAGCGCTGAGGACGAAAGTAGTGAGGGCGAAAGCGCACAGGCCGAGCGGAGCGGGATTGGCGAACTTGCGGCCCTCGACGGACTTGTACAGACCGGGCTGGAACTCACCCCCGAAGGGAGGCAGGGATGCTTCGGTGGCGTTGACGTGGGCGAGAGGTCCGTAGCCGAAGCGCGCGGCTGCGCGAGCGACCTGGTGCTCTTCCGCCGACATTTGAGGCTGCATGGCAGCGCCGCTGTTGCCCAGACCGTTCTGAGGAGAGGGAGGAGAGGGACCCACGTCCTTCTCCAGCTCCGCGTGGTCGGTGTGGTTGATTCCTTCAATTCCAGACATGATGTCGGTCTCTGATTTGTCGTTCACAGAGAGGAAAAGTAAGAAGAAAAAAAAAACAGAAATTCGTGGATTGAAAAGTCAAAGTAATGCCGTACAACCCAGTTCTAGTTGGGGAAAGAGTTCAGATCACACAGTACTGGGGAGCACTGGGAAGGGAAGAAGGAAGCTATTATACTCTCCAATTGGGCCCTCGACGACGAGCCCTTGCCAATTGGACTTTGGCCAACCTTCCGTATTTTCATTTCGGTGGTTTTTTTTTTTTTTAAAAAAAAAAACCCAAAACAATTTCCAGTAGCCGCCAGGACCCGTTCGGAGAAGTTTAAAGTGAAATCTGGTCGAGTAATCTAAAGTGGAGAGACAATGAAGGAAGAGACAAGAAGTGGCGAAATGCTCTAACATGAAAAAAGATCCTGGAACCAGTTGAGACGTGTTCCGTTTAAACCTCATCCTTCACCGGAATCATCTAGAACCCTGTCAGAGTCCTGCAGGGACGGAGAGGGAGAGGACCGATCACTCTCGGTAATTGGCAAGAGAGATAGGAAATAGGCGGGGAAAGAAAGTGGAGAAAGGATCTGGGGAAAAACAAGAGAGTGGGAAAAATCACCGAGGATTAACTTGAGCCCTTGTGCTCCTTTGGACGACGATGTACCACATACGACGTCCATCTGAAAAGCTCATAATCTTTCATGGAACTGGGGCTAGTTCTCTGGTGATCCGGGATATTTCATGGACTGAAGGTGAAGCGACATAAGTGATCGAGTCCACTGGACTCCATCCAGTATTGAACTACAATGTCTGAGGAGCAATACGGAGTACAGCACGCATACAGTACTTTGGTTCACTGGGATTTGCAGCAGAGAAGGTCGAGGAGACTGGCTGGGACCGGCGTTTTCGGTGAATCCCAGTACACCGAGCACGTCACGACCTCGGTCTAACTGTGGAATGCACTTTTGTCAGACCAGTGAGAGAGTACATGGAATGGATTCTGACATGATTCACTCATGATTATCCGTACTCCATACTCGACGGAGTACATTGAAGTCACGAAAGGCAAAAGTCAAACCCGGTAGACTCTTAAGGTTAGGCTAATATCTCCGGACAGGATTACGCACCAATGAATTCAGAATGAAATCAAAATCCGTTACCAATGTGCACTGGGAGTATCGTGTTGTGATGGTGATTGCAATTTCAGTTTCTCTGATATCCAATTTTTCCCCCACTTGGCGTCAGTCTCAAGCCTTTAACCCTTTGTCCCCTTTTTTTTTTTTTTTTCTAGACCGGACAATCACCCCCCGGATACAACATAGACAACATCATATGCCATGCCGTACGATGCACGAAGTACCAGACACTGACTAGTCTGGCCGCATTCTCTCGATTGGGCCCTCAGTCCCGGGGAGGATCAGGATCGGCCCATGAGGCTCGGACCTGTTTGACTCTCTTTATTTTTCCTCTCGTAAGCCCCGTGATGAGATACACACTTGGTCAAGCTTCATCCCCACATGTGGCTCTGCGATAGGATCTATGGCTCACGCTAATGACTGATGTGGACCCCGTGGACGCCTGTGGACGTCTCTGTTCCCGCCTTTTGTCCCTTCTCCGTACGGAGGTTCATCACTCCGTACTGGCTTACGATTCAGGCCGGGACAGAGATTGCCCCGTTCAAGTTGAGACTACTGAACGATTGAGCTATCTTTGTGAGTTCTGCCTCCGTGGTGCTGTCACAGCAACAAGGGAGGATCGCCGCAGAAACGGTGCCAAGGTTCGTTAATCGAAAGTAATTTGGAAGACCCTAGGACCGTATAAATTGTACTCCGTACATCTAAGACGGTTCCACTCCTGCAGTGCGACAATCGTCCCGAAGCCTTGCTAAGCTCTCGGTGTACGCCGAAGGAAGCGATGAATTCTCTCCAGAGTGGAAGGATCCACTGAAACTAGGGCATTGGCTGGAATGTGTGGCGGTTCGCCAAGTAATAATAAACCACACACACACACACACACACACACCCACACCCACCACAGATGACCTTGATCTTGACACCGGGAATGTGTAAATGCGTAGGAATCCCCTTTGACTTTTCGAAATGATGGTTGATCTGGAGTCTGGCATCGACAGGGAAAAAGCCTGCCATGGACCTTTTTTCAATCCAGACCTGATCCGAGCGCAAACTCTGACGTGACAGGTGATGTTGCGCTTGTTCAAGGATAGCTCCCTTCACCCGTCGAGTACCCTGGCGCTCTCTGCTCCCGCGGATACTCCTGGACGTCTACCGAGCATTATGCAGGTGCAGAAACCTGTGGAATGCACAACTCTCTCAGTGAACTGGCATTTCCCCACATTCTGCTCATCCCCCCACTAATGCCCCAATACTCCAGATTTATCTACCAACAGGTACTCTCGGCTGTGTACAACACGGGCTCGGTGGAGCGGAACACTTTCTCGGCTGTTTCCATCGTTTTTTTTTTTTTCTTTTTACCCACGGAGTCCCGCGGAGGAATGGTTTGATACGGATGTCGGCGGCATGGCGGGGGAAATTCGTTCTTGATTTGACGGAATTCTGCTTGCAAGCAGATGCATCTGCACGGATCCGCCGGAGTTCCCCCGCTTTTCTACCTGAGCATTGAGGGCGCTCAGACTACAGGCCATGCTCAAATTCCAGGAATGCTCCTTCGATGCTCGCTGATTACTCACCTGGTGCTCCATCCAATCGGCAACTCCAAATCAAGACGCTATACAGAGAATTTATTAGCCCAGGGTTGTTTGTTCTGGTGTACGAGGTCGTTGATGGCATTGCTACCCTCATATTCCAGAGCACTCATCCTATCCAAAAATAAACACTCCCCACGTCATGAACATGGAGCACAGAGTAAGTTTCCATGTTTCCCCTCAGCGCCTTTTCAAATCTTATAGCTTAACCCCATCTACCGTCATGGACGACGATCCGGATGGCACAATGCTGCAACGGGCAAGAGAAAGTGTGTCGCAAAAACCTGATCGGTCTCGTTGGCGGCAGATGTGCCTACTGTCTCGCAGTTCGCGGCCTCCGCCAGGCGGATAACCCTCCTCTGCGACTCCGACCCATGCTCTCAACAATAGAGGATGAAATGAATGGTTGTACGAGTCACGAAATCCTCGTCTACCGGCACAGCCTTGAGTGACTGAAGATCATGTGTAATCAACAAATGATCAATTATCCAAAAGTCCTACGTTCGATTCTAGATCTAGCTCTGTTCATATCCACAGACCTATACAAACGTCGCCAATCAAGACAGGAAACCCCCCGTCCCCACTCAAGCCGCAGCCTCAATAGACTTCTGGAACTCAGCACTGAACGCATAATCAATATATCCCTTAGGCTCTTTGGGGACATAGAAAGTACCACTGTCATAAGGCACGAACGGGATGCCCTTCTGAATACGGAACGGCAAATCCGGATTCGAGATCCACGGACGTCCAATCCCAACAATAGCATCATAGTCCGCATACTTCTCATCAACCGCCCGAACCGCCGTCTCAGCCTCATACCCACCAGCAACAATGACCGGCGAAGCCTTGCCATACGCCCTGAGGAAGAACTCCAGCTGATCATCCGGCCCAACAGTCGCATTCTCCGCAATGCCAGACTCCACCAAATGCACATACGCAAGTCCCAACTGTGCCGTCTGCGTCGCCAGATACTCAAACTGCGGCTTCGGATCCTCCATCCTCATTCCCTGGAACGTACCCCAAGGACTAAACCGAATCCCAGTCCGATCCGCCCCAACGGCGTCCGCAACAGCCCGCGAAACCTCAACCGCGAACCTCGCCCGACCCTCCACACCCCCACCCCACGCATCCTCCCGCCGATTGCACGTATCCTGAATAAACTGATCAATCAAATACCCATTGGCCGCATGGATCTCGACCCCGTCAAAGCCCGCCGCAACGGCATTCCGCGCCGCTTGCGCATAGTCCGCGATCCATTCGAGGATCTCGGACTCGGACAGCGCGCGCGGCGTAGGAGATTCTGCGTTCAGCGCCGTCGCGCTGCTCGAGATGAGATCGAAGCCGCCCTCGGCCTGCAGAAGCTCCCGGCTGGCAACTCGTCCAAGCGCCCACAGCTGTAGGTAGATGTAGCTGCCTTTTGTGTGCACGGCGTCGGTCACTTCCTTCCATGCGGCGATCTGCGCGTCGTTGTAGATGCCTGGTGCGTTGGGGTAACCGCCGGCGCGGGCGGAGATGGAGGTTGCTTCGCTGATGAGGAGCGTGCCTGGTACTGAGGCGCGCTGGGCGTAGTACTCTTTCACGAAGGGGAGTGGGGTGTATTTGTCATCGGCGCGGAAGCGGGTCATTGGGGCCATGGCGATGCGGTTGGAGAGCTCGACGCGGCCGACGCGGAGCGGGGTGAAGAGTTTGGTCATTTTTTGGTCTTGGTTTATCTTTATCTGGTAAATGCTATTCAGTTGTTCAGGGAAGGGGGAGGGGAAATTCTGAGTATATTTCAAGTACGGAGTACATGACTATAGGGTTTTATATCTTGCATTTGATCGTCGTGTCTGCCTGCTTCGTAGAACTTCCAAGGTTCTCCACTTGGATTAACAAGCAATGGAGTTAAGCCGGTTTCCGAAATCATAACGCCTTGCTCCATGATACATCCCGTGTCTCGCAATTCATCAATCTCCAAGAGGAACGAGTGGCGGTTCTGATTTGCTGCCGGTTGGCCCACTCTAACCCTGGCTCGGGGGAATTAATAATACACAGTAAGGGTGTCCAAGCATAATGGATTACCTGTGTGCATGATAGCAGCTCGTTATAGATTGGAGATTGACGTTTCTTTAACAGTCAATAGTAGCGGAAAAGGAACATGTAGAAGCTACCTATGTACTTGAGCACATGGAGACTTGTGCAGGCGCAAATGTCGCCAAACGCCACCCTCTGGCCCAGCCATGGACTATAATCATTGCACAAACATGGGTTCCTGGTATCATAACGGAGTGAAGAAGAACGTAGAACAAAAAAAAAAAGAAATGATTGACATCATCGCTCCAGGCGACCAACAGTAGCTTCGAGCTGTGCGTTGAACGCCCGGATTTGGTTCAAGAGACCGCCTTGCGCTCCAGGGGCTCGGGAACTCACATCGGCAACAGTGCGAAGCATGAATTCAAGATCCGGAGAAGAATCCGCAGCAGAAGCAGAACGTTGCCTGTTGCGATCGAGGGCCAGTTCAAGGCTGTGGAGGGAATTGCTGATCGTGGATCGTGACTAGGAACTGTTGTCAGTGATGTTTTACCTTCAGGGCTGTCACAGAAAGATCTCACCAATTTCGCCTTCTCCTCTTCAATATGTCTGCTGCGCACTGCATCCATCTGCAAAGCTATGTTCTCGCGTTCTCGACGGACACGGTATAGATGGTTCCGGAGATCCATCATCTCCCGCTTAGTCTTCTTCAATTGCACGCCAAGTACGAAATTGCTATCGAGGATCCCACTTAGGTCCATGAGACGGCTCTCAAGCTCCGAGCCATAAACTTCAACGGCTTTTCTCTTCCGCGACCACTCTGCACGTCGCGTAGCATTTGCCTCGTTCGCAATCCCATCCTTGAGTGTGTTGAGTGTCTTCTCCAGAGTCTCGCGGCAGATCTGGCTCAATACGTCGGCCGGGTTGACACCACCGCGGTTGGGCATCTTGGCCCTTTGGTGCGTGGTAAGTTCATCGGCGGATTCATCTTCGTCTCCAGATTCGTTGGCCGTGGATGCCGCACCACCGAGAGAATTGACATTCGCAAGACGATAAACGGTGACCGGGACTGTTTCCCCACGGGGCTCTCGAGTCTTGCGACGAGGCTGTTCTTGTGTAGCATCAGGCTCGGGCTGGTACTCTGACTCGTGTTCCGGCTCAGGCTCCACTGCGCGACTAGGCTTCTTTCCAGTTCTGCCGCGTTGTGACTTGGGTACTGCAGATTCCGCTTCGGCTTCAGGCTCCGGCTGGTCTTCTGTTACGGGTTCAGACTCGAGCTCGGGCTCCACTGCGCGCTGCGTCTTCTTTCCGGGTTTACCACGTTGAGTCTTGGGTACTGCAGATTCCGCCTCGGGCTCCACCTCCGACTCCATTGCGCGGTTAGCGTTTTTGCCAAGCTTGCCACGTTGAGACTTCGGGACTGCGTATTCAACTTCGGATTCTGGTTGATTTTCTGGCTCGGGCTCGGGCACAGGTTCGGCTGTGTGTTTAGTCGTTTTCCCGTGTCTGCCGCGAGACTTAGGTACCGCAGATTCTGCCACTGGTTCTGGCTGCTCTGCCGTCGCATCTTCAGGCTCCGATTCGGTGTCAGTTTCGACGGCGCGTTTCGCTTTCTTCCCAGGTCTACCACGGGACTTGTGTGTCGCAGATTCTGCTTCTGGCTCTGTTTGGTTTGCCGCCACAGGCTCAGGCTCCACTGCTTGCTTCGCTTTCTTCCCAAGCCTGCCATGTTGTAGCTTGGGCACTGCAGATTCCACCACACTTTCGGGTTGGTCATCCTTTTGGGACGTTGGCTTGCGACCCCGACGTGGCCCCGAAGAGGGCCCTGCAACATCTGGTATAGGTTCAGGGGAAATCTTCTCAGTCTCGATAGCTTCAATGGTCTCCTTGTTGAGTAAGGGTCCTCCACGAGGTCGTTTGGTCTTGGGGGCCTCCTCAACTTGGGCTGCTGCAGGCTCATCCTGCGCCTGGGTTGTCGGATCTTGTACAGCGGTTACGTTATGCAATTCTAGTGTGTTGTTCTCAGTGGGTTGATGCCGCGGGCGACCCCGAGGCTTTTTCGTCTTCGTAGAAAGCCCTTGAGACGGCTGGCGGTCTTGCTCTGGTGCATCATCGGATGGTAGACCATTGTCAGTCATATCGACATCATCAGTAGTCGGCGTATGGCTAGCTTTAAGAGCCTCGGCAGAGCTGCCACGTGGTAACAAAGCTTCTGAGGCAGATTTATCTGTCTGATCAACAGGAGAATCGGTTTCTGTGGTAGCCCGCTGATTCTTCTTGACTCTTTGAATTCGCTCCTCAGGCCTTGGTGGTGGCCGAGCGTTATGTTGTTTCTCGGGAAGTAGTTGCTCTATGTATTCAGGCTGTTCGACACCAAGCCGAGGTTGAGGTGATGGAAGTGGCGCTTGTGATTTTTCTGCTACTGCAGGCGCCGTAGGACCATATACTGGAGATGTACTTTGGGCTAGTGACTCTTCAGTGGCTGGTCTTGTTGGGTTCACGACATTGGTCTCCTCTTCTCTTGGGGGTTGATCTTCGACCGAGGTCTCCGGAAGGGGTGAGATGGGAGGCTGCGGGGATTTGTTGTTGGTTATTTCTGATTGAAGAGATACGTCTGTATTCGGCGGTTCCTGGATGTGGCTTGTTTGAGGCTCTGTGCTACCTGCATTTTTATCAACAGGGTGTGGATCGCCATTCTGAGATCGCCCGCCATTCCGACGTGAAGGAGTATCTTCTACTACATTCGTAGAACCTATAGAAACGTTAGCACACAATTCTAGCATAGCATACTACCCCCGGTCCATCACACACCGATCTTTCTCCTCTTGTTGCTTCGCGTTCGTTCAGGTCTATCGTCCGAGGAGGGTATTTCATATGTCGAGGGTCTTTCTGGGAGCTTGTTGCGCGCACTTCCCGGTGTGCGCTCAGTCCCCTGGGCTAGTGAACCTCGCTGCGATACCTTTAACGGTGTTGTGTTGGGCGCGGTCTGTGTTCGCGGAGGATTCTGAGCTTCAGGGACAGTCGCAATCGGTGCGGGCGCTGATAATCCAAGCGCTGGGCTACCAAATGAGAACCCAAAATTGACCTCTCTTGCTTTGCGCGTCCTGTACCAGCAAATCAGTATCCATGTTATGGTTTCGCGGGGTATAGGCAAGGCGCGTACCCAGCTCCACGCTGCCGCATTTGCTGCCGCTCCTCTCGCGCTGTCAATTGTTAGCACTTCCACACATAGATAATCACAGCACCACAATACATACTGGCTTCCATTTAGGAGGAACGGCGTCGTAAGAGACGCGTCGCGTTGATGGTTGAGGAATAAAGACGAGCGGTCGGAGCCAAGGCGATCAGTGCCGATCCATTTTTGTGCCGATTTCTCCGCGCTCTTCAACCTTCAAAACTCCAGTAATTGCACCTTCTCGGTTATTCTCAAACCAGTAGTTTCAAATGGGTTGGTTCTGGGGCGACAAAAATGATACTGTCCAAAAGCTCGAACCGGGGCTTCGTGACTATCTCGAACAGGAGAAGCCCGACAAATATGTGCCTGGACCCAATGTGAAGCCAGCCTCGACACCCACTCCATCGCCCGAACCGTCCGCACCGTCCGAACCCACGAAACCGAAAGTTCCTGCAGCATCACTCTACCAAGATGGCCGTTATGCGGATCTCTGGAAAACCTACAAGCCGCCGATTGAGCTTGACGAACAATCTGGAGTCCGCGGAGCGTCTCGAGTGATTGAAAAGTACAAGGAGCGCGGCGACACAGTGCAGCGAGCAGCAATGGAGAATTGTGCCTTGGAGCATGAAGCCTTGACACACTGCTTCAAGACCGGCAATTGGCGCAAGCAAATTGAAGCCCGGTTGACCATGTGCTCGGCGGAGAATGGCACCTTTTCGCGATGCTTTACGACCCAGACTGTGAGTTGATCCCACAACGGAGCTTTCTCGATCATTTCAATTCTAATCCTCTTCCGTTATGACAGAAATTTCTCCAAGCTCTCGGTTACGCAGCCGGTTTCGAATATGATGCCGACAAAGAGGAGCGCATTCAGATGCATGCCGACAAACTCTACCACCAGATGCTCGACTACGAAAAGCGAGTTGAGGATGCAAAGGCAGCTGGAATTGAGCCACCCCCTCTCACGTCGCTTTTCAATCCAGAGAAACCAACGCAAACCCCGGAAGTTGGCCTTGAGATTCCTGGAGGGGAGGTAATCCCCGAAGAGCTCAAACCGTCGAAGCCCTTACAGAAGCTCACGCCACATGAACGAGAGCTGGAGATTCGGGCACACTATGCGCAGCGGGAACAGCACAAAATGTATGCACATGAGGCTGCACCGTTCATGAAGACCCAAGTTGATGCTCGGCAGAAGCGACAGGATAAGGCTGTCAGCTGGTTTGGAGAGACTCTCGGAAAGTGGATCTCGTAGAGGGAATTTCGATTCTTGTATTTACTATACTATTTTACTATGAAAAAAAGCGACTGGAGAGGCGTTGAGGGTTCTCTGAATTTGCATTGTATCGCCCTTTTTTAGTCTCTCTGGAGAGTAACGGTTACACTTGAATGTAGTCCTTGGTGTAATTCGTCGGTGTCTCACTTTCTGTTCTGACTCCATTATTAATATCTGCTTCTCTAGTTACCTCTAGTCGAGAGAAGTGGGTAGTGCTTGAGGACCTCGGGAAGAGAAGGGAAATCATAACATGGACATTTCTAGGACATTTCTAGTTACAACAGCCAGTTTAGATGTCAACTGATGAATATCAATGCTGGATGAAAATATTTAAAAAAAAGGTCTTTTGGTCCGTCGCCTATCTAATCGTCGGTCGCGTTCTCCCGCGCAAACAACTCGAAGCATCATCGTAGAATCACGACTCTCTTCAACCTTCGCAACTCTCCAACTCTTCCCTTATCCAACACCTAGTCGCATTCTTTTTTTTTTTTAAATCTTTTCTCTTTGGATGACTCCTCCTCCCTGTCCTCTTACCTGAGACCTAAATCCTATCCAATTCAAAAATTACCCCAGATATCACCTGGCAAAAAAAAAAAAAGATACCTTCATCATTGGACTCGGAAATTCTCCCTTCTCTCCTTAGGCCATATTTTACGATTTACAACCAGTGGTGCTCAACTAGCTGAGCTGCGGCGCTCGCCATGAAGGCCACCCCGTTGCTCATCTCATGGCATAATGACAATGCCCCTATCTACTCGGTGCATTTCGATCCCAATGGCAAGGGCCGGTTAGCTACTGCTGGAAAGTAGGTTTTGGTCTGTCCTCTGAGAGCGTGGAATGATTTTTACTGACCTCTGTCTTTCTAGTGATAACAACGTCCGAGTATGAACCTGCCCTCCGTCGTCCTTCGCACACCTTGATCTGACATGTTCTACAGCTCTGGAAAGTCGAGTCTACTGGGGAGGAAAGAAGAGTCTCTTATCTGAGCACTCTGATGAAGCATACACAGGCCGTCAATGTGGTCCGCTTCAGCCCCAAAGGTATGTTTTTGCACAGGATAGCAGATAACCGCAAGTCTGACAAATACAGGGGAGATGCTGGCATCTGCCGGAGATGATGGAAATGTCCTACTATGGGTCCCTTCGGAGATACAAACACAAGCTGGACTAGGCGAAGATCGCTCGGACGATAAAGAGACCTGGCGAGTGAAGCACATGTGTCGCTCATCCGGTGCTGAGATCTACGACCTGGCCTGGTCTCCCGATGGTGTGTTTATCATTACAGGCAGCATGGATAACATCGCACGGATTTACAATGCTCAAACTGGTCAGTTGTTCTCGAAGAGTCCCCAAACAGCTCGCTAAGCTGACCGAATTCTACAGGGCAAATGGTACGACAGATTGCTGAGCATTCTCACTATGTGCAAGGTGTAGCATGGGACCCGCTTAACGAGTTCGTCGCGACTCAATCGTCCGATCGGTCCGTTCATATTTATACATTGAAGACCAAAGATGGACAATTTACATTGACACCACACGGGAAGGTTCTCAAGATGGATCTCCCTGCCAAACTTGTCGCATCCAACAGTCCTGCGCCTCCAGAGATGACTAGCCGGTCCCAACAAAGCACTGGAAACTCTGTTGTTATTGCCTCGCCTGCTCCCTCAACTCCGGGAACCCCAATGGCTTCCAACCTACCTATGGATCCTCCTCCAGTCTCACACAGTCGTCGTTCTTCGTTCGGCTCGTCTCCTTCCATCCGGCGATCTGCATCTCCTGCTCCGTCTCTCCCGTTGCCCGCCGTGAAACCATTGGAGGTCTCCTCCCCGAGTTTTGGTGGACTGGGGGTCAAGAATGCCAGCATTTATGCCAACGAGACGTTCACTTCTTTCTTCAGGCGACTGACTTTTGCTCCCGACGGAAGCCTGCTGTTCACACCTGCGGGCCAATTCAAGACCAGTCACGTATCAGCTACGGACTCTACAAAGACAACAGACGAGATCATTAACACAGTCTACGTTTACACACGGGCTGGTTTCAACAAGCCCCCGATCTCTCATCTTCCAGGACATAAGAAGCCATCTGTGGCCGTCAAATGCTCCCCGGTCTTTTACACGTTGAAGCAGGGTACCCAGCCTGCCAAAAACATAACCCTTGATACATCTTCGAGCGAGGAGATGTTCTTATCTCTTCCAGACCCCGTGGTATCAGGAGCCCCATCTTTCACCAGCCAGCCCCACCTGGTCCTTCCATCTTCAACGACGGCCGAGCCATCAAAGCTTCCGCCATCTCAAAAGGCTGCCCAGGATGGCAGCAATGAAGCAGGTCAGAGCTCGGCGCCGGTCTTTGCACTTCCTTATCGCATTGTATACGCCGTTGCCACTCAAGATGCTGTTTTGGTATATGACACGCAACAACAAACCCCGCTATGCATTGTTAGCAATTTGCATTTTGCCACTTTCACCGACTTGACTTGGTAAGTGCTGTTTCTATGCTCAATACCCATGTATAACTTTCTAACGCACAACAGGTCCGCCGATGGATTAACCTTGATCATGAGTTCCTCGGACGGCTTCTGTTCTACACTCTCATTTGCACCTGGGGAGTTGGGTCAAACTTACACAGGACCAACTTCTGTGGCTCACAACAATGCAAACCCAAGTACCCCTGCGACGAATGTCACCCCTCTTCTGACACCAACGCCATTGGCATCGTCACATGTGCCATCTCCAATCAAGACAAGCCAGGCCTCCTCAAGTAATACCGGCCCCGCACCGCCAGCTAGCCCCGCACGGTCCAGCTCCTCGTGCTCAGTTGTGACACAGCCTTCCACGCAGCCAACCCCCGCGGGAGTCGTGAACAATCCTACTCCGACCCTCGGGACTGTTCCGTCGGTCACAGCAACACACTCTGCACAGCCACCAACACTTCCATTGACTACCCCACCACAAACACCCATCTCAGGCGCTCCACAGAACGGGCCCACTACGACAGGTAGTAGTGTTCTGGGCAAGCGCGACGCAAGACCTGCAAGCGAGTCTGAAAAAGAAGAGGGCAAGGCAGACCAAAATCATGTATTGCAGCAGCCACCAAAGCGGCGCCGGGTGGCGCCCACCCTGATCTCGGCAGGCACTGATGGAGCCTCATCCTCGAAGTAAAACAAGTTCTAAGTTGAGATTATGTTCAAGTCATCGGCTTCTTGACCCTTTTCTCGGCCTCGGCATGCAAGGCATGAAATGACCAATTTGCTTGGGCAGCTGCCACTTCTTATGATTCATGGTTTTTTTTTATATCCTCCTCAAATTCTACGTTCTGTGTTTGCACTATCTTTGTTTTTGAATTTTTGGACAACAATCGGGTCTATGGTGGATGGAGTTGTGAGAGCTGATCTACCTTCTCGCTCATGTTTCCTCTTGATCTATGCCCGAATTGTGGCATGAGAATAAAGATTGAAAATGTATTATTTTTGCCTTAAAGTAGACGATTTAGGGAGATTATCGAAAACAATGCTTTCGGAATCTAAAGACCGCTCTCCAGATTCTCGGGCAATACCAAAATAAAACATCTCAAGACGTCTCATTCATTCCGCCATTGAGCTATAAGCCAACGCATGTTCGTATGTCCCAAACCCCCTTGAGCATTAAAAAAAAGGTGACCATGAAGCCTATCCCTTCTTGATCCATCATCTATCATACATGAGCGACAACAGTTCGCCTGAGTATAATAATAGTAGCCAATCACAACACTGAGTGTGAGTTGGGTCACTTCGTCCCCTCCTCCCTCGACGTAAAATTCGACAATTCATCTAGAACATCCAAAAGCGAACAATCAGATGGCACCACCGATCTCGCCTCGGTAGCATGTGTGCTAGTCGTCACGGTGGTGACATGGAGTGTTTTCCCAAGCTCAGACTTTGAAACCCGAGATGCGACAGGAGCAACAGCCAACTCATTTGCCCACCGAAACAGCGTGTCGCCACTACGGGAACCACCGGCTGCGAATAGAAATTCGGGATATCTGGCGTTGGGGAGATGGTCTAGAATGTAGGTGGCAGCTCTCCCATTTCCAAAAGCAGCGTGTGGCGGTTCAAACTTCACAGAAGTTGCCTCGCGGACAACGTGGAAATCCGCACGCCCGCGATCACCGTTGATTTGATAGGCTAACTCGGAGGCGTGGCAAGCGGCTACTTCGCGGTCGAGCGCACCATCGTAGTGAAATGTTAGGGAGCAGCGGCGCTCCTCGATTCGGCTGCCCTCTGTTCGCTCGTGGAAATGTTCCATGATCTTTTTGATTCCCGCACACCATTTCATGGAGCTTTCGGGCACAAATGGAATCCATTGAGCTGATTCGGGGTTTCGTAGAAAACATCCGTTTTCGACTATGAAACCGAGCCTGTAGGGGAGTTTTTTGAGTGCTTCTTGGAGCTGCTCGATGCTCCGATTGCTGATCATGTACAGGATGTTTTTGGGGTCGTTTGCGAGTGTTTGTAGAGTCTCACAGGCTTCTATTGAGGGGATGGACTCTTCCATGCCGAAAGCTGGACCGAAGATTGCGCTGTCTTCTAAGAAAAACATCCGTGCTCTGGCGGCGAGGTATGCCTTTCTCAGGTCATCGGGTGAAAGCCGAGAGAGGTTATTTGTCTGTCGGATTTGTTGTATTTCGTGGGCTTTAGTAAGAGCGTCTTGTAACCCCGTGTGCCATTTGAGAGCAGTATAGGGAGATTTGCAATTGAGCAGGAAATTCCAGTTGAATTTCCGCTCCGTAGGGGACATCTCGAGTGCAGATTTGATCGCATCGGCACACTGTTTGTAATCCCACGGATTGACGAGAAGCTTATAACCTCGAAAGATGGATGCACTACCCACGAACTCGCTGAGGATTAGGGATCCATGTTTCTGGGAGGTAAGCTGTCCATCTTGGCAGTGGATAAAATCATGGCTGGTCAAGTTCATACCCTCACGCAGATTGGTAGCCATGAAGACATGTGCAACACTTAAGAGGGCGATGAATTGAAAGTGGCTGATGTCTTGCCGAACCAGGACTAAGGGCTGGTGAGTGATGGTTGAATAGGTTGCATTGATTCTCATTGCGATCTTTGAGATCTGTACCTCCAGCTCTGGGGTCTCAGATGCAGATGACATTACTTGGACTAGAACCACCTACACAAAACTTGTCAATATTTGCCACACGCAATAAGATTAAATATCCAACTTACCCGCTCCCTCCATTCTGGATAGGTCTTGAGAAACAACTCATATGCCAGAAGCTTCTGCTTGATTCCTCCGGGTGCATCCAATCGGTCTCGCGCTACCATGAGGTGTTTCCCTTGGTATTTATGACCGATGCTGCGAATCCAACCCTTGACCTCGGTGGATTGGCGTAATATATAAAGTGACATGGGGTCAATACCCATGGGAGAATTCACAACACTAATGTATCGATCGTTGAGGTGAACCTGATTTGCAGAGATCTCCAGCCTCCTCAGCCGGCTACAGGAGTGAAGAAAGTGGTTGCAATATTCCTCTGTCTGAAATCCAATCAAATCGGCTCCCAGAAGCCCATCTAAAAGTTCTTCGCGTGGATTCAAACAACGAAAGATTTCAGAGGAAGGAAACGGGGTATGCAAGAAAAGCCCAATCTCGGCCTGGGGTAGTCTTTCCCTCAGAAGGCCAGGAAGAACCAGAAGGTGATAGTCATGAACCCAGATTCTATCGCCTGGCTTCCAGTGCTTGATGATTGTTTCTGCAAATGCCTTGTTGAGCTTGAGGTATTGGACCCAAGAGTAACCGTTGTACTCAGTGTGCCGAGGACTTTCTTGCATCTGATAATGGAGGGCTGGCCAAAGGACCGTGCGACAGAAATGGGTGTAATGACCATCAAACTCGTTGTCACTCACAAACACAGTCAACGAATCATACGCATCCTGGAGGGTCACAGCGATGTCTGTCCTGGTAAGATCTGTCAATGAGTCAGTAGGCATGCCCAGAGTGCCCACCCAAATTCTGTCCTTAAGCAAGCTCGACCTTTCAGCGGCGTGTATGGCATTTTGCAGACCTCCATGGCCTTGTTCAGCGGCCTTGACAACCCAGTCAGTATCGGAGAGCGAGACTCGCGTGCTACCCTGGTATTTCATGCTCAATTGATCCTGGGATCCGTCCAAATACCACTCCTTTTTCGGTCCCTGAGCTGGGCTGCGACTACTCAAAATGGACGGTGTTGGAGGATCTGTCGCTTGGGAAGGCGGCTGATTAAATCTCCGGCTGTGTCCCCAGTGAATAGTACGAGGCTCACTAGGGCCGTGCCATAATCGATCATTGGCAATCGGAATCTCATCTTCTACTTGCCAAGTATATCCCCTCAACACCATCTCATCTTCTGTCGTGACCCCGGGTGTTAGCGGGAGACAGTCCATGAGACGATGATCCGACAGCCGCCCAACAATAGATCCAGGACCATCGACATTTGCATAGCTAGAGATGGACCCGTGCTGTCCATGCTTGGGCTCCGTCACTTGGAAATCAATAGTGTAAGGGAGGAACCTGGTGTAATCTCTCTCAGTCTCTGGAGCTTTTTAGGTTGAGGAAGGAACTCACAAAGATGCGATGAAGACCGTCATTGAACGAGATTGCAACTCCAATGTAGTATTTCTGTTGTAACTGAGGAGTTCGATTCTTGTAGGCAAATCAAGAATAGTTGACAGAGGATGGAGGGGCTCGAATTTTCGAAGAGGAAGGAACAACCTATTGCCATTGCTCTGGTATCTGGTGTACTTGAAAATCTTCCAGTAGGATCCTTTGATACTTCTTGTAATGACTTTTGTGAAACCAAAGGAGAGAATACGTATATAATGTCGATAAACAAGTGAAAACATAGGCTGCACACGAAATTCATTTTGTAGACATGCCTGCTACGGCTTTTATCAAATTACAATCGTGAGGTTTTTCTGATCTGGTTCAACTGTGACCACTAGCATTTGATGGCCGTTCAAACTGATTGCAGAGTGGAATTCGTTAACGCGAGCGACTTTAAGACGTTTTGGAGAGGCTGATGCTTGACTATGTGCGCCAGACTGCACATCTTCTTTCAGTGACCAAAACCATGGCTGGACTATTATCCAAGGTGGGCTTTGAGTAGCTTGAGTGGCTTGCAGTCAGCTCCTTTTAGCATTTATTCAATTTGTCTAGATTTCGTCCGACCAACCATCAAAAAGAGTCATTTCACATGGCCTACTCGCAAGTGTATGACCGTTGACCTCATTGCAATAGTGAATCACAACCGATTATGAGCCCTTCATGTAATGACAAAGGGTGTAGGCAAAGGAAAAGATTAGCCTTACAAAAATAGGCCTTGTAGATAAGGAGTACGCCACACAAAACCACTGAAGGACATCGATTATTACTAGCAGTCTATTGGTTGATGGCGAGACGCAACTCCTCTCTCCTCTATACATAGTTCTACGGATTTTTCAAAGTGTCTTCTAGCATGTTCTCTAGGCTTAATGTTCCTCAATAGCTCAGCAGTATATGGTAAGAGGCGCGCATGGTTGAGCATAGTCCGACGGCATTTTGCCAACCTAGACCATCTTTTTTAAACGGGTCGGCTGATAAGGCGCGAAAAAAAAAATCTAATCAATGAGCTTGCGACAACGACCGAGCTAGAGTGGATTAGCGCATGACGTAGTCCACACGAGCTAACGCTATCATTCCGCATGTCCGTCGGAATCGCCCTCGAGTTAAACAAAATACCGCATGGAGTAAAATGTCGAACCATGTCAGCGTAAGGCCATGCTCAAGAAGTCAGCTGTACACCTATGCCGCGTGCGTGTCCTCTCTTCTTGGCCGAGGACGGCACCCCGCCACGTCAGCTTGAGGATACCGTTATCATCACAGTGTCACAGGGTTGATAGATATTCGAGATCTGAAGAGTGACGCGCATGTATTGAAAGGCTATCATCGATGCATGGAAACCAGATGTGCTACGCTCAGGATACCACGGGTATGGAGTATCGACGGTGCATGTAGTCGCGACACCTTGAAAAGACAGAGCCAAGCTCATGGGATACGACAGCAGGCCTGCAGGACAGGCCGTGTCTTAGTTTAATAAATCATTCAAGCAAGAAAGTCAAGAGACCCAGGAGAGACAGGAGGTCTTGGCTCTTGGCGTCCGGGGACAATTGGCTCGCTCGGCTCGTGAAGCCCAAATTGCTTTGGAGCTCTGCATTTTCCCCTTCGCTTGTAGCATTGATGTACCAATCCCATGGCAATCATCAGTGCCAATTTGAGTGCCTTGCGTGTCGCGTACGAATCGCCTTTCACCTGGTTCGAGGTAGCACGACCCAACTGTTCTTCTCATTACGGTCAATACTGCCGATGAGAAGAGAAAATCACATACTCCGTACATTGGTCAAAAATCAAAATCCAATCCAATCAGAGCGATCAACCAAAAAATACCAATTGGTATCTCATGCAAACGACCCAGTTTTTTTTTTGGGGCGAAATTGGAGCTCGCGCCATCGGAGCTAAGCATCAAGACCTTTTCTCGGCATCGGAACTAACGAACTATAGGGAACATCAACATGCAAGTAGGAGAAACAAAGGCTTCAAAAATTTGATAGACACGTCTGGTGGTTTTTTTTTAGCTGAGGTGACCGTACACAACAATAACCCGTTCGCTCGCACAGCCACCGAGCATAACCTTAGAATATTACTAGGCTCAAACGCGGCTCAGAAGATGAAACGACGGCGGATCGGTTTCCCCAGATAGAACGCCTGGTCAGTTATTTCCCGAATCATGCAAAGTGATCGATTTCAAGGCTGAATCTCGGATCTGGAGAACCTAAAATACTAGCATGATTATAGTATGGAGTGTTATCTGTATCATTGACATACCACAGCGAACGTAATCCTAACTATGATCTAATTGTTGGCCCTGCATCCTTGCACCCGAACCTGGCGGGTTATAAGTGCCGTTGAGCCTGCAACCTAGGTAGACCGTACCAATTTGGTGAGCAGCGTAAGGTATGTTGCATGTTGTATAGAATAGAACCTTCCGCAACCCCTGATTCTTCATATGCACGTCCGCTCATTGCGTACGATGTATCCAGAGCGCGGGGTTTGAAGACAAGCGAGTTGAACTAGTACGAGGTAGATCGACACGGCCAAATCCTTCGCCTAACTATAAAGGGGAAGGGAAACTTCCAAAATTGGAACACGTGTGTTCAGGGTCTTCGTGGGTGTGATTCATACAGGTTGTTGTGATTGGCGATGGAGGTCGAGTTCCTGCGGGTTGTAGCGTTAGACAGCGAACGGGCTAGCCCTAATGATCCGCACTTTATCACGGAGTACAGATTATTTTTACACCCCATCGAGATATGAATCTCACATTCCCATTCCTATGAGCGATTGAGTGTGCCGAGAACTACGATCTCACGTTGCACGGGACAATCACATTCATACCAGGGAAGACGAAGATGCCTTGGAAGCCCCCCCCCCTTCATTGGGCTTCGTTGGGTCAGACGCTAATCCTCATTAGGCTAAACGCACCGCCTTAAAGCGGCTTAGCAGCCCCGATCGTGTGAAATGCCAAGACGGACGCTTGCGCGTCTCCAGCCTTTTGAGTGGAAAAGCGGACGGAAGAATTGAGCTTTCGTACCTTGGCCGCGCGTTGGCCCTACAACCCTATCTTCAATAATCAAATTTTTCTTTTTTTTTTTCTCTTGTCTTTAGCTTAATGTTGAACTGGTACTCCATACGGAGTACAAAGTAAATTCAATGTACTCTGTACAAAATGCTCTTGAATATAAACCAATCAGACCACAAGCTTTGATCATCGCCTTATTAAACCCTCAAAGGTTATTGATCTTCATTGTTGTGCCCAACCGTGACTATCCTATTAACGACAACCTTAGGAGGCTTTATTTATTGCGTGACGAACCAGGTTAGGGTATAGATAGGGTCGTCATCTTTTCTGACTCATGTGTTGTACATCCTGTAATTCAGATGTATCCTGTTTACCGAAAAAAAAAGGGAATTGATAAGTACCGAGTGATCAAGTCAAGAACTGAAAAAGGATATAGAAGCCTTCAAGCCAAAGTATAGACAACGCCAAGAAAACTGACAACGATCCACGAAAATCTGGATGTGGACGTTACGTGTTCACGGATGCCAAAAAATACACAAATTACGGAAATTTCGGAAATTACGGGGAAAAAGGGTCTTTTCTCTTGGCTTTTTTTTTTTCGTTTTCGCACACGCGGCTTGGCCGCGGGGCCCGTGATTGGGGCCAGATGCTGACGACGCTCGTAATACTGCGTACTCCGTACTCTTGTCCTCTCTCTTTCTCCCTCTCTCGCTATCCAAGGGCCTGTCTTTCTTTCTTTTCTTGACTCTCCAACAAGAGAGTGTGATTTTCAAGTGCTACGTCAATACGAGCGAGGTAGTCCCTTCTTTACTACTCGTCTCTGGCATCCCTTTCTGATTCTCTTCTTTCCCCCCCTCCAATTTTGGGTCAAATTGGACCCATTTCGCCCAAGCTCGACTATTCACCCATTTCGTATCATTCTGGATCTCCATATTCATCGTCTTGCAAGTCGGCCGTGACTTCCTCATCGACTATGGCGGACGGCAGACATCGGGCTACCCAGCCTGCCCCAAGTGGCTATGACGCCTCCTCTCTAACCCACGAATTCGAGCAGCTGATGCGCACGAAACGACTCAACCGACTTCATGAACCTTCTCGTTCGCATAATCACTCGCCATCGCCATCACCGTCTCCGATGTCCAGTTCGTCAATCCCACCGCCACCGACACGAGCTCCACCACCGCCTCCCACGTCAGGCACCCCTGCCGCTGCTCCCTCCCAAAAGCCATCCACAACCTCATCAGCACTACGCGGTCTTCCTATCATGCCATCGCCTCCACAGGATGCAGCTTCACTCAAATTTTACAATTTATTGAAGGGGTTATCAGTTACACCAACCAAGTACGAAAATCCGGGTCTTTTGGATGAAGCGTTGTGCGTCATTCCGCTTGATCGCCTATATTCCGAGGCCGAGGAAGAATCCCAAATTATGCAGGCTCAGGCCGCCAGCGTCGCAGGGAAGCCGGAATGGGGCTACCAAGATTGTGTGATCCGAGCATTGTTAAGGTATGTTGGAATCCCTAGATGGTCTAGACTCATTTCGCCCTTGCTAACATATCTTTATCCAGATGGTTCAAGGGGTCATTTTTCCAATTTGTCAACAATCCTCCATGCTCCAAATGCCACATGCCCACGATCGCCCAAGGCATGACCCCTCCCACCCCCGACGAGACCGCTCGGGGCGCAACCCGAGTCGAGCTGTACCGTTGCTCCGATACTACTTGTTCCGCCCACGAGCGATTTCCGCGGTATTCTGACGTGTGGCAATTGCTACAATCTCGACGAGGCAGGGTTGGCGAATGGGCCAACTGCTTCAGCATGTTCTGTCGCGCAGTGGGGGCTCGAGTCCGTTGGGTCTGGAATTCCGAGGACTACGTCTGGACCGAAGTGTACTCTGAACACCAGCGGCGATGGGTGCATGTCGATGCCTGTGAGGGTGCCTGGGACCAGCCTCGTCTGTATACCGAAGGATGGCAACGCAAGATCTCTTACTGTGTGGCCTTCTCCATCGACGGTGCGACCGATGTTACCCGCCGCTACGTTCGTAACTTCTCCCGACACGGAAGCCCTCGCAATCGCGCCCCTGAAGAAGTTGTTCTGTGGTCCATTCACGAAATCCGACGCAAGCGTCGCGAGAACATGTCCAAGACCGACCAACGCCGCCTGATCAAGGAAGATGAGCGTGAAGAGAAGGAACTCCGATGCTACATGGCATCTGCTCTGGCAGCAGAGATAAACAATATGCTCCCACAGGGTCTCGTCGGTCGCCCCGAGGACCAGAAACACCCAGGTGCTCGCCAGGAGGCCTCGACCGAGTGGCTCGCCGCGCGAGGCCATGGTAACTCAGGACCCGACCGTTCCCGTGAAGGACGGTAAAATCTCTGCTAGTAAACTGGCTTCACATCAACCCCTTGGCTTTTGGAATTTTACATCAGCCACACCACCCATCGAATGACTCTGCGACCTGGATATTCATTATTCCATAGCCCCCTTTCTCGCATCGGAGGACTAGCCGGGCGCAGCGATGTTCGAGAAACCCTCAGGCCATATTGGTTCTGATCATTGACCACAGCCATTGCGGTCGCGCTCGGCAATTTTGTCCGCGCCGCTGACGTCCCTGGGCGTCAGCAATAGATGGACAACTTTGCTATCTTGACCATGATTCAAGCATCTGCGACCGCAGACTTGGACCGGCTGGCCCCGGGCCGGCCTGTCCACAATGTCTGGCGAGATTGACCCATCGTATCCCTGATCATCGACCTTGCAACTACTTTCCTACGCTCCGATCACGCCGATATCTTCCACTCCCTTGCTCTTCTCTTCGATCCTACATCCGGATCCTGCTTTTGTCCCGGCTATCTTTCACTTTAATATGGGTTACACCTGGGGTCCTCGCTTCACGGGTTTTGCATGGTGTCTATGGTGACAACGATATCTTCTCTCTTTCTCTTTGCTCAATTTTTCTATTGCTAATAAATTTGTGGAGACCGCCCGAAAATACAATGTACGAGTCATGGGAAGTCTTTTTTTTTTTTTTTTTTGCATGTTCTGGCAGGATCGCCAGTCCGATCTTTATCCTCATATACCTGACCAGCTTTTTTCAAGGGTCAATTTCCTTGTCTACCAGTGTGCTTGCCCCATTCAACACCAAGCTTTTCTGATTCTTTTGTATACTTCGTATCCCCTCCATGGATAAATTACAAAGCTACCAGTTTGATTGTGATGAGCAATCTTCCCCGCGCTCTCCCTAGCGCCGCCAGTGGAGTCGAGTTCAGAGTTTTTCCCCCTGGCGACATCACATATCATCATAACCCCGTGAACCATAGGAGACAGTAGGGGACTCTGTACCCATGTACGCTGTGTAATGTACATCATACTTTGTGCCGGGAATGGAGAGATCAGACTGGATTTCATGTTGAATCTCCTCCGTACACCATTCCTATTTCACACCAGGCGAAACACGTGTTCAATTTCGACTAGATGTATTTATAGGCTCGTCATGGTGGGTCCAGGGTCTCACCTGAATGGGTGGAGAGTATTTTATAGGGAGAGATGAGAAAAGGCCGAGGATCTCCGTTGTGTATGTTGTATATTGCAAGGTCGTACGGAATACATAGGATTTGTTGTACAGAGTATATAATTTCGGATAGGATCGACATACCTGGAACGTACAGAATTAGATGCCCGAGTATGTGTCGACGAAACTCCGATGTTCCGATGCTAGGATGTAGATCTGCCACATACTCCGAAGTGATACCGAAACACGCCATCCCCCCCCCCAAAAAAAATAAGAACGTGACGACGCCATGTTCAACGTACATCGTCTATTAACTAGACGATCATCGCAACATACACCAAACAGGAATTCATCACGCCATTGCGGATCTTGAATGAGCATCATTGTGTACCTCACACCGCTGAGATCCAGCAGTCGATGCCCCTCCGACGAAGATCTGCCCCTATACGATCCAATTGATGCAAATAATAAGACTGACCCTGCAGCCTCAGCTCCCAACTTCCCCGAGACCCAGCCATAGCCGTAGCATTCGAATCGCAAGCCCCCATAGAAGAAAGCGACCCGGAATCAGACCCTAAACTCTTACAAGAGTCGTCATCCGAACTGAACCCCCCCTGCCCCTCCCCCTCCCCCTCCCCCTCCCCCTCCCCCTCCCCATCAACATCCCCATAATCCTTCTTCCCACTGCATTCCCAATACTCCGAATCCCAACCCCGTCTCGAAACAGACCTCACAACCACCCCCTTCAAAGGCTCCAAAAACCCCGCCAGTTTCTCAACAGGCTCGCTGAACCAACTACTCTCCAACACGAGCACGAATGACCGCAGTGATCCCAGTTGGGATACAGCCCGGCACGTTTCACTCCATTGCGCTCGTCCAGCGGACACATACACCGCGCGCACGGAGTCCTTGCTCGGTAACCAGTGGCCTGGGAAGGACCAGCGTAGCTCGATGGCGCGGATGCGGTCCCGGTGTTCTGGCGGGATCGTTGGAAGGAGATATGGGAGGGTCCAGGGGTTACTGAATTCTAGGGTTGGGAGGGTATAGAGGAGGGGGATGGATTCATGGTATCTGGGAGGGGGGGAGCGGGGAGTTTATCAGTATTGGGAGTGGGGGAGGATTGAGTGTAGATCTCCCCTGAGAGGTGAGCAGGAGAGGTATGCATATTGCACAGGGGACGTCGGATAGGGGGAGGGGGAAGGGAAAGGGAAAGGGAAAGGGAAGGGAAAGGGAAAGGGAAGGATAAATGTTTCAACCATACATCTGCCGACAAGTCAACGCTAGACCCAGTAGCTTAACCTTGTTCCAGCGGAGGAGATCGGCTTCTTTGGCCGGCTGGGAGATGCCCGTGCCATGGCAGATCTCGCAGAATAAATTGCTGCTCTGGCGTGTGTGGCGTTTGGGGGATGAAGACTTGGTTTTAGGCCCGAGCGCACATGGACACACCACGTGTCTGAGTCGCTGCTTGCTGCATTGGATGATGTGGATTCGTTGGTCGGCCAGGACAAATTCCCAGATCAGTAGCCGAAGCTCCGGTGATAGCCGGGTGAGGAGTCGGCTTCGGAGTTGGGGGGAGGGGCTTTCTATTGTTTGGCGACGGGGGAGGGGAGAGGGTTTGTGGCCTGTTTCAAGTCTGTTAGAGAGAGTCAAGACAAGGATAGACAGTGATTTACTCTGATACCGCTGAAGCAGCACATCCTCCCATGAGAAGACCCCGTGTTTGATACGGGCCATTGTTGATAGGAACTCTGTTGGTCCTCGTTAGAATCATAAACAGAGAGATAGTGACAAGGGACAGCGAGGTTGCTTCATAAATAATACCACAAGACCTGTCTGCATCTGCTGACCCTATGGGGTACGACACGTTCCCATCAATCCGAAAGGGCAGCGCCAAGCGGTCCGGTTAAGGGCCAAAGAGTCGGTGAGGGTAGAAGCGGCATAGGATCGAGTTCATGAGGTGGTTATATGTTTCTGAAATGAGAAAGAGAACGAGAAAGGAAGTGCGGAAGAAAATAACTCGGGCTGTCTGTAGATCCTTTTGAACATGCCGTACCGCGTTCGATACTCCGTTGGACTCTATCCTCTCTCCAACATTAACTCGATGTCGTTCAAAAGCAGTTGGCTTGTGACCATCCGTTACTGCTCTTCATATTCCTATCTCACGTTCCACCTTACAATGCTGAGGAACCTTGATGTTGTGGATTTCTTCTACCGCGTGAGATTTTCCGATCTAAGCTGCCGCCTTATAAGGACGTTCAAAGCCAGCCTCTGAATACACTAGGAAAGAACGGAAAACCATAAGTGGAAGAAATCTAATCCACGCGAGCAGCAGGAAGACAAGCGGTGAAGGACAAGACGGGACATGAGTGGTCTGCTTCGCTATAACCAGGAAGGGCCGCGCTCTCGTCGGAGGCTTGAAGTCCATTGCTAGCAATGGTCACGCGACGGTCTTGGACGTGAAGCGACCATTCTCGTAGGATGTCTTGTCGGCTTTGGCAAATTGAACCCATATGGTGAAATGTACCAATTTTGCTTCGCTGACTTGGAGCCATTCCTTATGACTCTCATTGTATCGTTTGCATTTTTCTTCGAGACTATCATGCTTTGGGGAAAATTCGGCACAGAAATGCTGCTCAATGCGATAGACATAGGGTCCTAATTCCTTTTTAATACGCTGAGCTTTGGCACTGTTCGTGGCTGCCAAAACTCGTCTCGGGGTTTGTGGTGCATCCGACTTTGGAACATTTTTGGTTCTCGAGAGTGACAGATGAGGTAGATGAACCCGCCTTTTTGATCTGTACCTGTGAGAGTCTTGAGCAACTTGCAACTCAAGTTGAGTTACACCTCGTATTTATCGATAGGTGATGTGCAGGTTTTACAGAGTTCGAACTCTGTCGCTGGCGGTAGAGTAGAAATGATTGACGCTTCCACCAAGCTCTCATAACGACAGATTTGCAGTTTGCAACAAAGCTGGTGTCTCTTTTCATCATTGCACAGCTCCCTTTGATCAATGAGTCTTTGCATCGTTAGCGACGCGGGCAAAGGCACCTGTCGATCAATTTCCGCTAGGACCTCTTCAAACACAACATCCTTGTCATGAAACCTGCGGTCAGGTTCATTTGAGATAGCAACCATTTGCCTAAACTTCCTTTCCCCTGTTGGAGGTTGGCTCCTGCAATTTTATTGCTTCAGGGCTCCATGCCATCTTTGAGCTGGGCACATCTGAGTATATGAGTCCAGATGCTAACCCCGGTAGGCTTGAAAGATAAAGGATAAGTTGGCTGGTATCTCTGTGGTAGACTGCATCATTCCAACGGTAAAAAGGAGGCGAGAGTGGATATGAGAAAACCAATAAGGAGCACGGAGTACTTTGGGAGCGCATTGTGAAACAAAACCGCAGGATGCTCTCGACCAGCCCGAGTGGGGGGTGGGGTTAAACCCCAAGATAAAAGGCTTTGAGTGTCCCTATGTCCCCTCCTCTCGGCCTATATAAGTGCGATAGATCACAATCCGGGCATCTACTTTATATTATATCAGAGAATCCACCGACAAACTGACGTAGGCGGCGTTGAGCGGTTGGTTACCGTCCTATATTTGCCATGGCCGACAGAGGGGGTGCCCGGTCGTTTCTGAGATAGTTTCGGCTAGACAGAGAGGATTAGAGAATCTCGTGCAAGGTTAGAGACTTTGGGGTGGCTTATACGACTGTGTCGGAAAATCGCGTGCATTAGTATTGACAAGGATGCTCAGCCATCCCATCGAACGTCTTCCGAGGTCAAGTTTGTTGGATTGGGCTGACCTAAGCCACAGACCGAGGGTGCAGTAAATGCAAAGGCGTACAGGGCACTCCGTACCTCTCAAAGATAAAAAAAAGAAAGAGGATTGACGCCTTCCATGTGGATGCTGTAGAGGCTGCCAGACACCGACGTTGGATGAACATTGGGGGCCAAAAGTTCAAGCCCCGCTCTGACGGAAATGAGGGAGGAATTCAGAAGGCATCCACGCGTCCGATAGACTTGATGCAGCGTCTAGCAGCAATTTCCACATCAAAAATAACTCCGTACCTTGCTAGGCTACAGCCGGAACCCTGTAGTCTGGACTAAAGTAGATGAGCACTGAGAAAATAATAATTGCAAGAGGACAGTACATTGTTTGGGATAGCATGTTGTATCTTATTGCTGTTCTATAGGTAACTCTCACACGTCTCAAGTGAGCGAACCCGCTCATCTATGCAAAGACCCTGGACTCCCAGGGCCATAGAGAAGTCGTGCTAAAATTCGGACCGTAACTCACTCAAGGCTAGACCCAAAGTGTTGATCTGGGGCTTCACTAGTAATCCGTCCGACAGCATAGCCAACCCAGCTGGCTGCAGCTGGTCGATATTGTCCTCCGCCGGCAAAGTGCCCACATAGGCATTGAAGTTGTAGATGCCGCAGACGCACGTGTCAAGAACGTCCTTCAAGCTCGTCCCCGACAAAGCCTGAACCGTCCGGAAGCCGCGGGTGACCTTGAAACTCTGCTTGCCCACTCCCATCGGTACTGAGTGTGACCAGACCCCCGGGGGTGCGATGTAGGTCTCAGTCTTATCACCAGACTGCACCCGCACCATCGCAGGCTTCTTTAGTATCGTGACGATGAAAACCTCGTCCAGCATGGTGTCGGCGCCGTCCGGCCGGCCGCGGAAAAAGTTGCCGGTGTTGTTGTTGGCGCTGCCTTGCATGGTTGTATCCGTTGGGTCACAATCGACGCCCTTCATGTTTGGCCGGTACCAGTAAACCAGTTTCTCTTCCTCTATGAATCTGATCGGCAACTTGGAGCCTGCTTTGTAAGCGGCGATGAAAGGCTTTGCCATGTCGAGCCAGCCGTTGTGAGGCCTGTTTCCTTGTTAGTTGATGTTTCCGTCAGTTTGCCAGGGTGAGTTATCTCTACTTACATGTCCATCGCCCACTTCGAGGCACCATCGTCTGTGTGTGGTGACGCCAGCGGGCCAACATAGTGTGACTCACCATAGTCATTCCAGGTGATGATCTCCACAAAGCGAGGGCTGAGACGTAGGATCTCTTTCCACCGTTCATACCACAGCAGGTCGGAAGGGAACACCCAGTTCTTGCTGTAAGAGACCTCGGGGCCATAGTGAGTTGAGAACCAAGGTGAAACGGCTATTGATCAATCAGCAAACATGCACAGAAGAGCCAACCGATTCCGGCTACTCACGCGCAATGTATGCTTTTCCCTGAAGAGCTTTAGTATAAACCTCATCGCTATCTGCAACAGTGACCTTCTGCTCAGCAGTCGGAGCCTTGTTGTTTCCATCACTGTCCCAGCCCATCCAGTTCAAAGCGCCGTCGATCTTATCGAAATCACCCTGACCAGGCTGGAAATTCGGTGCAAAGAAGATCTCACTGCCAGCAGCAGATCTGATTGCGTCGACATCGACACCGTCACCTAAAAATGACGATACAAAGACCTTTCCATCGACCATGAGTTGTGCGGGATGGTTTGCGTACTGCGCGATCTTGAGGCCGACTTCGCTACCTTGGCTAGTCTGCCACCAGTTGAAGTCGAAGGACATGAACACTTTCATGCTGTTGTTGGCGGCAGATTCATAGGCATAGTTCAGTTGAGTGTCGGTGTAAGAGTCGGTGCCAATATTCAATGCAAAGGCGTCGATGCCCGCCTCTTTGGCACGTTTCATGTCATCGTCATAGTCGCAAGCGCCTTCACGGTTGCTGACGATGCCCATCTAGATAGTGTTAATGTAAATTGCGGGGTTAAGCAATATATTAAAAGGTGGAACTTGCCATAAAATGACAGAAAACTAACTTGTTTCCTACGTTTTCGTCGGTAGAGACCATGTTGGTACTGTAATTGAGTGGAGTCGGGGAAGCGAAGGTGAAAGAAAATAGGCCAACCAGGGCCACGAATAAGAATAACATGGCTGTTGAGCGGTGAAGAATTCCAAGAACCAGCCAAGGAATCTTTCCACTATGCGAAGCTGGATGATGAAGATAAAAAGGAGTGACTGATCCAGCTTAATGAGTGACTGGAAATGAGAAATGAGAGTGAAAAAAGAGAGGACAAGACTTGGGAGTCAAAGAAGTAGATACATCGGGGTGCTTTTTTTTTACAAAGCCACATTGTCCCCTCTTTATATGCAGCGGAACAATTCATCAATTTAGACAATGAAGCCCTAAAGTGGGCTGTTGCCTTTCAAGAAAAACCAAAAGAAATCCTGGCGGCCCGACTGCCATAGTGCCCTGTGTCATACGAGGGTCAGCTCTTGGGTTCCGACTGGGTCAGGAAGGCCAAACGATGCCTCTCAGCGATCTGATTAGTTGAAATGAAATGAGTCCAGGGGCAGAGGCTGACGGGGAGAAGCATCTAATAATCCACAAGGCTGTCGGATTGGCCGAACAATGCCTCCATCAGCCCAGCGGCTAATTAACGGAGGTGATCCACCTAAAATGATAACAAGGACTACGCTGATTAGATAAAAAGGGGCATTCCAATAAATCTCATCTTGAAACATGAAACATCTTATACATCCAAGAGATCGGGGGTTCATTCACAAAGCAGGTGCACGGTGTATCCCCGTGGAAGTGCAATCATTGCGGGGGGTGCCTTGGCATCAATTTGTTTTAAAACACCAGACTCAAAATTGAAGAGTCTGTCTCGATCATTTGTTATCAATCTAATGGATCTTCTTTCTTAATTGGTAAACTGGCCCCTTACGGTTTTCTTATAAAAAAGAAAGAGACCCTCCTTATGGAGGGGAGGGTCCGCCTATATGAAAAGGATGACCCAAATGAAAGATTTTCATATACATCAATTCAACCACCATGTAATGCACCACTAGATTGTCTATTAATTAATCCTAAATGGAATATGGAGTTTCTATCAATCAGATGCGCTACTACTATTATGAAAAAAAAAAAGAAAAACAATCAAAAGAACGTACCTCAATCTTAGGAAATACCTCCTTCCACTTCCACTTCTTTTTTTCTTAGCCGGCTTGTTTTGCTTGATGTCTTTGACCTAGCTTAGATCAATGATACCGGTGATTCGTAAATCACGGCGAGAAGTATCGTCCCGGGTGTGGTAGGCCCCTATAACGGCTCTTATTAATTTAAATTCCCGTTACAGCTAAAGAGCTAATATGGCCTATGCCTTAGCGCCCTTTACAAGCTTTACTAGCCCTTATCATAGCGCTTTCTAGTAGGTTCGTGTCAGTTAAGCCGATAGCTAATCCTTTGAATCCTTATCGCGGCTTCTAGAGTACTAATGTCACGGATAACTATGTGCGCTCAGGCATTGCCCTTATAACTAAACTGCAAAGGTATGCTGTTGTTCAGATGCAAATCTTGTCAACCGGGTAAGATACGCTGGCTAGGAGAGGAACACAATGAATTCCATTGAAGTGTGCCAAGACTAATTCTTGCCTGGAGGATCCCAGCCCATAGGGAAGCTATAATACGCCAGCCACTTCTCCGAGCGTTTACCCAACAGACCAAACGACCATTTTCGAATCAATTCATGGAATAGACCTTTTTTTGGCAGTGGCATGTACAACATAAGTAGGTTCTCCACCCTCTGGACCACAGCTGGAAGGGGGTTTGCCAAATTTTGGCGATAAAATTTGGGAATCTTTTCTTCAAAAATTTGCGGGATCCACTTATAGTGGCTACTTCAATAGCCGCACTATACGGATGCTTATACACACTAAAATCCACCGATATTAAGAGGTTGAAGGACACGACTAGTACAGGAGAGTGAGAAGAAGAATATTTTACTATTCATCTTATAAGGTTCGACGAAATATCATACTAAATAGGAACTTAAACCGTTATATTAAAACTAGCCTCTTTCCACTAAGTATACGGCTAACTGTCCACTTGTCTTCGAGAATAAAATGTAGTAGTGATAGTAATTTGAGGACAGCTTATGAAAGATCCAACCATACAAAAGTGCTTTGAAATTTACATAAAGTCCTTTCTCACATTGCACTAAGCTTCCGGCCATCTGGATATCTTCCAACTTGTGGGTTCGACCTTTCTAGCGCCGACGAAGACGGCTATCAGGACCCCTAAATTCTCACGTAGCTTTCGAGATATTAGGCTTAGTTTATTTTAAGAGAGATTCGAGAGCTTTAAGAAACTGACTCTCCATATCACTATCAGTTTTTGGCATTTTTGGTGGTGTAGCTAGTGTTCGAAGTAAAAAGGGTAGAATTCCAAATCATCTTTCATTTGGGCGATCCGTTTCCTGTACGGAGTAGGTATCGGACTCTCCGTAAGGAGGTTTTGAATTTCTTGAAAAAAAAATTGAAGGGCTGGTTAGCACAAAAGAGGGATAGTCTAAGGAGTTTCCTGCGCTAGAGATCCCACATTAGATCCTCGTCTCTCGACACGATTTCCACGGGGGAGTAGCGGTGTAACGGTGTTTCGAATAAAGCCTTGCGACGGATATTTGCCTTTGGAATCCCCGGGATTGGCATATATCTGCCATATACCCAGCTTTTCAAGAGACCTGATTTAATTGACTGCTACAGTCCATCACATTCACGGCTCGGGGTTGACACGCAATCGGGAATATTATATCAAACAAGTCAATTCTAGATATTTCGTGGTTCAATTAATCATAATTCATAGATTCTAGCCTCACTCGAGCGATCTTTGCTAGAGGTAATCCCCATAGTCCGAACTAAAAGTAAAGAGAAAAACTTTGCCATCAAGGCCCTGTGATGGACTGTCTTAAAGCACAGCAAAGGCAGAGACATAGCTCACTGAGCTGTCATCAATTTCCTCTACATCTGAGCTACGCTCGTACCGCAGGAAGTAAAAGCGTCCTTCCTGATCAGCTGCATAACTTGCCGCGATGAATTCCAGGGCTGCCATGATTACCCCGATCGGATGGCGCCCGCAAACTGTGTTACCCGTGCGTTCAATTATGTCCAGAAAGGACTTTGCAGATCCTGTCGTGATGGCAGCCATGGTAGCCATGTCAAATGCTGAGATGCTCTCGTGAATGGCAGGTCCACGACTTGAGATGCGATCGCGTTGCCGCAAGGAGTGACCAAGCGAAACCATATCGACGGCCTGATGAACGCTGCTTGCAGCCATTCCAGGTTGCGGAAGTATATCACCAGATAATGGGAGTTGTGGCCCTGGCCTGGGGGCTTGCGGAACATAGTAGGTGTAGCGGAATCGGAGACCCCAGTGGCAGAAATCTGAACTTATCACAAAGGCGTTTTCTGGGTCCGCCAGGTAGGGGGCTAGGAGGGCCCCAAATGCCTGCTCTGTCGCAGCTGAGGTATTTCCGACCATTATCGGGACTAAAGGTGGGTACTCAGAGGCCGAAGAATCTGGATATTGGAGCTGAAGCAAGCGGTGGATGTAGGGCAGGTGCATCTCGATGCTGTGCTCGTCTTCATCAACCGAACGTGACATAGTTGTGAATCTAATCTTTGTCCCATTCGGTTTGGTTGCCTGGGTTTCGAAAAGCTGGGTAATCAGCTCCGTGTCTAGCGGAAGGGGCTCATCGGAGAGAGGGGTGCGGTAGGAAGTTAGTGTTGGAAGAGCCAGCGTTGCGAGTGAGACATGGTGTGACGGTCCCAAAATGAAGATTCGCTTTCTATTTGTGAAGTTAGAGGATTTTCATAAATAGAAGCAGGGGATAAGCTCACGCTTTGGAGAGATCCAGTGCCTTGTATGCGTAGGCCGCGCAGGGCCCCGAGTATGAATACCCCGCATGCCTAGTAGATTAGCACAATTGGTAAGATAACATCATGTTTATGATGAAGGTCTTAGACATACGGTGCGATGATCACTCTGGCTCCTGGAGTTGGCAGCGAGCCAACCTTCTCCATCGTGTCTGGCACCTGCGCTAGCCAGCCATCCAGCTGACGGGCCAGGGTACGGGCACTGTCTGAGTACCATGATCCAGAGTGAGAGGCCTGTCGAGATGGCATGGTAGGGTTTGAGTTAATAAGTTTGTGTCAAGGTCAAACGTGAGAAGTTGTTGAAGATGCCCAGCTGCAAGCTAAAGCTCTCCAATCGAGTAGAAGTGGGGGAGCGGGGGATCCCGAACGCTGTAGCCGGCGCGCGGATTGAAATATAGTGCAAGAAATTGGTGTGGATTGGATTTAATCTGCTTATTAAATACCGAGAAAGTTCTACAGTAGTTGTTTATCTTCTATGGGGGTTTCTAGTCAACGTCGAATTGTAGATGTCTACATCTGAATGTCAATTGTTACCTTCGGAGCACGGATATGTAGTCAAACTGACAAACAGATTTAAGTTATCGGATGGAACAGCTACATAGGAAATAATGACCATTCGCAAGAGTGCCGAACGAAACAACTGTCAAAACTGCATTGGATGTCCCTGTACATATCATGTTTGTAGAAGTGTAGTCCTGGACGTCGAAAGAATGATCGCGACTCGTAGTCGTAGTCGGGTGATCGAGGCAATGGCATTGGTATCTATAGGTCACATATATCCATTAAAGTAGTAGCAGTCTGCTTCTCCAAGATATACAGAGACTCAGACTCCATGATGTGGAAAGTTGTTGTTGGCAGCATGTGAGTTTGTACCTATATTACCCGTTTTGGCTTAGCCCGACGGAATGCAACGCGAATCCCGGAGATGACGCGCTCAGCCAATTGGGTTCGCATAGTCCAGTCCCCGTCTCACTCTCTCACGACACCTCTTCTCATGCCATTGCCATCCCGGTGACACATTTAAATACGCGGCTACTTCTACACACCCTCTACCGATTCTCCTTAGTATATACACCAAAATTTCAAGATGTCCCTCAAACGGAAAGCTTCGTTTACAGCTCTCCCGACCAGTCAGTCAGTTCCGGCTCCCAGTGAATGGGGTATGGTGATGGATGGGAGCACACATCTCCACAGTCGGACGCGAAAGCGGTTCAGAGACGATCGTCCTAGTGACCAAGTGATTTACCGTAAGTGCCTCGCCTCGCCCCCGTGGCTCTGTCCCTTGATTGTGTCAACGGGCAGCCTTGCTGACAGCTAGCAGAGAACACCCTACGATGGATCTTCTCCGCTCAAAAGCAGCAGGAGTCTACACAGGCCTCCGATATGAATATGGTAGACTCACAGCCGACTCTCGAAACACCAGAAGCTGTTGACCCCCGACAGCAAACATTAGACCGATTCTTCCAACACAAACCCCAGCAATTATCGTCTTTCCGACCATCCCGCCAAGCACTTGCACCTCGAGCCAATGAGACTGCGCTCGCCCAAGAAGATCTCCTGCGTCGCCGGGCGTTTAATCAGATGAGCTCCGGAGACAGCTCGAGCGAGAGCAACAGTCCCGGATCCAATCAGACGGAGAATGATATGAACATGGACGTGGACATGGATCGCAGAGGTGGTAGTGATTGGTTGGTTCAGGCGCCCAAAAACTGGGTAGGAGGAGGGGCCTGGATGTAATTTGGCCGTACGGGTCATTTTTCATCATCGTGCGCTGGTGTTTATACCGGGGGAGGTTATTATTTCATTTCCATCGACTTCATGATACCAATTGGTTTATCTCTCAAGGTGTTGCTGGCTACTCAATTTGCCTTGCTCTTCTTCCTTGCTCAATAAATAAACCGAGAGATTTTTCGGTTCTTGGCGTCTATGGGAGCCTGGGGATGCTTGAACGACTTAGGGGCTTTGACTTTTAATGAACCTATGAAACGAGAAATCTGAATCTGGCTTAAATCTATGTTTCAGGGACTTGTGACTTCATTTGTAGTATTGGATAAGGGCGTATATTAAATACAGCCCTGTGTAGCTACGATGGAGGCGTTGTGATCGCTTACCTAGAATGGTGACTTATATGACTAGTTCGATAATAACCACTAATGTGTACATTTATATACGCTTACAGTAAGGCTAGTAGCTGATTTTGCTTCAAGTTTATTGAGTCATTGTTATTTAGACGCTCTTTAGCTCTTTCTAAGCTGTACCTTGTCGTGTGGTGGCTGTTGTGCTGTCGGCTTAATGTGGCCTCAGGCACCAAAAAAGTTGCTTGTCCCGACGTTCGTCCCTCCTTCAGTTGAACCACAAACCCAGGGAATCCCAAACCGCAAGAGAAATTACTAAACTTTGCCAACCCCCCGAATTATCCGACTCTGTACTTCCTACGTCAGAATCATTTTCAGCTCGGCAACTCTCAGACTTCAACTCCCCCGCACATTGGAGGTCCTTGGGCTGCTGACACGAACAACGCACCAACCACAATGGATCACGATCCGTCTGTTCAATACTTGGAAGGGCTGTTGGGTCGCACATTACGGATCCATACCACAGATACTCGGATGTTTGTCGGGCTTTTCAAGTGTACCGATGCGGTAAGCAGTTGCCTCAGAACCACGCGCTAAAGGCTTTGAAACAGAATACAGCGAGTGGTACTAATCGACAATTCCTCGATAGGACCGGAACATTATCCTCGCCAACTCTTTTGAATATCGTATGCCCACCAAATCAGCCGTACAAGCCGCCGCAGACGAGAAGCAGTGGGGAGAAGGGTCGGAAACAAAGAGTACGACCATCAAAGTCAACATGACACACCGGTTGATAGGCCTCATTGTGATTCCAGGACGACACATTACGAAAATAGAGCTGGAGTAAGCCTTAAATTGATACCAGCTCGGGCTCGTGTCCACATGACCTTCACGTTTCCACCTGGAGATCGTTCTTTACCCTGTTCTCGAATAATACATCTAGCCCTACTGCCCCGCAATGCCAAGCAGTATGACAACAACCTACTGCACCCACCCACGCGATATGCCGCAGCAGAGGCCCGGTTTCTGCCCTGCGCTCACAATTACCCTGGTCCCTGCTTTTCCCGCCAGGACGAGAAGTTAGACGTGGGCCTGTCAAGATGAGGCTTGCTTGCAGAGGCGCTCGTCGGTCATCAACTTGGCACCGGGACCACAGCAGCTGCATCGCATTGTCGCAGCATCTGAGGTGGCTTGATCGTCAGGTCTGCAGTCAAGTTATTGGATAGGAAGATTGTTCGTGGCAGGCGTTCTCGTCCAACAAGGGGTGGAATGGAGGGGCAAAAGAGCGGGAATTCCGCCACAGAGATCCCTTGGCATGAAGCATGGTTGCTTTCGTGCAGAACCAAGACTATTTGTGGCTCGTGTCCGCTTCTGCGATCGGATCATGGAGCAAGGTGCATCTTGTTTTTTTTTTCTGAACAGACGGTGCTATTTTCCAGTCACCTTTCACGGTCGGAAGCATTTGCAGAAGGCATACGCTCTATTACACAGCAACATGAATTCCTGATGCATCATATTGCTTCCGAACGTGCTCTCGAATCCTTGAGTCCGTGGATACTGCACTTCAATTTCTTATCACTTCTGATAGGAGACGTGATCCAGGTGGTGGGGTCCAAGCTCCGGATGGATTCTCTTGCGAATGGCCGGGTAGGGTCGGAAAAAGATACTTGATGTCCGAGTGGTTCAACAAATTCCTTTGTGATGGCCTCTTCAGGTGGCCCAAATTCAAATGTAAAAGCATATACATTGTAGGGAGAAAAGCGCCGCTTATTGGGCGCTAATAGTGGGGGTTTAGAAACGACAACTAGAAAGAAATGCGGTCCAAAAAAAAGGCCGGAGGTTTTACCTGGAATCTGAAGATATGGAAAGGAGGCTGTTCAAATGTCGGGGAGGAGTTCAGAGCTCTATAAGATTAGGGGGAGAAACAGAGATAATGCTTCCAAAATTTGGGTGATGTGTATTAAAGAGAGGGAGATGCAGTATGAGTTTGATTTATCTACTCCATACAAAGTAATCCAATTCCACAAAGGATCCAAATTACCTTTTGATTAAGGCTAATCATAAACACTCGAGGAATCGTCAACATAAATATAAGAGTCTAGACTCTCTATCTTTTCCCAAATCAGGCAACTGTCTTAGGCCCTTACAAGGTTCGTTGTATAGCTCGGACCGTGAGATAGTCCGGCTGACCTAATCCAGCTACCCCGATCGAGACCGGGCCCAAGAAACGGAAACCACAAAAGCAGTCACTTTGTACCCGTCAAGTACTATTTTGCTGTACTGGCGGTGGCGGAGTACTTTTGCCTACCTTGACCTTTCTACCTTGACTTCTAACTTTCCTCTTCCCCTCTCTTTTCTTTATTTCATCCTTGCAAGGAGCTTGCACCCTCGTCTCTGCTATATCTCCCATTTGATCATTCTTTGAGGTAAATTCTACCCCCGGCCTGTCTGCCCAACGTGTGGAATACCCGTTCGAACCCCGTACATAATGACGCATTCCTCTACCCGCAAACCCACCATTCCCAGCCGTTTTTCTTTCAAGGACCTTCCTTGCTTCTTCTTTTCCTCTTCCTGTTATCACCAGTACCTCCACATGCCACCTGGGTTTCTGCGGAGTCGGCCCTGCAATCCCGCATCTACATTGTCTCGTGCAAGTGGCTAACTTTCTGGTAGAGCCTCCTCAGCCTCTCACGGAGCTTCCGCCTCTGATCTCTAGCTTCTCTCCATTCGAAACTCCTTCCACCTGCATCAATCACAAAACGTCTGGTCTGCTATTTAAATCTTCATTTTGACCTCGCCACCTCGTCTTCCACTTGCCTCCGCCTGTGTGTTCCTCAGGGTCCCGACCAGGTGGATGAGTGAAAATCTGTCATCGCACAAACCATAGCGCACTCTTTGCCCAGCCTCTCCAAGCTTTTTTTAATATTGCAGAAGCTCGGGCCAAGACATTCCAGCAACACAACAGGGGTTTGTCGGCATCACAGTTTGAATTCCCATCGTTCGTGCGATCTTCTCGACTCAAGCTTGGCAGTTACCTGAGCCTTATCGTGATGGGTCAGTCGCATTCCAAAGGCAACGCCTCGGGCGACCCTTTGCAGTCCTATCCTTCGTTTTCCAAGTCCGACACCAAAGAGTCTCTTCGCTCCTTGCGTGGCTCGATCCGATCGAAAATCCCTGGTGCTCGCAGCTCCGATAGCCCTCGGGGCTCCACCACTGCTCTCTCCCGGACCGAGAGCCAGACCGACAAATCCGATGCTGGATCTCTCAAATCTGCGGGAAGCCGCCCAGGCTCCAATGCTGGCCTTCCCCAATCGCCTGGTTCCGAGAGCGCTTCGCGACCCGGCTCCCCCCAACCACCTCCGTCCCCCTCGCTTTCTAGCAGCCTCCAACGAGGCCACAAGGATGTGAACGCAATGAAGCAGAGCGGCGAAGTTGACCTTGTGTCGGATGGCCCTCCCTCTGGTGGTCCCCCGACTGGGGCCGCCGCGGTCGCTGGTGAATCAATTCTGATGAAGCGAGAGAACCAGCTGAATCCTATTTTGGACTTCATCTTGAACGCTCCACTGGAGACTTCGGGATCTCCTGGGATGGGTATGGGTGCTTTGAAATCGATTGACTTAGACGACATGATCTCGCGACTTTTAGACGCTGGTTATTCTAGCAAGGTTACCAAAACAGTCTGCCTGAAGAACGCGGAGATTACCGCCATCTGCACCGCCGCTCGTGAGCTCTTCCTGTCGCAGCCTGCTCTGCTAGAGCTGTCCGCGCCCGTGAAGATTGTCGGCGACGTTCACGGCCAATACACTGACCTCATTCGACTCTTCGAGATGTGTGGATTCCCTCCCGCTTCTAACTACCTCTTCCTAGGTGACTACGTCGACCGAGGCAAGCAGAGTCTGGAGACGATCCTTCTGCTGATGTGCTATAAGCTGAAGTACCCTGAGAACTTCTTCCTGCTTCGAGGTAACCATGAGTGTGCCAACGTTACCCGTGTTTATGGGTTCTATGATGAGTGCAAGCGTCGCTGCAATATCAAGGTCTGGAAGACCTTCATCGATACCTTCAATTGTCTCCCGATTGCTGCGATCGTCGCCGGAAAAATTTTCTCTGTTCACGGTGGTCTCTCTCCTAGTCTTTCGCACATGGACGACATTCGCGGCATCGCTCGTCCCACGGATGTACCAGATTATGGTCTGTTGAACGATCTTCTGTGGAGTGACCCGGCAGACATGGAGGAAGATTGGGAACCAAACGAGCGTGGTGTCAGTTACTGTTTCGGAAAGAAGGTGATCATGGACTTTTTGCAGCGTCACGACTTCGACCTGGTTTGCCGTGCTCACATGGTGGTTGAGGATGGATATGAGTTCTACCAGGATCGAATTTTGGTGACTGTGTTTTCTGCACCCAACGTAAGTCTCCATTCCTCTTTGTTTCAGTGCGACTCATACTGACCTTTCACAGTATTGTGGCGAGTTTGATAACTGGGGCGCTGTCATGTCTGTTTCTGGTGAACTTCTTTGCAGCTTTGAACTTCTCAAACCATTGGACTCGACCGCTCTGAAGAATCACATTAAGAAGGGCCGAAACAAGCGCAACAGCATGCTGAACAGTCCTGTAAGGAACCCTCCCCCCCCTGAATTTTTCCCATGTGATCGTTGCTGCATCGTGCAACCCTACTGATCGTTCTTGCAAATCATGCCATGCTGCATCTCATTTCTTCGTGAACAAATCGCTAACCAATTCCAGCCTGCGGCGGTATCGGCGCAAAGTTATTAGGCCCCACCGATCGATCTTCATATGAAATTGAAATCATCTCCTGCAATCCGTCATTGCTGTCATGGTCTCGATTACTCTGACAGTCACTGACTGGCAATGAACACGACTTCCACCAAATTAGCAGCGCGGTAGCCTATCCCTTGTTTGATATTGGCTGATCATTGAAAACGCTCTGCCGTCACGGCTCGCACCAACTTCCGGGCCCAATTCTCCCCGGTATGATTGCCCAAAAATGAGGCTTGGCGCAGAACTGAACCGAATTCCTCTGACCGGTCTGCAAATCGGAGCCATCAAGGCACCGCAGCCTGCGTAGACCTGCAAATCCCACATTTGCAGACTCAAATGGAAAGACATGCTCGAGCAAAGTCACGTGACCTACACGGGCCACTTGATTGTCACCTACTTCGGTTCCCGCTCACAACGTAGACGCGTCCAGACCCACGGCAATTTATCTTCGGCCCTAAAAATCACAGCTCTGTGTATCTACGTGGCTTGGGCTACCAGGCCTCTCGTTTCTGGTGTGGCATTCTCCTGCATGTACTTCCAATATCTCTACTCTTTTATCTCAAACAAATGACATTACTTCGGCGTCGTTCGGTTTTCTTCCTTTCTTCCACATATCTAGGACAATGGACCGTCCTTGTATACTCATAGGCTGAGTAGGAACCTTACCAGTGGTTTCTTTGGGGTATATCTCAGACATCTTTCCAACATATCCCAGGGTTGTGTCGCATATTTGGCTGGACTCCTGTGTGGGTAAATCACCCTTGCTGCTACCAAAAACGCCCTCATTCGTTGATTAAAATCCAGTCAAACAGACCGATATGGCTTGCTGATTCCCAGAAAGAACTTTGTACAACCACTGCTGACCCGTTGCGTGTCTAGGACACGCTCGGGACCACCTCCCTACAAGCCTCGGCAGCTCACCCGCATGTTGTCGAATACCCTTGTGCACAGGTGGTACTTGGATATCAGGTACTACTAGCAAAGACTGGACTTGGTTCACCCCTGTGCAGATTAAAAAAATCTGGAATTGAGTCGTTCAAGTTCAACGGAATTGTCTGTCTTTTCTGCTGTGGATGTTCTGTTCCCTACAATGCAGAACGCAGATGATGACTCAACTATTGTTGGGACTTCCGTGCTCTACGATATCCAGTGTATGGTGGATCATAGCTTCACAAGTCAAAGATGGCTACTTTGAGGAAACAATTGCGTTTTGTTGAACCCGAAGACGTCGGGCAACCAACCGATTTTCAGACGGCTTCTTCGTGTCTCCTTGAAAGTTTATGTGAACTAGAGTTCCTTTCTATAGAAAATAGACGATATCAGGCATGCAAAGGGGTTGTGAACTGAACTGAAGTTCTGTCTAGCGCACTACGCGAAGATCTGATCATGCTGAATTCACAGTGAGACTTGGAAGCCCAACGATAGTGCAGGACGGGTTGAGTTGAGCATTTAAATAGACCTGTAGGAGTGAACCGAATCCTCCTCCTAATAAGTGCAATAATTGAACACTGGTTCCCTTCGTTCTAGCTGATCGGGGATAATTGGAAACACGTCTTCTTCGGGCTTTTGCCCATGTCAACCCCCTCACCAGAAGATATCGACAGTACAAGATATAGTGCCTACGTAGAAACTCAACTGACGAGTCATGGACTATATACACCTTGAGAAATCCGGTACCACTATCAGTAATATCGATTTAAAATGACATGTGAATCTTAGGTCAAGAAGGTAAGGACTTAATTTCCGAGTACCAAACGCATGACGTCGGAAGAAGCACGTAGAATTTGACGGTTCCCATACCAGTCAACCCGACGAGGCAAAAAACATTGCAAATGACTATAAAGTCTTATAACTTACTTTAAAGTCCTACGATAACCTAATCTAGAATAGTCTTATCTTTTTTAATCCGATTCAAGCTGTAGCTTCATGTTTAGAGAGCTCTCTTCTAGGGGTTTGATTTGAAATCTCAACTGAGTAGACGCCTACCAATAGAAAGAAAAAATGATCCCTAGTCTTTTTAAATTTCTAGGATAGTAATCGAACATTAGTGTTACGCTTCAAATGGGAGATCGTCATATAAATCTGGTGAGAAAGATAAGCATTTCCACATGTACATTTTAAATGGTCTTAGTACACCATACAAGCTGCATTTGCAGATGGGTGGTGGACCCCACAGGCGAGGGTCTGTGGATATTTGGCACCCAAATGAAAAGGGCCAGTAATAGGCTCCATTCTCTATTCTTCTATCAGGTACTATTCTCGTGTGGTAGCGAGGACTGATTCTTCCCTGCGATTTGGCACTGGGTCTCAGATTGTACATAAAACGTGTCGGTCATACATGAAAGATATCAATAACCCACACACAGAGAGAGTTATCTCGGAACGAACAAACCGTACAGTTCAGGCTATCTTTGGGTCACTTGATCAAAACCAGATAGGCGCCGTCGGTAGGCATACCGCTGATAAGATGCACAAGCAACCCCGCCACCGGCGAGTCTCCCGTGCAGACACTCCATGAACAACTGATGTCGATCACCAATAGGAACAGTCCCTTGAATCTGTCTCTCCGGGTGGGATTACTATTTGTGGTGAGACTGACCTACAACTAGCGATTTTCACCCCGCATAGTGGATTTGAACTTGTTATCGAAGATACCGGGCGCCTGCCCGAGATGTTATCGGGCTCTACACGAGGGGAACAATTGTAGGATAAAGAAGCTGGTCCCTTCGCCTCATTCCAAATGTGTAGAGGTCGAAGGTCATATCAAAATTCCAAAGACATGGCTACCGCACTTCCTGGAAAGCCTCTCACGGCGCTTGCACGATGCACTCGGCCAACGAGCAATGTGAATACCTCAAGATCACTACGCTTTACCTCAACACTGCAAGCCCACGCAAAAGCGAAGACGATTGAGAACCCCACATTACCACCGCTCTCTGCGTTACCGCCACATGTCTTGCTTAGATCCCTGTTGGTCTCTACGATATCCTCGAAGAGATTTCTTCTGATCCCCGCACTTTCGTTAATGTCTTTCCTCTCCAAGCCCAACAGAATTTGGCTATTTGACGTGGATCGGAATCCACTTCTGCATGGAGTATTAAAGAAAACATTTTACAACCAGTTCTGTGCTGGAGAGAATGGAGCAGAATGCAAGGCCACCATCAAAGAAATGAAAGAGATGGGGTTCAGCGGCATGATCTTGACATATGCCGCAGAAACAGTGTTTGATCACAGTACCCAGGCTCAGCAAGGACAGGGCATTGCATCTTTGAAAAGCGAGCATGGGATTATTTCCATCGACCCGAGCATCGAGGCTTGGCGGAAAGGGACGGTTCAGACCATCTACATGACAGAGCCCGAAGATTACCTCGCAGTGAAGTAAGTTACTCGGCATCCATCCTATCAGGGAGCAAATAACTGACCATGTGAAAAGGTTGACAGGTGCCGGCGTTAAAGTCACCGAGGCGTTCGCCGCTGGAGAGTTGCCCCCGCAGCAAATGATAGATGCCCTGGATGAGGTCTGCACCAAGGCCAAGGCGCGAAAAGTCCGCATCCTCGTCGACGCCGAGTCTCAGCATTTCCAAAAGGGTATTTCACGGGTTGCAGTCGAGCTGATGCGCAAATACAATCGCGACGGGTATTCCACCATCTATAATACATACCAGGCCTACCTCAAAAGCACACCCGCGACACTGGCCAACCATCTCGGGGTGGCAACCGAGGATGGGTTCACTCTCGGCCTCAAACTCGTGAGGGGCGCATACATGGCCACGGATGAACGGTCCCTGATCCATGACACGAAGGAACACACCGACAACGCATTTAATACGATTGCGCAGGGGATACTGAGAAAGAACCTGGGAGATTATGGTGACAAGGGCACCCGCAAATTCCCCTCGGTAAATCTGTTCCTGGCGAGTCACAACAAGGAGAGCGTGGTGACTGCCCACGAGCTCCACAAGCAGCGTGTCATGTCTGGCTTGCCTACCGTGCCGGTGCGCTTTGCCCAACTTCACGGCATGTCTGATGAGGTCAGCTTTTCGTTGCTTCAGATGAATGATGGCGATGGAACACCGGAAGTTTATAAATGTTCTACTTGGGGAGGTCTGGGGGAATGCCTGGCTTATCTTCTTCGTCGAGCGATTGAGAATCGTGATGCTGTTTTGCGGACAGATAATGAGTATCGGGCGTTGAAAGCGGAGGTTTTCCGCCGAGCCAAGTCTGTATTTTCTCCTTAGCCATCTTTACAGAGTAGCCAATAAAATATCAATGATCACTGTGTTTCCCTGACTTGGACCCTCCAGCTCAAATATGCTAGACCAAGGATATGTGAGACCTACATTGGTGTCAAGAACGCAAGTTATATCGGACAGGCACAATCGGCTCCCAGCGGAAGCTGCGCGGGGGGGCTGATTGCAAGAGTCAGGGGTTGGAAATGATGACCTAGTTAATGAAGGAACGATTATGCATTCGGATGGAGAGCATCTGCGTATAAATTTTGGAATAAGCATTGTCAGTTTCGGTAAAGATCAACAGCTTGTCGGGGACCAATCGAAACTTAATTTGAAACCGGGAACAGCGGAAGTGAGAATATACCTGGGTCTGGTGATCATTGACCTCATGGTACGCAACCATGACGTGAGGATGCGAGGGTCGAACGAAGTTTCATATCTCCGCCGCAAGGACATTCACACTTGCATAACCTGACATACATGGACCGTTAAAGACAGGTCGGGTGGGGGGTGGAAAGTGAATTTCCGCGAGTTGGAAAAGATTTGGTTAGATGTACAAAGTACTTCCAAGTACTTCACAAGTTCGCCCCAGTCTCACGAACCTACCCCAGCTACGAGGGGAAGTGGATAAGTATCAATACGGAGTAAACAGTAGGATTCAACATGGATCTTGACACGTGTAGCCAATCGATGGATCAGAAAGTGATCGTTCCAAATTGCCGAGGACCCCCGGGGCCGAGCGTATACATGCGCTCAAGCCCTGGAGGCCACTAGCGCTGCAGCGTACCAAACTCATAGAAAGTCTAAGCTCCACCCACCCTTGATGTCTGAGGAGCTGGTTGGTCTGCTCGGCGAACCTCCGAAGCTTGGTAAGCTTATCTTCGTCCGGATTAGTTCTAGCCCGGAGGTCCTCTCCTTCAATCTGGGGCCCCTCGCTTTAGGAGGCAGGAAGTGGGGGTGTCACGCTGGGGTAATTCGGGAGGGATTTTTTTAAACTGTACACTCCCTTGTACGAAAGCTGAAGTTTTCGACTCCCAAAGCCCTTTCAACACTCATAGTAGAAGCCTCAAAGAGTGAATGCTATGGCCGCTAAGCTCAAAGGCAAGTCATTGAGCCAAGTCATCGGTCTGATTGGCGCCGTCGGATTCGTATTACAGGGTTACGACCAGGCCGTTTCCAATGGACTGTTGACGCTGGGTTCTTTCATCGCCGTCTTTCCTCAAATCGATACCGTGAATACCAGCGGTGGTGAGAAATCTCATAATTCGACAATCCAAGGTATGTTACTCGAACAAATCAGTCATAAGACGTCTACCGAGAACAATGCTGACCATGACAAGGCACCACGGTCGCTATTTATGAAGTTGGATGCGCCTTGGGTGCAGGCTCCTGCGCCTTTCTAGGTGACAGACTTGGCCGTCGCAAGACTATATTTCTTGCCGGTTGCATAGCCATCATTGGGATAGCTATCCAAACAAGTCCCTTCTCCCTCGGTCAGCTGATCGCTGGCAGAGTCGTTACTGGTAAAGACCCAACCCACCATCGAACAAATTACACCAAGCTAACTGGCGTTCTGGCACTGAACAGGTCTTGGTGTCGGTGGCTTCACCGCTACAATCCCCATGTACGTCTCCGAGTCATCCGGAGCAGAGGCCCGAGGCCGAATGGTGCTACTGGAGGGATGGTTTGCAATCGGCGGTATTGTTCTCGCAACATGGTTAGAATTCGGACTCTACTACGTCAGCGACAACTCTGTGAGCTGGCGGTTCCCCATTGCATTCCAGGGCATCTTTGCCATCACTGTGGTGGGATGTATCATGCTCCTACCCGAGTCTCCCCGCTGGCTCGCACGCGTTGGCCGTCTCGAGGAGGCAGCTGAGGTGCTGGCCCGCATGGAAGATGTGTCTGTCGACTCTGAGCATGTCCTACAGGAGCTGGAAATTATGCGACAGTCACTTATAATTGACGACAGCATCGAGTCGGCAGGTTCCTCTTCGCCATTAGCTCTGACGAAGAACCGCCACCTGCACCGTACCGTTATTGCGGTTGGGGTAAACATTCTGGCGCAGATGACCGGGGTCAACATCATCACGTTCTATTCTGATACTATCTTCGAGTCCGACCTGGGCTACTCGGGCACAATCTCACGAATCATCACCGGCTGTCTGCAGATCTGGCAATTTTTAGCTGCCGGCGTGGCCGTTTTGCTCATTGATCGTGTCGGACGTCGTCCATTGCTCATTACTGCCGCTGTCGGTATGACCATTGCCCAGGCCTGTCTGGCGGGGCTGTCCAGCGACCTTGGAAATAAATCCGCAGCTGGCGCATCCCTCTTGTTCTACTTCGTAGCGCTCTTCTGCTTCCCCATTGGACTTTTCCTCGTCCCATTCATGTACGCCGCAGAGATCGCCCCGCTACGCACTCGTGCAAAGGTTACTGCGATGTCCGCTGCGGCAAACTGGCTCTTCAACTTCGTGTTGGCAGAGGTGAGCCCGGTCGGTTTCGCTACTATCAAATGGCGGTATTATATTGTTTACGCATGCATCAGCGCCTTCGCTGGTATATTTTTCTACTTGTTCTGCCCTGAGACTCGGGGCCGAACATTGGAGGAGATCGATGATATTTTCGTTCAATCCAAGTCTGTCTTTGATACTGTTCGTGTCGCACAGGAGATGCCATACCAGACGGAGATCTTGGCGCATGTCAGTGACACCGAGAAGGGTGGCCTGGAGGACATGCAAGTGGAGAATGCTTAAAAATTAAAAAATGACATGAAGACGTTCAAGATTATGGGAGGCTCATCGGGGTTGTTTAGTGGGAAGCTTGTCTGAGAATATAGATTTACGTCGGTAGCTAGTTCCGTTGGCAGGCATCTTGACAGGGTACGAATAAACCGTTTAGACAAGAATTTGATTTGTTTACCCTGAGACTTTGGCATGACAAGCAGATCGCAACTCCATATTCGTCAAGCATCCAATCCCAAAAGCAGGAATGATACGGACACAACGCAACAAGGTCGACGAAGGAAGATATCGCTGCGAATGCTTCACTCTTTCCAGGAAGGGTACAGTATATTGTCGTGTATACATATCCAACGCCAACAAATGCAGCGGAGTAGCAACCAGCTGAGTCAAGACGGGCACGGTCAACTGGGTGATGATCGGCTTTGCGTGGGGATGATCCGCCAAGCCATCGGGGATGACATCCGACAACCACGGGGCCAACGTAAATGATCCAAAGATCGTGACACCGTCTCGCACGAGGAAGATAGCAGCTGCAGTTCGTGCCAATGATTTATTATGGGGGACAGCGATTGGAGTGTTCAATGTCTTGGCATCGGGACCCCTGCCGGTACCGTATTCCTGCGCAAATCGGATGTCCTTCCACAGCGCTAGCGGCACATTGGCCATCATAGTTGTGGCAAACGTGATTGTCCCCGCGGCGGTTATCTCAAGCTTGCGACTGATTGTGTCGGTCAAGTTTGCCACGGAATAGGTTGCCGCGTAAAGGGTCCAAACGATACCAAACGGTCGCTGGAAGATGAAGAGACCCGGCCGTCGGAGGGCTCCGAGCGCATGCCGACGAAGTCCGCGGAGAATGGGTTGCTTGAACGCGGCTTGCTCGACAAGCGCTCTGAGTGCTTGTTAGCGCGGAATCATCGCGCTTGGAAGCGAGTCAAACCTATCAATAATTGCGACCGCAGGTGTTACTAGGGATGCCGAGGTTGCTGCCGCAGCGAGATCACCAGCCAGCTGGCCTAGTTCAGGGTTGCCCCAGCGACTTTCATTGGATTGAATTTCTTGTTGCATAATGATAATGTGAAGTACATAGTTCCAAGTGTCTTGCTTATCTACTTTGAAAATGATGGATAGTGAGTACACTACTCAACCCAGCCAGATAGGAGCACCGGATAGCCTCCCGATGGTGCAGATTCCGAGAAGCAGCCACGCGTTTAGCTTCATGTTTTCCGCCGGAGCTCAAGCTTACTGCAGTTATCATGTGGGGTGAACGGGGAAGCCTCCGATATTTCGAAGGGGAGGGGCTTGTTGATCATTGACGTTTAAATCATTCTGTTCTTCGTCTCCGACTGATCAAGTTCACGTTGCCATCACCTCAACTCGGGCTTCCTACTCACAATGTCTACCACACTCATGAGACTTCGCTCGGCACGGCCTATTGGCTCTCGCCTACGCTCTGTTCCTGTGAGCTTTTCTATTCAAACTCGTGCTAAGACGACCTTGCCATTCCGCCTCCCCGATGCTCGAAATGAACCAAACGTGAGTTTAATGAAACCGTGTAGCCCATTTCAATGCTAATTCAACGATAGCCTCTATACAAGAAAGGCTCCCCAGAGCGCGCCAAGCTCGAAGAAGCATTGATCAAGCTCCGCTCTCAGTTGCCCGTGCGGAGTGAGCTCTTCTTTGATGGAAAATATCAGGCAAGCTCCGAGTCTTGGGATCAGCAATTGCCCTCCGAACACGCCGTCACCTTCACAAACTACCCACTTGCCACTGAAGAGCAAACCCGATCAGCGATTGAACTAGCCCTGGAGGCAAAGCAAAGCTGGCAAGATACCCCATTCGTTGACCGAGCTTCAATCTTCCTCAAGGCTGCTGAGCTGCTGTGCACCAAGTATCGATATGAAATTATTGCGGCTACGATGCTTGGACAAGGAAAGAACATCTGGCAGGGAGAGATTGATGCTGCGGCTGAATTGGCGGATTTCTTCCGCCAGAACTGCAACTGGGCGGCGGAAATCTTGGAGAAGCAGCCCACTCGTGGCAGTGATGGCATGTGGAGGTTAGTCTATATCAAAGATGTTGAGCTATTACGGGATCCGTTGCTAACTACTCGCAGTCGTATCGACTACCGTCCCTTGGAGGGCTTCGTTTACGCTGTCTCCCCTTTCAACTTCACAGCCATTGGCGGTAACCTGATCTGCGGACCTGCGCTGATGGGTAACGTCGTACTGTGGAAGCCTTCGGCATCTAACGTTTACGCCAGCTCTTTGCTCTACAAGGTTCTTTTGGAAGCTGGTCTTCCTCCCAATGTGATCCAATTTGTGACCGGTGACCCCGAAGCTATTACCGAGACGGTGCTCTCCCACCACGATTTCGCCGGCTTGAACTTCATCGGCTCTTCCGATGTCTTCCGTTCTTTGTACGGAAAGATTGGCCAGGGTGTTGCCGAGAAGAAATACCGCGAGTTCCCTCGCTTCGTTGCCGAGACCAGCGGAAAGAATTTCCACCTTATTCACCCCTCGGCCGATATCACCAGTGCGGTCAACCATACCGTTCGTGGCTCATTCGAATACCAGGGTCAGAAGTGCTCTGCCACATCTCGTCTCTACCTGCCCGAGTCTCGTGCAGAGGAGTTCCTTACCAAGTTGAAGGCTTCCATCCAGGAGATTACCATTGGAAGCCCGGACAAGGATTTGGAGGCTTTTATGGGCCCCGTCATCCACCGTGGATCATTTGAGAAGATCAAGTCCATCATTGATGCTAGCAACAAGGACCCCTCGCTCCAGCTGATTGCGGGTGGTACGTATGATGAATCTGTTGGATACTACGTGCACCCTACTGTGTACCAGGCCGAATCACCAGACCACAGACTTTTCAACGAGGAGATCTTCGGTCCCGTGCTTACCGTGTACATCTACAAGGATGCCGAATGGACGTCTATTTTGAAGTCTGTTGATCAGAATGGGGGTGGATTTGCCTTGACTGGTGCTGTCTTTGCCAAGGATCGCGTTGCCATCCGCCAGGCTGAAGATGCGCTCCGGTACTCTGCCGGTAACTTCTACATCAGTAAGTCTCGCCGTGTCTACGTGAATTGTTGTTCAATCTAACCGTTCATCTTTTCCAGATTGCAAGACAACCGCTGCCCTGATTGGCCAGCAGTCTTTCGGTGGTGCCCGTGCTAGCGGAACCAACGACAAGGCTGGTAGCGCCGACACTCTTCGTCGGTTTGTTAGCCCTCGGTTGATCAAGGAGGAGTTTTTCGATCAGGACGCGGGTTTCACTTATCCCAGCAACCACTAACGTTGGGACATGAAAATGAACGAATAATAGATTTTACGCTAGCCTACATGTACTTTCATAATGGAAGCCTACTGTTATGTATTTTTTTAATGAGTCCACTTCCAAAACAAGATGACACTAGAGTAGTTGACCGCTTCGGCGGCCTCTGGCCTGAATGAGGTGGGATTTGAATGGTCTTATTTATCTGGCTGGAGATGATGTTGGGGTTGTAAAATGTCCGATCCCACTCTGCTGTCTTTTTTGATGGGTGTCTCATTTCTGGATCTGTTTTCATCTCGGTGCGATACCGAAGTTGACAATGAACAATAGGACAGCGTGAACATACCGGGCTTATCACCCTTCGACAATCTGCAAAGGACTTTTCACTTGTAAAACCAAGAATATCAGACTAACCATATTGTGACTAAGAACTCTTCTGATCATAAAAAATGAGAAGAAGTCCCTGTTCCGCAACTAGAAACCTGTATCTTTGCGCATCTTTTTCATGGTTACTGTAACAACCCTGCCTGAGATGTCAGTACCTTCTCAATTGGAGATCTGCCATGGTTTCGGTCGCTTCTTGTAAACCTACAGTTGGATTAGAAAAAACCGGTGTGTTCTACCTGGTATAGTGCCGGGCATGGTGCTGAGGTCTTTCTTAAAGAAGTGTATGCTTTAGGGCTTAGGGCTTACGGACAAACTGGTGGTACTTGCTTACGACCACTCAAAGGCGGTGAAGGAGGGGTAGACTGGAGTAGGAGGCAGAAACAATACCCCAAATAGGAAGGTACACCTCCCAAGTCAGGGGTATAAGCCTTTTGCAATCAGCCGGAAATGTAACTATTCTCAATCATTCACCCCCTCATCAGATGATACTTCAGTTATCATGCCCACTTATTACCTATTACGTGGCTCCATTCTCTTATCAAGGATATCAAAGATATCCAGAATCTCAAAGCCTATTTTGGGCACATCGGGAGCCCTCCCGGTAGTCCCTCTCTCAGCCCCCGCACTCGTTCTAGATGTCGGAATTGACGCCGTTGACTCATGTTGAGCTGTGTAACTATAGATATAGAACTATTAGACCATCTGGTAGAAGATTTTCAACTACATCCTCATCTCAGATGGCTATCTCCAAGTCCGACCCAATCATCATTGTAGGCGGCGGAGCCTTCGGGCTCTCCAGCGCTCTTCACTTGACTCGCTCGGGCTTCACGAATATTTCTGTCTTTGAGAGGGATGAACACATTCCGCCGCGGTATTCGGCCGCCAATGATCTGAACAAGATTGTGCGCGCGGAATACGAGGATCCCTTCTACACCGATTTGACGATTGTAAGTCCAGCATCTTCGATGCACAAATAGTAACCGAGTTGATTACTGACCGGTGTCCTGTTCGATGATTCAGAAAGCTATCGCCGCATGGAAAACACCTCTTTTCGCACCTCACTTCCACCAAACTGGCTTCCTCCACTGTGTGTCTGGCGAAGCGCCCCAGAAAGCCATCGACACCCTCAACAGATTCCGAGCTTCGGCAAATGCAAGTGATCAAATCAAACCACACGTCGTACCGCTCAATGGTGTAGACGACATTCGCCAAGCTTGCTGGCAGCTCGATGGCCCCTTGACCGGATGGAACGGATACCTGAACCGCTTCGACGGGTATGCCCACTCCGGGAATGCCCTGGCAGGAGTATACCGCGCCGCGCAGGCCGCCGGCGTGCGCTTCTACCTCGGCGAACGCGGCGCAGTCGACGAAATCGTCTATGTCAGCACCCTGCAGGGCAAGAAGAGCTCCGGGATCCGAACAAAGGAGGGGAAGTTCCACCCATCTTCGCTGGTGATTGTCGCAGCGGGTGGTGCGGTGGGCCGTCTTGTCCCGGAGATCGGGAAGAAGGTCGTGGCCAAGTCGTGGTCTGTGGCACATGTTCTTCTTACCGATGAAGAGACTTCTGCGCTGCGTGGTATTCCTGTTACCTACGCTCGGGATCTGGGATTCCTCTTTGAGCCCGACCCAGAAACCAACTTGCTGAAGATTTGTCCCATGGGAGGAGGCTATATCAATACGGATCCTAAGACGGGTATTTCTCATGCGCCGGGGACTTTGGAGGAAAGTGCCTTTGTACCGGAGCACGATGAGAGGCAGATGAGGAAATTGCTGGCGCAGACTTTTCCGGCGCTGGCGAACCGTCCGCTGGTTAAGAAGTCGCTTTGCTGGTTTGCGGATACTGATGACTCGGACTTTATCATTGATTTTGTTCCCGGGACGTCGTCCTCGGTTGTTTTGTTGTCCGGTGATTCCGGGCATGGGTTCAAGATGTTCCCCATCTTTGGATCGTGGGTGTCGGATTTCCTCCAGGCTGGTCAGCAGAGTGAAACAAGGTGGAAATGGAAGCACACTGACCCTAACGAGGGCAAGGGGAATTGGGGTGGTGATGTGAGCTGGCGTCTTGGAGAGTCAAAGGAGCTCTCTGAGATTCGGCCTGCGGTATTGGCTAAGCTTTAGATTATTTGAAAACTAGATGAGTGCATGTGTTCATAATTACGGTATTTTCATATTTCAGAATATGTACCACTATTCCCTTCATGTCGTAGACCGGGTTCAGAGTTATTTGAGAACGGATAGAATGGATTGAGGAGGTCGGTAGAGACAAATTTGCAAGTCGTCAATTCATCACATGTTCAATCTACCATATTCTATGCTCAATCATTGCATTTGACACCCACTCAGTATCATAACTCTCAATCGAGTCTGCAACAGCCATGATCTCAGCCGAAGTCAGCATCGTACTAAAATCACACTCCACATCGAAATCAGGATCCGGCCTCAGAAGCGCATCATCGTATCGAACACACTGAGGTATAGCACCAGGAACCGGTGTTGCAGAAGGGGAAGTCGGGTGGGGAAGAACATTAGCCTGCTGGAAGAATTCAGAGACTGGCAAGGGTCGGGGCTGATCGCTAGAGATACAGCCTATTAATGTCTCATGTAGCTGCTGGAGCTCGGATCGCCGGAATTTGGCAACTTGGTTGCCGTCTCTGATCATTTCGTCAAAGATGGAATATGCTTTCTCCAGCCAGTTGGGGTGGCTTTCTAGTACACGTGGGTCGATGGCCGGGCCCATGAGGAGGATGATTGTGGATACGAAGACTGATTCTAGATCAAAGGGGAGGAAGTTTTCTAGAATTGGGATGTTAGTTGAGAAGGCCTGTCTATGACCAAAGGTTATTTTTACCTAAGAGGCCTTGACTCTGTAGACTGGAGAGAATGCTGATGATGTGCTGAGCGGATTCAAGACACATTTGCATCAGATTCCGGACGTTTCGGGAGGCATTGAGAGATTCCACACAGCTTTGGGGGGATTCGAAGCGGATTTTAAGAAAGCAGAATAGGAGAGGCCGGGTGGCTAGGATGATACACTGGATGTTGTGTGAGTGGTCTCTCATTTAACAACGAATTAGACACTTACCTGGTGATATTGGAGATGTAAATATGCTGATATGCGAGAAACTCCGCTGCCTGGATCCAAGTGTAGCGGGAATGACTCGCGAAGCTCATCGGCAAGCCCTGCGATATTCGCCAATGCTGCTTTTGTGCTAACCAGAAATGTCCGGTTGATGCGCCCATTGACAACATATATAGCTGTTTATTTTGTCAGAGGTGATCAACCAGGGGGGCTTAAGGAACCTTACTGCTGTTCACTTCGGCAATGATCTGAGACAACTTGATGTGCATGCCTAATGACATGGTCTCCGATGGGTCTGCAAAGGTGGGGAGCTGGGTTTGCACATATCGGTCATTGATTGATTGAGGCAGACCCATTAACGATGTCATTTCTCGATCCAGTATATATATAGTCCACCAGATTTTGCCGGATCTTTGGACCATGTCATGTCCCAAATCTTCGACTGGCATACTGGTGTGCATTCCTTGTGCCATAGCGATTCGGATTGCTTGACCGATCTAGAGCATTGGTCAGTCAGACGTTTCAGCTGAGAAATTCGTTAGCAACCTTACGTAGTTATGTGCTGATGTTCGATAGTCGACACACTGGTAGTATAGAGCGATGCAACATAAAATTTCTGTTCCGAGCATAGGGTCCCGGTATAGAGCAGTCGGGTCAGGCAAAAGCTGCAAAGCTTTGACGAAATAGCACACCCCTGGTGGCTTTTTGCCTTGGGCCTTGGGCTGAACGAACCCTTTCCCAAAGGCCAGGATAAGGAGAAAATGGATGTACCACAAAGTGTTTGTCATAGATTGTCCATCTCCAGTGTAAAATTTCTGCAACGAGCTCATGAACTCATCTTCGTCGAAAAGGTGATACAACTGCCCGCACCTGAATTGCACGGCGTTGATCAGATACATTGTGTGGTCGCGAGTCGGGACAACTGGAACATCTGGGCCCGGAGTTGTTCGTAACCCGTCCCACCCGAGTTCATAGGTCGTTTCATCAAATATCAAAGTTTCCGTGGGTAGTGCATCCTGATAGAGGTGCTGATGTGCCAAACTGAGAACTCGCCGAGTGAATGACCAGTTGGATGATGTTCCAAGATAGACTATAGATGTTAGAGTTGCGCATTTCAGCACCCCAGCGGAACCTACATGTGCGGCCATTCGCTGCAGACATGAAAGTAGGAGGACCGGATGATAACGGGTTGGCTAGCCCCGAGTCTAGATCCTCCAGATCCTGAGCTTCATCATGATCCTCCGGGGTAGTAGTCCTCTCCAACGGAGGTACATCTTGGGGATCTTTGGGATCTGGAATGGGTTAGTAGGTAATCACTTTAACAGAAAGCAAAACAAACCGATTTGAGTATCGAAATTCGAGCTGAAAGGGCTCACTTGGCCCTTCTCGTTCTGCTCTATACGCGCAATCTTCTGCTGCAGTTCCAGGATGTAGCTGCGATGAATGTGAGTCATCGATTCTTCTCAATGGTCCAGTTGACTTGCCCTCTTGTTACCAGGATCTTCTGATCGCGGTCATTGAATATGCAGCTAAGTTTCCGCTTGCTACATCCGTCGCATGGCTGCGACCCGGAACATTTGATCTTTTGTCTTCGGCATCGCACACAACTAAATTGTTAGTGAGTGTTTTTCATTAATTTAGGATCTAACTTACGCATTTGAGGACCGTTTTGTGACTCTTCCATTGCCCGCCATCTGTGTTGAAATATGCAGAAATCAGCCAAACCGAAATGCGGGGGAAAAGTTCCCCGTGAGGGCCCGTGAGGGCCGTGAGGGGATCTCTTGTTATCAAGACCAGGACGAATCAGATAGTTTGGTAGCGATGTGGATACACCACCTTATCTGTTCTGAAGATAGAGAAAGATTGATGTGTCGTCGGGTTCCCTCCCGATGATTCAAAAGAATTCCAATCTATGGCCATTTGACATCTTTATCTTTGTATACTCCTATGCTCCGGACTTTCTTCTTCTTTTTCTAACCTTTCAACGCTGCCCAAGTAGATTTCGATTTGTCTCCCAAAATTGCCTGCATGCCGTGTGACCCCAATGCTCAGTCCACCATTCTCCAAAGCTGTCTTGAACGCTTTGTTCATCCACCCGTAACACCCGCTCATCTCTTTTAAGGGAACAGAGTGCACATGGATGGGATGCCTTCAATGCGCCCTGGTCCGCCCGTGCCGTAATAACCTTGAACGCACTAGGATCTTGGACAACAGGGATCGGCCGCTGGCCTGCGGCTTGTAGAATAGCATTGAACACCACCGCCCGTTCACGCCAAGTAGTGAGCACATCGACGGCATCTTGTTCTTCTTTGATGTTCTCTTGTTTGTTCACGCTGTTAAGTTTCATCCCACCGGCTTTGCCAGAACGGGCAGGGCCGATTCGCATACTTTGACTAAGAATTGTGTCACGTTTCCATCGGAGACTACGACCGGCAATGATGCGGGCGGCCGTTTGAAGAACAAGGTGAACGTTCAAGGCTGTAGTTGAAACGGCCTGTGAGGACGGTGAAGCCGAGGATCGCAGCTGGGATTTTGCGAGTGTAGCCTCTTTCCGAAGATTCTCAAACACATCTAAGAATAACTCGAGAAGGATTGATGGCGGTGGAATGTTTGTTGGACGAATGGTGGCCGTTGGGGCTGTGGTCCCAGAGACAGAACTACTAGGAGCCGGGCTAGGGGCCGTCGGCGGTGAGGCGGGTTTGGATTTGGGTAGAGCCTTCACAATAGGCCCATCTGAGAAATCACCCCAGTCATCGAAGGCATCGTCATCCCAGGTTGATGCAGGCGCATTAGTAGATTTAACAGGCGGCTTTGTAGGTGATGTTCTAGGAGGTTGTGTTCTTTTCTCGGAGACCTTGGGGGTGGGTTGGCTAGCAGGTGCATCAGTGAAATCGCCCCAGTCACCAAAAGAATCATCCTCCCATGTCGCCTGATGTTGGTTGTTACTATGTCCAAGGTTTGGGTTCTTTTTGGCAATTGTCGACGGATGTTTCACAACTAGTCTTGAGTCTTGCATAGAGAGTGAATCCAGCAAGTCAATTGTAGTAGAAACCTGCGTAGAATCTTGCCGAGGCTCTGGCGACGGCGACATAGTTATTGTGGATCGCCAAAGAGACGTTGATTGTGCATGTTGAGTGTTTGCATCAGGGCCCTCGAATTCACCCCAATCGTCTTCATCACTTGCTGGTGCGTCCAATGCTGCATCGAAAAATAAATCGCTACCTGGATTCAACGGAAGGTCAAATTCCTGATGACCAGGGCTTTGCCGTGAGGCTTCAGGAGCTGCAAATTGACTGACTGCTGCCGGGTTCGGATTGGAACGTTCCTTGTGCTGCACACTTTCTGATGACCCGAAGAAATCGAAGTTCCCGTCGACAGTGAGGAACGGGGGTTTTCGGTATTGCGATGGCTTCTGTATGGACTTGCTGTCTGGAACAGGTGCCTGGCCAAACGCTGCTAACAGATCTGCGGACATTTTGAATGCCCACGAATCTCATGAAGCTTTGAAAGGTGACATAAAGTGTAGCGCTACAAGTACAGCGCTACAACGAGTTTCTGCAGGGGCGGAGACACAAGATCGAATATGCTGATACCAGCCGCAATCTGTGTCGATTTAGGTGCGTAAACTTCCGGAGTATACAGCGGTGGAATGTCGCAATGGCCGAGTGGTGTGAGATAAGGCACGGGCGGTCTACTATCGCATCCCCCTCATCTTTCTAGGCTCCTTCCGTCATCCTCAGCAATGAGAACCATTGAGGAGACTAGGTACTTCCCCCAAATTGTGACCAAATTTTGACTTGTACTGACCCTCGCAGAAAGAGATGGGACATCCTGTTCTCCGACAACGAAACACCTTCCGACCTCCGAGCGGCGTTGCAATCCGAGCAAGGAGGAAACCTGTGCAATGACGGACTGAGGTCTGTTTGCTGGAAGGTTCTGTAGACAAGACAACATAGTATGGGGATATTTGCTCATTCTTCATAAAGTCGTTTCTTCTCTTCGACGGCTTGGATAAAACTGAATGGGCGCCTAAGCTCGACGAATCCCGGGATGCCTATCGTGCGCTGCGAGATCATTTCTTGAAATACATCGAACATCCGGACGATTTAGAGTCGACTGTTGATCCACTGGCGGACGATGAGCAGGTATGTGAATCGCCCTCTCGCTGTCTTTCGCCCAATCTGAAAAATCCTCCTAACTAATTCTTGTTGGAGCAATCAGTCCCCCTGGCAAACACTCCGACTCGACGAGACGCTGCGTGCCGAGATCCTCCAAGATGTCGATCGATGCTTGCAAGAAAATTTTTTTTTCCAAGAGCCCGAAACGAAATCTAAGTTGACTGATATTCTGTTCGTCTACTCGAAGCTCAATCCAGATGTCGGCTACCGACAAGGAATGCACGAACTACTCGCGCCTATTCTCTGGGCAGTAGATCGAGACTCGGTGAAGCCACACCCCGGAGGGCTTGGCATGAACAAGGATACAAGTGAGGGTTTGATGCTAAAGCTTCTTGATGCACAATTCGTGGAACATGATTCATTTGCACTATTCCTCTCTGTTATGCAGACGAGCCGCATATGCTATGAACACGGCGAGACCCGGTCGGCAAATGGCCAGATAGATGTCATTCCGATAGTTGATCGGTGCCACTATCTCCATAAAGAAGCTTTGGCGGTTATCGATAATGAGCTCGCTGAGCATCTGGAAGCTGTGGATGTATTACCGCAAATTTTCCTTACGTGAGCTGCGTTCAGACCCCCATTCATTTCCTTCCGTACTAACTCACTAGAAAGCCGCTGGATGCGCCTTTTGTTTGGGCGAGAATTTCCATTTAACGACGTCCTAACCATGTGGGATCTACTGTTTGCTCATGGAGTACGGTCTGAACTTATTGATTTCACTTGCATTGCAATGCTGCTTAGAATCCGTTGGCAATGTCGGTCGACCTGCACAATTCCCTAATGTATTTTATCTTGCTGACGTGCATCGTTTAGTGCTCACGGCCGACTACACAACCGCCTTAACATTATTACTTCGCTATCCTTCGCCCCAACCACACAAACCTCAGACCTTTGTGGAAGATGCACTCTATCTGGAACAAAACCCTACTGCCAATCGAGGCAGTTTCATCATATCAAAATATTCAGGGAGACCGCCTGATTCCAAATCCCGCAACCACCCTGGTACACGGCCCACGAGGAAGGCCTTCCTTTGGGAAGACTTCAAGAAACACAGTGCAAGCAACTCCCCTGCTAGGTCACCAGCCCGGAACAGCCCCAAAAGTCTCGAATCTCTTTTCCAGGATGTGTCCCAGGGAATTCAACGCCGGACAGAGACCTGGGGCGTAGCCAAAGCTGTTCGTGGCGCCGTGACGGAAGCCAGGAAAAATATGCAGACGATGCATTTTGAACCGCACATGCGTGCTGGCTCTTTGAGGTCTGTTTCCGCGGCATCAGAATCGGACTTTAAATCCAAGGCGGCCTCGGGCAGACTGGAAACGAAGATTGATCTACTTGAGCAAAGGAATCAGGCTTTGGCGATGATTTTACGTGAGGCTTTGAGTGATCTTGGCTCGCAGCTGGCAAATATCAAGGACCTTGATGTTGATACGAGCAGCGCAGTGAAGCAGGCCCTGGTCAAAGCTGAGAGTGTTCAGGTCTGCCTCGAAGATTCTTCTATACCAGTAGAACCCCCTCTTGGTTCCCGTGTAGACGGTGGATTGAGCCAACCGGACGAGCTACAAGAGACAGCCACCTCAACCGTGGGTAAAGCAGAAGACAACAGTGTGGCAAACGAGGGACAATCCCGAACGAGGAACTCCGCCAACGCGGATATGACCGGGCCAAAACCCGCGACTGAAACCAATTCCATGAGCCTAGACATGGCAAGTCGGACGAATAGTCACAGGAAGACGGAGAGCCCGCAAGACATACCTTTGCGATCAGCTGTGCGACCTTCTATGACGGATTCGGGATTCTCATGGATGCTTGGCGGTGGTCGGAATCTGTCGGGCTTTGTTAGCTCGACATCGCCGCCGCCGGAACAGACTCGACATCTAGACCAAAGCCGAGGGAAACCCAAACCGAAAACCTTGTTCGGATTGAGCGGAGATGACAGTCCAGGAACCGATTCTGAGCATAACCAATTGGCGCTGGACAGTCTTCGGGGCTCTCGGGATTCTCTGTCAGGGACCGGCCCACCATAGTATCTCCCTCTTTGACCAATGCCAGAGCTTGCGCATGCACAGGAGATACATACTCCAGGTCGAAGCTAGTCTCCCTTCTTATCTCTTGCTAGGCTGCAACTGTTACGATTTCCTACATAGAATCTGGCTACGAACACCCATGCCACAAAAGGAGGCATCTGTTTTGCAGAATCTAATTTCTACCTCATTTTCTGACTCATTGTACCCTGTGAACCAGTTTTCCAACTTCATAGATAGCAAGTGGCCACTGGAGTCAAAGCCCACATGGGGCGCTCGGATCTATTTGAGAAAGCCACTTTACATCATCTCTAGATTTTAAAGGAATACCTTGGTCCTGACTTGCTGCATTGGCGGAGCGGGGTAACAATCTTCAAGTATTCAAGTGGTTGCTTGATCTTTGGCTCCATTTAAGATGGGATCATGTTTTGTATCTTGTATAGATCTGAATTCTACGAGTCTTCAGCGGTAAGTTTTTCCGCCTGGGATAGAAACATGTCGATCAGCGGATCTAAACAAAGCAAATAATTTGTTCAAGGGAGATTGTTTAATTGATTTTGATTTGGGACTTTTTCCGACGGAGAAATAGAGAAATGACTGTTAGATACTTGAAAACTGAAATCTTCAAGATATAAAATACTAGAACAAAGCTATTACATCACGGAGGGGGACCCAGTTCCCTTTTTCCTCGCAGGCATTTTCCTCCTCCCCACTCTCTTTTCCCCGCTGCTGTTTTTCCTCTCTCTCCCCCCTTGAAACCTGTACCTCGAATCCACCTGCTTGTTCTTCACTTTCAGAGTGCCCAGCCGCGACGCCACATATGCCGCCTGAGACCCTACGAGGCAGCTGCCCGCCCAACCCCCGTCCCATTTGCGAATGACCGTACCCATACATGTCGCATACCTTGCATACATTCACGGGTGCTCGCCTCGATTGAGCCTCGTACTTTTCTTTGTTTACCATCTGACCATCTGAATTCATAACCAAAACCCCAAAAAGAGAGACAAGAGAGAGACAAGAGAGACCTCGGGGATGGGGTCAGCTTACAACCATGATGGTAAGTCATGCGCACATGCTTTCTCATGTTGATCATTTAGTCCTTGTTTCATATTTCATGGGCCGTAGAGAACTCGCGGAGGTGAGGTGAAAAAAAGAAAGAAAAAAATAAACGGGTCATCATGCTACTCAGATTGGGCTTACACCTCCCTGGGCACCCGGAAAAGAGAGGGCCTGGAGCAACCAGGGCGCGAATTGATTTTATTCAAAGTGATCAAGCGGTCGCTGTCGTCCGCTAGGACATGCTCAGAAATGCATCTGACCGCGGAGATTAACCGTCTGATCATTCGAAAGTGTCACATTTTCTTGAAAGGCCCATGGAATTGAAACCTCAAGACGCGCCGATAAAATTGATCACAAGTTAGGTGAATCGCGCTGATTAAATCTTAGGCGAGCCGAGTCCTCTTTCGTCGCCGTTAGGATCCCTCTCTGAGTCGCCCGAGTCCGAGTCCGGACTGCTCAGCCTTTCTTTACGGACAGGTCAGCTCAGGAGCTCAGCGGGCAGTGTTTCTTCGGGATATGACCCTCATTCCAGGTCAGTGACAATCTTTTTTAAACATTTCAACAAAGCGTTGACACTTCTTGCAATTAAGCAGATCTCCGTTGTTCGAGAACGACCATGGAATCGGTCCATCAGGGCTGGATCGAATTCGCCAAAACCAACCTTCGCGAGTACTGACTCTTCCAAACATGTCTACCTCGTCGCTATCGTTAGCTCCCATGCCTAGCCAGCGCCCGGCTCCCTCTCCTCGCTCCCGCTCGTCTTCTCGAACTCACACCAGTCTCTTAGCGAGCCGAAGTTTCACGGATCTAGAAGACCTACACCGGTTTCCACTGGAGTCGCTACACTCCTTTTCCTTTGCACAACAGTCCGAAGAATTCCTTCACAGCCGTCAGAACATTCTCAAGAGGTCCATTGATTTCATGCGCGACCGGATGGGATGGGCCGCAAGCAATGCCGCGATCACCAACGCACAAGCATACGCCAGTGGGGACATGGAGGTGCAAAGTATGATGGATCTTTTGGCCCGAGCAAATATGCTCGAACCCCAGGAACACCACACTCAAGGCCGTGGACCCATCACAGGACCCGCAGAGATAAATGGCGATAATATCTTTGAGAAGGCCTTCTCGGAAAGTAACTCCTCTCTGGCCAGCACCCGAGACAGGGCCCAGGATTCCATCTCCTCGGAGTCACATCCCTTTGACAATTCCCAACTGTTGATCCCGGTGCCCAGCGATCGGATCTCCAACCAAAGGATGGACCTGGTTTCTGCACCTACATCCAGGCGCGTAAGCTTGAAACGTACATACACGGATCTATGCTCTGTCTCTGCCAGGAGAAAGCTGATGGAAACTCTAGCACAACCATACACCTCTTCTGTAGAGCCTTTCGCCTCGCTCAACTCTTCGACTGCTGGATTGGGATTCCAGATCCCCGCCCTCCACGCCCATAGCAGCAAATGGACCCCGGCTTCCCAAGCCGTATTCAGAACCGAAGCCCAGGAACCATGGACCATTCTGGCCGCTAACGATCTGTCATGTCTCATCTTTGGTGTTCTGCAGTCCGAAGTTCGCCATCTCAGCATCCTGGAGGTTGTACAGAAGGAGCACCGTGAATGGCTCAAGGCCAAACTTCGAGATCCCAGCACTGATGCCGCTGCGCGCATGCCACTTCAACCAGAACGGGCTAACATTTCCGCTGTCAATCCCAAGTACCGAGGTCTTGGAAATGGAGTGACAGCACAACTTCTCAGCAAACCATCTTCACGAGAAAAATCTCGCAGAGCGCAGACTGATGACGGATATGGCTCCAGCACGAGAAATACCCGAAACAACAACCACCCGGCCAACAAGTCACGCGGAGTCTTGCTGTGCGGAGATGTTGTCCCGATTCAGAAGCGCAACGGGTCACGGGGTTCCGCTAGCGTCTGGGTTATGGAAAAGCGCGGTGGCCTGATATGGGTCGTGGAGGAGATCACCGAGAATATTGCTTCCATCCAGTGCGACGATGCATGGAATGTCGTTGGCTCCAAAGGTGAAGTTGAAAAAATTTGGGGCCCGTCTGTCGTTCATAAAGGCCAGTCGATCACTGACCTTTTACCCTGTTTGCCATCGGAATCTCTTGAGACTTCCCTCGAGAAGGGATTGGCTAAAATCTTGGGGCTGAAGCACTTTGCCGCCCGCACTGCTGCTGGCGTTTGTATCCCTGTTACTGTTAGCAAGGGAGAAGGGGATCGAACTCTCCAAGTCTCCAGCTTTCCACATGTCGCAGGCATGATGGTGCTCTCGTCTTCGTCATTGAGCGTCATCAGCTCCAACTCTGTGTTTTCTTCTGTCCTTTTCGGCCAAGAAAGACCAGAGGGACTCCACATCACTGAGCTTGTACCCGATTTCGATGAAATTCTAGATGTTTTGACAGAAGAGGACAATGTGCCCCTGGTTGATGGTATTGTCATACCCGAACACAGTTTCCGACGAGCACGGACACTTTCCATTCTCCGCGATGGAAAAGCAAATGCCGCCTCTGTGTTTACAGAGCCGAGTGGCTTGCTTGCCAAGCACCGGGACGGCTCGACCATTGTTGTAGACATTCAACTGCGCGTGGTTAAGAGCGGCACCTTCTTTTCCAAGGAGAAGACAGAGAAAAGCAGCGACCGCCGCAGCGACTCTGATGACAGCGATGATACCATTGCAGTCACAGAGTTGGTCTATGCTTTGTGGATAACCTACTCGAGACAGCTCCACGCTGCTGGACCCGCTGCTGGCCTGTCGCCATCATCTGTACCGAGTTCCAAGCCTGCCTCGCCCACACATGACCCTGATTCAGATCGTCCGTCCGACGCTGGAGCTGATACCCAGACTGCGGAGAATCGCAAGACTTCTGTGGATACCAAAACTCCAGCGTCAACACTCAGTCAACAACTCAGTGAGGCTGCATCTGAGTCTCTTACCGTCAGCCCTGCACAGACCGTTCCTCAGGTTTCGGCTGCCAATGCGAAGAACGAACCCCCGGCGAAACAAACGATCAACGACTATGTGATTCTTGAAGAGATGGGACAAGGAGCCTACGGCCAAGTCAAGCTGGCACGTTTAAAGAAACAGCCCAGCAAGAAGATGGTGCTGAAATTTGTCACGAAGAAGCGGATCCTGGTGGATACGTGGACTCGTGATCGGCGACTCGGTACTGTGCCACTGGAGATCCATGTTCTTGACTTCCTGCGGCGGGATGGGCTCAAGCACCCCAACATTGTGGAGATGGAGGGCTTCTTCGAAGACGACATCAATTATTACATTGAGATGACTCCTCACGGGCTCCCGGGAATGGACCTGTTTGATTATATCGAGCTCAAGACCAACATGGATGAATCGGAGTGCCGAAACATTTTCAAACAGGTTGCCAGCGCCGTTAATCATTTACACACCAAAGCACTGGTTGTACATCGTGACATCAAAGATGAGAATGTGGTTCTTGATGGAGAGGGACGGATCAAGTTGATCGACTTTGGGAGTGCGGCCTACATCAAAAACGGCCCCTTTGATGTATTTGTGGGAACTATTGGTAGGTTTTTTTTGTCTCTTTGACTGATGGGGGTTAAGATGCTGACTATGTGTGTCAGATTATGCCGCACCTGAGGTCTTACAGGGCAGGTCGTACCGAGGTAAGGAGCAGGACATCTGGGCTCTGGGGATTCTCCTTTATACAATCGTCTACAAAGAGAACCCGTTTTACAACGTCGATGAGATCCTCGACCACCCCCTCCGAATTCCCTTCCTTCCTTTCTCGGAAGATTGTGTTGACCTCATCCGCACGATGCTCGATCGTGATGTCGATAACCGACTGACAATTACTGAAGTGCTTGAACACCCTTGGATGGTGGGGGCTTAGTTCAAATCCTTTCTTATACCACTCTTTCTTCTCCCTCCGCCTTTTGCTTATGAAAAAAAAACCAAAAAACAAAGATAACACGATACCCCACAAAGTTGATTACGTTTTGATGATGGATGCAAAATTTTCCGGGAACAGGGTATCATTTCGTGGCCGGTGTGGAGTGAGTGTCTATTTCTTACTTCTCTAGGACCACGTTGATGGGCGATGATTATGAACCATCAACGTCTCGTCTGTCTTTATTTTTCTGGGTTTTTCTTTTATCAAGCGTTTTTTTTTCATCCCCTTTTCATGGCATTTGATTTTGCGATACCTTTGCATATCTCCTTATGACCTAGAGGCCCAAGAGGGAAGACATCATATACAATATACTCCGTACGGAGTACGGCTTTGTGCGAAATGCAGGGGAACATTTAGCATATGTGGTCTTTGTACTCCGTAGAGGAGTACTCCATCGTCCGTAGTCCTTAGCAACCCCGGTCTAGTCCTGTGGCTTAGCTCGGGCTATCATGGAATCTCCACTTCACTTGGAAGTTAGACATCTCCAACTGCAAAGGGGGAGTTGTCGACTGAAACAGATAGGACCTTAGAAAAGAGCCAAAAGGAGATGAGAAAAATGAACCCAAAAACATAGAAATGGCATGCTCCATTCCATGGGTTTTTTGTCATCGTACCACGGGTTAGCCTATCCCCCCCGCACATTGCCCCACCAGCGAAAATACCGTCCGAAAGAGGCGAAATTGAATCTAACGGCTTCTCGGGAACAATTCGCCTCGGCGATGTTCTTGGGTCGAGACTTTGGAGTGGGTTCTAGCCTAAGGGGCGTCGAATCCATCGGGTCCGCCGAATTCATTTCTGTACAAGGCGTCGTCAGCTGAGTGTGGGCTTCGGTCTCACATTGGATGGGTCTGTGCCATAACACCGTATCGTACTCCGTACATAGTAACCAGTACAATGTACACAATATACCCCAGAGTTACCCAAGAAGAAAATTTCGCATAAGGAAGCATCATTTGAAAGTACATGCATGTATTTGCCGGCGTCTGGTACTAACAGGTGGGGACCGATAAGCAGATAACGCGGAGGGGAGAGCCCTGGAGTACTTGAGTACAACATCTGCTATGTGTTGGGTCAATACCAGGTTTAGTAGATGTATCGCATTCCCCTCCACTCTGTATTCCGCCATTTCTTATTTTTTCTTTGCAGATCCTCTCCTCTCTCCCTTACTCAACTTCCCCCCCCCCTTGTGTCTTCTATTCGACCCTCTCGGTTCTCTCGGGTTTCTGTACGGCATCTTTGCCGAACCCTGTTCCACGGTTCTTTGGCGGGTCTTGAGAACAACAGCGGCCAACGTGATTTCCCCACCGACATTCTGATCACTTTCTACCTCTGTTCTTCTATTCAAAGTGCGGATAAATATCTAAAAACACCGCTCATCGATGAGATTTAGCACTATGCTCATCTAAGAGCTTCTGGTGATTGCGCGCCCGTCACTCGATCCGTTTCCACTATCCTCCGTCCTTATTTTCCCTCGCGTGACACTCCGTACCGTGCCGACACCCTCCGGAAGACGTGAGAAGATTATAGTGGGCCAGAGAATTGGTGTTATAGACTGAGCTAAGTCGTCAGAATGGCCTCTCAAGTATCGGATGAGATCCTACCCTCTCCGGGGAGGACCTCCCTGAACAGCACGCCCAATTCGGCAGGCCAGATCCCAATAGAGCCACGGCCGAAGCTCAAGGGTCGTCGGAAGTTACTGCAGAGTCTCCAACGCATGTCTTCTAGCCCGACACTCACCCGCCGCGGACGCTCATCATCAACCAATGGCTACCGCCGAGACCATAAGGCCTCTCTCTCGTGTGTTTCGCTATCGTCGCCTTCCTACTCACCCTGTCTGGGAAATGGAAGTTCCTCTCAGCTCTATGGCGGCCTCAATCCCCGGCCAGCTGCCCCCGGCTGCCCTAGTTCTCTCGGCGAGCTTCAGGGAACCAACGCTCGCATCCGTTTGAGGGACACTGATGGACCTGGTTTCGCTACGCCTCGCACCGTGCCTTTACCCTTTGACGTGGGGCCAGCATCGTATGGATCGCCACGGACAGCGACGCCAATGGGAGTGAAGTTGGAGGAGGCCATCCATCCAGAAACCCAGCCGGCCAGATCTCTTGATTTCTGGCGCGATATGCCACAAGAGCTTAAGGTGCAGATCTTTCAATACCTCACCCCGCAAGAAATTGTCTGCTGCTCTGCTGTGTCCAAGACGTGGAATGAAATGTGCTACGATGGACAACTATGGTCTAAGGTTGATACGACTGAGTACTATTCTAAGATCCCGAGTGATGTTTTGGTCAAGCTAATCACTTCTGGTGGTCCGTTTGTTCGAGACCTCAATCTCAGAGGCTGCGTTCAGATGCATGAGAAATGGTCATCGGATGGAGAACGCATATCGGATCTGTGTCGGAATGTCGTGAAATTCTCGCTTGAGGGTTGCCGTATTGACAAGGCATCCATTTATTCTTTCCTCCTTCGTAATTCCCGTTTGCAATACATCAATCTTTCTGGTCTATCAAGTGTCACAAACTCGGCCATGAAAATTATTGCACGGTCTTGTCCACAACTTGAGACATTAAATGTTTCTTGGTGCAGCAATGTTGATACCACAGGTCTTCTTCGGATTGTCAAGTCCTGTGGGCGGTTGAAAGATCTTCGGGCCAGCGAAATCCGTGGATTTAAAGATGAGAAATTCACATTGGCCCTGTTCGAGCGCAACACATTGGATCGCTTGATCATGAGTCGTACTGACCTGACCGATCAGAGCCTGAAGATGCTAATCCACGGCGAGAACCCTGTTATGGATATCTTGGCCGATCGGCCTATCGTTCCACCTCGAAAATTCCGTCATTTGGATTTACATCAATGCCCCGAAGTGAGCGATCATGGACTTAAAAGCCTGGCCCATAACGTACCAGACTTGGAGGGCCTGCAGGTTTCTCAATGCTCTGATCTAACCGATGTATCCGTCATGGACGTTATTCGCACGACGCCACACCTGTCGCATTTGGAACTGGAGGATTTGGATAAATTGACAAACAGCACCTTGGTGCAGCTGGCTGAATCTCCATGTGCCCAACACTTGGAGCACTTAAATATTAGCTACTGCGAAAGTCTCAGCGACACGGGAATGCTTCGAGTAATGAAGAACTGTCCAAAACTACGATCCGTCGAAATGGACAACACCAGAGTGTCAGATCTGACCCTGATGGAAGCCAGCTTCCGTGTCCGCCGCCGTGGGTACAGCGACGAGCTCCCCCAAGTTGGACTGCGACTCATGATATTCGACTGCATCAATGTCACTTGGGCAGGGGTCAGAGAAGTTCTCTCCAGCAACGCATACATTCCCCGCGCCTCCCGCAAACCCATTTCAACAGTGGTGACCGTGACACAACCATCAGACACCAGCTCCTCCCCAGCGACAAGTACCTTCGTCACTCCAGCCTCCTCCCTTTCGCCGTCGCCAGCGCCAACCTATCCCAACGAAATCATCCAACTCAAATGTTTCTACGGTTGGCAGATGACTGTCGACGAACACACGAAACGTGTTCTGCGCGGCGATCTCGCCGCTGCATCCCGGCTGGACCGGAAATGGGCCGATTACATGGTCGCTACCGAGGAGGCTGGCGTCGCTGGTGCTGGTGCCCGCCGACGTCGACGTCGTGCCCGTGAAGCTGAGCGTCTGTACAATGAATACGGAGGCGAGAACGATGTTTACGGTGCAGGCGCTATCACTGCTCTTGGCGGGAATCGCAGGCGAGCCCAGAGCGGTGGCAGCTGTATTGTCATGTGAGGTGAATATCTCTTGAGTTGTCGGTGCTGTCCCAATTTCTTCCATGCGGTATGTTCTGGGAACATCTGACTTCGAGCTAGACACAGGACGCTGCTCGACTCTGCTGGCGCAGGATCGCTAGTATCTAAATTGAAGATCACATCCAATGGCCATTTTCAATTTGCTATGAATTACGCACGATATGATTTTGTTTTCTGGGATTACACATCCCCAATACAACGCACTTTTTTTTTCGCGGTTAGCTTGTCCTTTTTGACCTTTTCTCTGCCTCTCTCTATATCTGTCCACCACCTAACGTCACATCTACCCGCATCCACCTCTTTCCTCGCTTTTTAGCTATGGCGCCAGTTTCCAGGAAGGGGCTTTCTTTCCTGCGTGTTCCATGACCCTTAAACATTCATGTCTTTTCGCCAATCGAGGTTTTAGCTCCAACATAAGTATCTAGAGGGGTTACTGGCGGGATGGTTGGCTTTCTTAGTTTTTACTACTAGTTGATATTTCCTGGGCTTTTCAGTTTGGAATCATGTTGCCTTTCCGGCTGCTCTCCTGACACTTTACTTCTAGTTCATAGATATCCTCCAGGCTGATAGACATATCTATACGGTGCTGGTATTGGCCTGTTTTGTAGAGCATGAGCTATCAGTTGTGAATCTCAGTCGATCTGAATACTCGGCCCTTATGCAGCCTCTATTATTGACGACCCAAGGGTTTAACCCTTTTGAACTATTTGACGCGAGATTCCATCAGGAACGTTCCTTGAATGAAAACACCGCGGTTTGTTTGGATGTTCTTGTTTGATGGTCTTGTTGGATGTCTTTTGAGGACACCCAGTCGCAAACTCTAGGCTACACGGTGGAAAAAGCATTGTCCCCACAAAACGGCTTTTCGGTATGTACATGCTTAAGTTAAAATGTGTTATATTTATAGAAGCGCCTGTTCAATTTATTTGATACAAGGTAATTTCAGATATAAGATATTACTGTGAGGTTTGGCAAGTGTTTGTAGATGTCTTTTCCAAATGTTATTTTTTCGTCGGCACTAGAAAGATAGTGAATAGTATCACAGAATGGAGCTTTTAGAAGGCGGTTAACAGCATAAACTGTGTTTGGAACTTTCTACGAATAACGGGGCAGTGTTTCCTATTTCGCAAGAACAATTCTTGGTGTTCTGCTTAACGACCCAGATGAGAGCTGCAGCCAACATCGACCACATGGGCATGCATAACAGGCATTCAGGTGTGTAGGCGGGGAACCTGGTGCAGCACCTTTGAACGGACATGGATTCACACGGCTAAATTGCAAAAAATTTATGTAATGCTGGTAGGATATCAAGACAAATTGGATATAAACCAATTCGGCACCGAACTAAAAAAAATTGGTTACTCAAAGAAACCACCATCACTATCATCTTGGTCCTCTGCGTTGGCTGATTGTGATGCCTCGTGTTTCTTGGAGACCCGCTCGCTGCGTGCAGGTTTCTCCTTCTTGTTGCTCTTCTTGCCATCTTTGGAAGCATGCTTCTCCTTTTGGGTAGGAGCCTTGGTCTCTTTCTGTAAATCTTTCACCTTGCTCTTATCCTTCTTGGTGTCTGTAACTATATTTGTGGCAGATGACGAACGTTGGATCTTCTCTCCATTGGCGTTGATGTGCAGCTTTCCTTCACGAAGAAGGTCCAGGGTCTTTTCTTCCATGCACTTCTCAACGATAGACCACAACGGGGGCTTGGCGGCGTTGGATTTGGTTTCCTGCTTTTGCAATTCAGACCCTGGACCTGTTGCATCAGGTTTTCCATTAGGGTAGATTGAGATGTATTTTTCGGTGAGAGGATAATAGATCGCGTAGTTGATGTTCACGCGGCATGTGTGAATTTTTGCTGCAAGACGAGCCTTTTGTTTCGAATCCAGATCTTCTTCCTTCTCGCGGCGAGTAAGTCGGTTGAGTTCCTTGGTAGCAGTTTTGCGGTCTATTCAAAAAAAAAGTACGTCAGCGAAAACCTGGGACCACTCAGACTCATCGGCCGCATACCAAGGAATCGGACAAAGTGATATTTTTTGATCAACGATGACCGTTCTCTGCGTGTTGTTTCATCCGCAAGATCCTGCTCATATCCAGCGAGAGCACGTTCCTGCAAGATGCGAGCATCGGCAGACAGGTCTATTTTGTTGAGTAGTCGCTTCACATCGCGAATTCGCTTTTTGAGATCATTGATCGATGGGTATTCCTTTTCGGGTTTGGGGGCAAATTTGTCTTTGTATTTTCGGGTCACTTTGGGCTTTGCTGCATCGCCATTGCTGCCGTAGTCCTCGAATTGGATTTGGTCATCTGCCTTGCGGTGCACCTTTTTGCGGGCCGGGGGAACATCCTCTGACCCATCCCTGGTCTTCCTCTTTGAGGGAGCTGTTTGATCGCGGTGGCTTCGAGTATCTGCAGGCATCTTTGCTGGTCCAAAAGAGAGGGAAAAAGCAGAGAGGTCGGAGCTCCAGCAAAAACGATAAGAAAAAAAGATATCGGCTGATTTATCGGCCCGTCCCCCAGATTGGCGCCCGACCAATGAGCGTCTTCGTTGATCACCATCACCGCGGCCCTCTCGCGTCGCAATGATTTGATTTACTCCAATTGTCGGCTTCAATTTGTCTATCTGGCACTTTGGATCTACTCATGTAAGTGAGTAAACTGTTGAACCAAACTTAGTAAAAGGGCCAGCATGGACTCCGCCATTCGCTGGTCCCCGACCTCGTCGGCCACCGAACAACGCTTCCTGTCAGTCGACGTCACGGGAAAATCATTTCGTCTGTGTAGGGTGACTGGGTTTGACGGCAAGTATTTACACCATGAAGTGCTCTCCACCCTGACCAATGTGCCTGGTTTCCGCGCATTCGACTGGTCTAGTTCAAACGAGAACCTGATCGCAGTGGGCCAGTCGTCTGGCGAGGCTACCATCCTACGCCTCGATGGGGATACCAAGGAGTCTCTTTCATTCCCAGTCCGCAACCAACGGTACTGCAATGCAGTTACATTTAGCACTCACGGTCTTGTGGCATCGGGTCTAGATCGCGTTCGGAACGACTTTTGCCTGAACATTTGGGATGTCAACCAACGACTCAGTCCTACTGGTGGGAGTAGGGGATTTACTGAGCCTTTACGAAAACTCGCCAGCTCAGAGCCTATTACCAGTATCAAGTTCTTTCGAGACCAGCCTGATACGATCGTAACTGGTGTCAAAGGCCAGTTTGTTCGGATCTATGATCTAAGAGGTTTGTCTCTGCTGGCTTTGAATGTACAAAAGCATAGCTGATTTTGTACCAGAGGGACCTGGGAATCCATCTTTGCAATTTCCCACTCGATGCGTCCATAATCTGGCCATTGATTGGCTTGATGAGAACTACATTGCGTCTTGTATTCCATCAAATGAAAGCACTATCTGCGTGTGGGATCGTCGTGTTGGATCTCGACTGACATCCTCGTCAATGGGCTCTTCTGCTAGTGCCCTAGAGTCAAGCCAAACAATGCCAGCTTTGGAACTCAAAAATGTCTTCCATCCGAAGTCCTCCATCTGGAGCTTGCGCTTCTCAAGGACGAACCGAGGCAGTCTCTCTGCGCTGTCCAGCAGCGGTCATTTAAAGAATTACGACATTGCCAAAGACTTCTTGCCGGAGGAGTATCGTTCTTCGATAGACGAGACTCTGGGTCAGGGATCTTCCAGAAATTACCCGGAATCGGTATACACTAAGCACGTGCGGGACATATGCGTACCATTTGATAATCCGACTCGTGGCTACAATGAAAAAGATCGTGTTGTTTCATTCGATTCCCTGAATCTTAGCTTGTCTCCTCAACCAAGTGCCATAGCACTCGACGGCCATGGACGGCCTCAGATTCTCACCACGCGACCCCCGTGTGCACCAATTGATCTATCTTCACGGAGTGTATTGGCGTCTGGTATCTCGTCAAATGAATCAGATGTGCGATCTATTCACCCACTGTCTGAGCATATTTCGCCTATCTCAGACCTGATCAGGAAAATCAGGACACGCGTCTGTTCAACCTCACAAAAGCAGGGGATAAATTCAAATGGCCAACACTTTGTGTCCAATAATCTTGATTCCGAGCCTGTCCCAAGCCATGAGAACCGGGAACGCGCCATGGCTCTTGGGGTGATGGGTGTTCCCCTTACCGCGCAAGAAGCGCTCACTCTATGTACAATCAACCAATCCCGGTGCAAGGAGGGTTATTTGTTTGATGAGGCTCAAAACCGAAAAGTAGCATCTGATGATCAAGCTCTCCAGGATTTCTGGAGCTGGATTGAACGTGAGTTTTGAAAATTTCCTTGTGGGTCACATATCTCATCTAACTCGTTTTCAAGGTGCTCGAACCGAGTCTTCTGGGACGGCAATGGTTGTCAATGGCTTGGATCTGAATTATTTAGGTGTGAGCAACATTTGGAATCATGACATTTGTTTGTTTCTTCACATTTGTTTTCAAAGTCTTTCTCGAAACTGACAGGAGAACAGGCAATGGTCTCGAACAACGTTGCATCAGCGCTAAGAAGGTTGATGCTAAAGCAGTCGCCGATGCAGTGGAGACTTTGGCAATTCAATTGAACATTCCCGAGACAACCGGTTGCGACACGGCTTTCCCCGATCATCGCCGACTCTGCCTTCGTCTTTGTGGTGCAACGCAATCTTACCATGAACTGGAGGAGACAGTGAAAACCTTATCTGGCGAAGACCAACATACTAAAGCTGCTGCACTGGCTGTCTTTCAAGATGAGCCTAAGCTGGCCTACCTTGGGCTTCGAAGCAATAACCCCACCCAAGCTCATAAATTGCTGGCCATGGCGATTGCCGGTGCCTCCAAGGGGGAAACTGACACAGACTGGGAGGAGACCTGTGCAGAAATTGCGAAGGAACTTACGGACCCATACGCACGGGCAATTCTAGCCCTTGTGAGCAAAGGCGACTGGAATGCAGTCATCAAGGAAACCACCCTACCTCTGAAGTATCGCGTAGAAGTCGCGCTACGCTGGCTTCCAGACGAAGAATTAACAGAGTATCTGAATGAAGCCACAAGCCAAGCTATTTGTCAAGGTAATATTGAAGGAGTGGTGCTCACGGGCTTGGGTCATTTGGCTATGGGTCTGTTCCAATCTTACATTGGGAAATTCAATGATGTCCAAACTCCGGTGCTAGCAATGAGCCATACTGTACCACGGCTCGTTAGCAACCCACAGCACGTTGTTCAGTTCGAGGCCTGGCGCGAGACCTACCGGCGACAGATGAACTCCTGGAAACTCCAACTTGAGCGAGCCCGATTCGACGTTGGCTCTCGTCGCTTTGCTGTCACTGTTGACGGCCGCAAGCTCATGCCGTCACCGCCGCAGCAAGTCAGCCTCACCTGTAACTACTGCACGAGTCCACTCACCCAGCACGACGCTTCCTCGCAGGTCTCTCCATCTACCAAGAGTGCCGAAAATGTTCATCCCACCGCCGGGAACCCACTGGCACCCACAGCCATGACAGGGACTGTGTGTCCGCGGTGCGGTCGACACATGCCGCGCTGTGGCGTCTGCACTTTGTGGTTGGGTTCGCCAGACCCCATGTCACGGGCCAGTATTGCCGCCGATGCGGAGGCAGATTCCCGCAAGCCTACGGAGACTGAGGTGATGCGGCGCTTCGTGGTGTTTTGTATCCATTGCAACCATGGCTTCCATGCAAATCATGCCAGTGACTGGTTTAAGCGGCATAAGATTTGCCCGGTAGCAGAGTGTAACTGCATCTGTGATCGGTGATTGTCTTGTGATTTGCATTGCCCCTTCTGAGCCATGGACTAGATGACCTGTCTTTATGCGATATTCTATACCCTACTAAGTCGATTTATCTGAAATCAATGTTCATGTACTACCTAGATGATTCGATCCAGTAAGATAAGAATGGTCCGCTGCTTCTGCGGCCTCTGTAAGACTTGAAACATCCGATCCTGTTGTTTGGCCTCGGGTGATACAGGAGAGATTCTGTGTAAGAACATACCAACGAGATTTTACTAGTTTTCGTAAGATAGTCTTTCAGATGGGCGTTTTGATAGGTCTTTTGGGGTGTCAACAATGGCGGTTGAAAGCAGACACTGTACAAAGTACTTTTCTATGTAGAAGCAGGGATAATCAACAAGAACCATAAAGTAGAGCAATAGAGCAATAAACCAAAGACAACATCACCCAAGGCAATGCGAGAAACATAGAACTACCTCGCCGAAAGGGTGTCACTCTCTATACTGACTGGTTGACTTTGGAATGAACCACACTGTTCGTGCTGTCTATCCATCCCCCAAAGCCCACACGGGTGAACATAGCCAAAGTGAGCAAATTGCCTTGGAAGGAAGCTTGAATCATCCCCGCCCGTTTGCTCAGATAGCAAAAATCCAAGACCTCAAGACGAGTTAGACATGAGCTACGACATTGAATCGAGCTGTGTAGAGCTACCTCTTGAGATGGAATCTAAATTTGAAGGGCTCCGAGACAGTCGCATTATACTCATGCCCACAATAGCTTCTAACCCGAAGGTAGCAGGAAGACCTTTTCCTGCATCTGGGAGAGCATTTTCGATACAGAGAATGACTGAATGCGGCTTGATAGGTCCACTTGACCATAGCGGTTATACTCCATCACACACAACCACCACGGTAGAAGGGTCTCCTTGACGACGTGTGCCCCTAGCCGCATGAGCACTCCTGTATCAGATGATTGAAATAGATAACCGAGGTCTTCCTCAGTCTTGATCAGGTAAAAACTTCATCCTTGTGGAGTATTTCTTCTGTATGAGGCTGGAAGAAGTGTTGATTCAACTGGGAGGATTTGATTCTTGGCCAAATCCCCTTGCATAGCTTGAATTTGAAGCCTCTCAAGCTAGATAGGCAAATCGTGTTATGTCCTCCGGCGATGACAGATGTCCCATACCCCGGTCAACTCATTGGTGGTTCAATAATAACACTATGATCTATACTCGGTGATCTCACTTCAGAAGCTACCTCATTGACTGTCTGGTCTATCATTCAAATTTCCTTTCTTGAGATTTACGATCTGATTTCACAAAGCTACGAACATCGGATCAACAGCTATAACTCTTCTTTGATCAGACCACACTCCTATCTCTCCCCACCGTCACAATTGTACTTTTCCATCTGGAACTTCTACATTTATCGGATATCTCATCCATCACTGGATGAATGGTTAACCGCCTCCAGTTCCCTTTGATCGACCAGATATACATCTTCTGATCTGACCTTTCTGACTGACCGAACGTAGATCGTTCAGTCAACTACACAATCTTTGAAATCAAGTCAAGGAAAGGGAGATGATCTTGTCCTAAGCGTTACTTTTGTTCTTATTTTGCTTTACGGCATTGGGGAATGATGCCAATGGTTTTTGTGTTTCCTCCACAATGTGCTCTTTTTTTCTTGCTTTTCTTGCTTTTCTTGATTTCGAGTGACACGCCGTTGGTCTGCGTTGCAATGATTCTGACAACAGTCGTAATGCGGGGATTTTTTTTTACCATTCTCAAAGGATTTTCTATTTATCTGAAGACCAGTTGATTTGATTGAAACTCTGGTCATTGAGACTGTTACAAGATGCGCGACAGTCGGATTCCATGACTGCAATCAGGACACTTGGGCGTCCATTTACTTTGAAGGGAAATGCCGTGAGAGAAGAGCATCTTGCAACATTTGGAGTGCCCCACCAATATGTTCCACCAACTTCCCTCAAATTTCTCCAAGATGGATCCCCCAAAAAACAAAGAGAAGCGGGGACGTGGCCAGGGGCAAGGCCAAAGTCGCGATGTCCAAGTCTCCAAAGCGTTAAGCTTACTTCTGCGACACGCTGCGGAGAAGGAAGGGCTGAAGATGAACGTCCAGGGTTATGCGAGCGTGACAGACGTGGTATGCAGCATTCTTCCAAGGTTCTAAACTACCTACATCCTGACGACTGTGTCCAGTTGAATTGGAGAAAACTCAAATCTCTAAAAGTGACCTTTCCCGAGATTCTCCACGCCGTCGAGTCCTCCGACAAAAAGCGCTTCGCCCTCCTCCACATTCCATCCGCACAACCTACCGAATCCACGACTCAAGCAACAACAACACCAGCAACAGCCCTCGATGCCGAGCACGAAGCTGTCACTATCGTGGGTGAAACCCAGCCTGCGACATCCGTCCTGGAATCCGCCCCCGCCACGAGCGAAGCCCAACAAACAGCCACCGACCAAGCATTATCCGTGAAAGATACCGACCCGTCGAACTTTTTGATTCGCGCGACACAAGGTCACAGCATCAAGACCGTAGATGCTGCCTCCTTTCTCGAGCCGCTTTCCTTGTCCGAGGAATCGAAACTACCCGACACTGTCGTCCACGGCACGTTCCACGCGACCTGGCCTGCGATTCTACAATCCGGTGGACTACGCTGTATGGGACGGAATCACATTCACTTCGCCACTGGTCCGTCACTAGAGTCAGTGCTGCTTGCTACTCATACTGAGGATGCCGCGTGGGGGACTTCAACGCCCGACGACTCCCGCGTGATTTCGGGTATGCGACGTGACGCGCAGGTTTTGATCTATATTAATGTGCGCAAAGCGCTAAAAGCTGGAGTCCCATTCTGGCGCAGTGAAAATGGGGTCATTCTCAGTGAGGGCATCCCTGTTGAGGAGAGTGGGCAACCGAAGAAAGGCGAGGCACAGAAGTTCGTCGGGCTGGACTTTTTCGATGTAGTGGTGGAGCGTAAGGTTGGGCTGGGTAAGCTCTGGGAGCACGGGGAGGTTCTGCAGGAACTTCCGGAGACTCTCACGAAGAAAGGGAATCCCAAGGGCCGGCGATGAGTGGTGATTTTGCGCTCGGTAGAGATTATCGCCAGCCGGGCTTTCTGTGGTTGAGCTCGACACAAACGACCAAGAGAAACGTTAACCCTTCTCTTTCTGATCGACATCTTTATCATCGAATAGGTAACCCGGGAACCTCCAGCTCTGGGGGGGGGGTGGTCGGGCTGAGCTGATACGGCCCTACCGAGTGAAAGGGCCCTGGAGTATATCCCAACGCCTCATCTTACTGTAGCGCTACTCCTGGCCAGAGTTGTGTCCAAAGGTACTCCAGCTCATCCAGAAGCTTCAATATAGGTATACAAGACAGAAGGTCACAATTCGTTTTTTAAATTCCCATCAATCTCATAGACCAAACATCCACTTCTGCAAATAATTCTCTGCTAAGCTCCCCAGGTCTCTCTACCCGACTGCGGGGAAATCGGAAGCGCAACCTCTTCCGAACCCCAACCGACTGGTGTACTTTCAGCACATCCGATATCCCCAGACCCAATCATGCCATTAGCATAGATTTGCGGGGGCATCCTTGAATTACCGTCATGTTTTCGGTCAGACGTAAATGGATTGCGGACTAAAAGTCCCGTCGGATCCCCACGTGTGATATAAAACAGTCTCGAGGATTTTGAAGACATTCGCACACACTTCTCTGGTTGAAATCCTCTCTCCTTCTTTCTGTGTTTTCGAATCATCCTTACATCTTGCATCGCAATAGACTGATCTACACGCAACGATGGCAACGCACCGCTTCGATCCCACCTTCACGGACAAAGTCATCAATGCGATGGGTCCCAAGACCACCCCGCGCATGCGCCAGCTCATGGCCGGCCTCATCAAGCACATGCACGACTATGCGCGCGAGGAGGAGCTCACCGTCGAGGAGTGGATGGCCGGCGTGCAGATGCTCAATTGGGCCGGACAGATGAGCAACGACAAGCGGAACGAGGGGCAGCTAGTGTGCGATGTACTAGGACTGGAATCGTAAGCCGAACCTCTTGTTCAACGGAGAGCCCAAAAAAAAAAAAAGGTAACCAGCTAACTTGTGTTCGTTTTACGCCAGCCTCGTCGACGAAATCACCTTCACTCTCGCCGAAGAAGCGCAGGATGCACCCACAGCCACAGCCATCCTGGGCCCGTTCTTCCGCGCTGACACACCGTACCGCCAGAACGGCGAGATTATCGTCAAGACGAAACCTGCCGATGCTGAGATGGCCTTCATGCACGGTCGCGTGGTTGACTTCCAAACCAAGAAACCTCTCGTCGGGGCGACGGTTGAGGTGTGGCAGGCTTCTACGAACGGGTTGTACGAGCAGCAGGACCCTGAGCAGGTGGAGTTCAATCTGCGCGGCAAGTTCAAGACGGACGAGGATGGAAAGTACTCGTTTTACTGCCTGCGTCCGACGCCCTACCCCGTTCCTAACGATGGTCCTGCTGGCAAGCTTCTTGAGCTGATGGATCGGCACCCTTTCCGCCCTGCTCACATTCACATTATTGTATGTTTGGGCACAGTATCTATATCAGGTGGAGACAGAGGCTAATCTCTTCCCCAGGCTACCTACGATAACTACCGACCTTTGACCACGCAGATCTTCGACCGCAAGGACAAGTACCTTGACAACGACTCGGTGTTTGCTGTGAAGGACTCGCTCGTTGTGGACTTTGTGCCGCGCAAAGACGATCCTCAAGCTGCCATTGAACTTAAATACGATGTGAAACTGGTCAAGTTCGAGGCTAGTACCAATAGCGCATGAGCGAGTAGCGACATTAAAGTAGTAATTTTCTTGATCTCTGATGTATTTGACATTAGTAGCACTGTACATATTGAACACAACGAAAAAAAAATGTTATCTTTCCAACCAGATTTTTACTGGCAAATTCATGGTTTCTCTCTAGACAGAAGCTCTTTCAGGCTTTCACTTTGTTCGCGAACGTGGCAATTAACTCACCCACCTCATCAGCAGCCTCAATACAATGCCAATGTCCCACCCCCTTCAATACCTCGAGAGACTTCTGCTTACTCAAGACATGGTCAAAGATATGCTGGCACCCCTCCATAGAAGCAGACTTATCCTCCTCGCCCGCAATAAGCAGGAAAGGCGCCTGGACAGCAGCATAATCCGCCGGCTTGGCGGCAGCGATAGCGCGGCACAGCGCAGCATATCCCTTCGGATCCTGGCCCAGGATCAACTCCCGGATGAAAGCCTTGTGGAGCGGAGTGCTGCGCGAGCCAACAGCTCCAAAGGGGATGGTATTTGCCATGGGCTCGATTCCAGCTGCAGAGGATTTAGCACATGCGTGTAGAAACTTTTTTTTTAAAAAAAAAGCAAAGATCAAGTAGAACGAGCTAATTAGACAGACTCCATTGAGAAAGTACTGACCCTCAAGAACAGTCTCCGATCTCTTATTCATGACCGTCACCAATGTATCTGACGGGTGCGTCGGCCCAATGGCTACAACGCCCTGTACGCGGTCCGGATGCCGTGCCCCCAGCTCTGTCACTACGAGCCCACCCATTGAATGGCCGACTACGACGGCCTTGGGGACATGCAGTGAGTCCAGCACGCCGATGACATCCTCTGCGATTCCGGGAATCGTAACGGTGTCATTGGTGTATGGGGAGCGGGCGGCGCCGTATGTATCGATTGTGATGCAGCGGTGGAGGTTGGTCAGGTGCGGGATTACTGGGTAGTAGTAGTTTTGTGAGGAGCCCAGCCCGTGGATGAAGATAAAGGTCAGGCCAGTTGGGGTCGGAGGGCCGGCGGGGTGGGAGTCAGCATAGTAGAGGCGGTGGCTGTTTGCTTGGACGAACGGCATTTGGGATTGGGAGTCAGGTAAGAATGGGATCAATTCAAGATGACGAAGTAGAAAGAAATGGAACAGTGAAGGAACAAAGAAGCGGGCAGCCCTGAAGATCTATACAAACGATAAGCGTAACGTCACTCCCAATAAGATTCTGGCTACAATCACACTGCAGATATACACAGTGCTCTGGATCCTTCAGACCATTTCTGCTCATTCCGACGGAACAATTCAGCTCTCAGTTCCTACTCCAAAAACATTTGACACTCCCGAACCGAAGTTGTTGCATCCGAACTGGGCGGAAATCACCCGACTGTCGGACCAGACCCGATCCCCACAGTGCCAAGACTTCCACGACAGAAAGAGCAGTTTACTTCAAAAGCTGCAAGACTTGCAACAAAATGCCGTCAAAGCGATTCAACAGTTCAAATGAAATCGTTGAGAAGGGCTTTTATTGAGTTCGTCAAAAGGGTCGCCGCTTCCGTGTGCGAATACTTCTTCAATCCAATCCGCCGTCTCGTCTCGAAAGGAATCTCCAAAAGAAGACGCCAATGTGGGTCTAATGCACGGTCGATCAGACAAAGGAGGCTGTAAAGGAGAGATGTCCTTGGGTGGAGAATGACCTTTCGTTCCAGAACTATTTGTTTGTGTGATAATCGCTGCTTCAGCTTCAAGGAAATCGGCAGGGTCGTACTGGAAAGATTCCCCAAAAGATGATTCTAGTGTGAGCACAGCCGGGGGAGCTTTTAAGTAGGGTGATTCCTTAGGTAGAGACGGTTTCATCGTTTCTTCATCAGTCGTTCGCGTGGGAGCAGCCATCTCGGCTTTCTTCATAATCTCTTCATCGTTGAACGCCGAGCAGTCCGAGAATTCATCCTCATCATTGAATGAAGCCCGGGTCGCGGCGCCAATATCATGACATTCACCCTCTTCCAGTAATCCTATATCATGCAGCTCAGATAGGTCATTTTCCAATTCCTCATCCAGGTCGTCAAAGGCATCCGATTCAGCTTCCGTATCGCCACACTCGCTCCCCACCCCGTTTTCATGTGACTCGACCTCCGTAGTTGTAAGCGTAGGCTCCGGTACCGCAGGGGACTGTCGCTTCGCAGCCCCTAGGAAAATTGACAGCAGCGGCTGACTCGATGGGACGCGTGCTGCATAGGGATCCGGGATGCCGCGACGCTTCCGCTCCTCACGGGCCTGCGCCTCTTGTTCGGCTTTCCGTTTCTTGTTGGCGATTCGTTTCTTTTCCTTCTCACGTAGCTTCTTCGCTTTTTTTTCACGCTCCTCCTCGCGATCTAGCCGCGCAATCTGGGATGCGGTGAACTGGAATCTTTGGTTGCTGCGTTGGTACCGGCGTTTAACGGTCTTGGATTTCTCCAAGATGATGCGACGCGGCTCATCCGGCATAGTGGGGGCAACCGTGGCAGCGACTGCCTGCTGCTTGCACGATCATGGGGATGGAGGGCTGTGATGAGTTGTGCCAGAAAGAGTTGGAAAGGGACGATGTTATTTTCTTAGTTGGCGGTGACACGTTATGCCGACCGAGGAAGTCAACAAATTACCAGATTGGGCTGTTACTCAAAGGTCTTTGATTAATCCATCTTCAGCGTGTTTTTCAATGCTAGGAGTCTACTTCCGTGGTTCAATTTATACGATAACTAGGCTTTTGCTAATTTGGAGATGTCATTTAGATCTTGCAGTCACGGACGGGATCCCAGCAGACGGGCTCGTACTTGTCGAGCTTCAGGCTGGCCATGTCCTCATCCGAGAGGGCGAAGTCGAAGACCTGCGAGTTCTCCAGAATGCGAGAATCGGTCACCGACTTAGGCAGGGGCACATATCCCTTCTGCAAACTCCAGCGGATCAAAATCTGAGCCTCGGTCTTACCGTGCTTCGTGGCCAGGTTCTGCAGAACTGGCTCCTTCATGCGGGTCGCTTGCACAAGGGGAGAGTATGCTTCGACAATGATGTTGCGCTTCTGCAGCCACTCCGCAATATCATCGCGTGGGCACCACGGGTGGATCTCGTATTGACCGACGGTGATCTGTCCGCCCGCTCCGCTTTTGATGTACTCTTCCAACTCCTCGAGGTGCTGGATGGCAAAGTTGGACACACCCAGCGAGCGGACGTGGCCTGCCTTTTGAGCCTCCACAAGTGCGCGCCATGTGCCGAGGCGGTCCTCCTTGCCGCCGTAGGGTGCGTGGATCAACAAACTAATAGTCATGGTGTTAATCTTCTAATCTGCTTTGGTTTCCAGGTAACGAAGAGGTCCATACAGGTCAATGTAGCCAAGGTCTGCCGCAGCGATGCTTTCCTCAATGGCCTTCTTTGCCTTCTCGTATCCCATGGACTTCGAGGGCACCTTGCTAGTATAGAAGATCTTGGAGCGGTCAAGTCCAGACGCGCGGATGGCGGCGGCACTTTCAAGTTCATTTCCATAGATTTTGGCGCTGTCGACCTGTAACAGAATGGTCAGCCTGGTAACACTTGCGGTTTGGGGTTCTGCGGTTGCTTACATGGCGGTATCCGACCTCGATGGCCTTGCGGGTCACTTTCTCGGTGATATCAGAGGGACTGGTGAAGAATGAGTCAATGTAATCTGTCGCGGGAAGGGGGAGGGGTAATTCAACGATGGTCATACGTTTGGTAAACCTAATTCCCCCAAAGTGTCAGTCATACATATCAAGACTCCAGGGGCCAATACACTCACTCCAAACCCAACAACGGGGATCTCGTAGCCTGAGACCAACTTATAGGTAGACTGCAATGAAACGGGAGCCATGATGTGCGAAAGTTGTGATGGTTGAACAGTAATATAGGGCAAAAGAAGGGGTTATCCGAGAAGATATAAAGGTTTCGACATCCACGGACCACCTCGGACCATTACCTTCCACCTGTTTCTTGGAGTTTGACGCCATCTAAGTGGGGATATACGATGTACGGGACTAGAGGCTGCTATATCAATGGTTGATCAGTGCGACGTGGGGCTTGTATGAGTAACTTGATGGACATAAGGGACTTACAACATAGAGCCCAAGGTATCGCAATTGACCTTTGAGTGCTGTCCTGATGACTCAACGCAAATCGGATATTACTTGCCATAAAATCGTCAGCCCTCACAGCTTGAACGTCAACTTTGCCCCAATCCCGATCTGATAAGGGTTTGGTCTTATCGATAAGGCAGGACTTGTAAACATGGCATCGGTGATGTCTATACTTGGGATCACATCATTTGGAGGGTTGGAATATCAGAAATGTCCTATCTCCCGACGGCCCATCAATAAACCAAACTTGATCTCCCAAAAAAAGCGCATCAGCAGCGCGCAAGTTATATACAGGATAGTCGGGCGGTAGTGAACGGCAGTACCCTTCTAGTGGGGGTTGGGTTTGGCCAGTTCAACATCGTCAATGCCCTCACATTAGGTTGATTTGCTCGAATATCGCTTTTTGAAAAGAGTATTGCAAAGTTGTGGGAGCTTTGATCTGGTTTCACACAACCTGTTACTCCTCCTATTTGCGCATTTTCAAAGCAACATCTGACAATATCACACTATTTACACCCCAACCCGCCTTCATCGCCTTCGATCTTTCCAAACCCCGGGCCTATAATCGAGCAATAGCACCTCAAGAATGCGCTGTATCAAGAACAAAATTGAGCACAATGGCTCTGGGGCGGTGACATTGTGCCCAGACGAACCAGAAGACATGGTATGGGAGCTCTCTTCCGTCTCAGCACCCCGCAGTCATCTAAAACACAATTCAATGAATCTAGTGGCACGCATACAATTTGATCCGACCAGGTGATATACTTCGAGCTAGTGCAATCCGCCGAGTTACCACAGTCCAGGATACCGGATCCACGAGCTCGGCGCGCGTTCATCTGAACCTTGTAATTCGCGTGAAGAATCTCGACTTTGACCCGCAGAGCTCTCAGCTCCATGTCTCAGGACAAATTATGAACGAAACATCCCACACAAAAATCGGACAATTTCATACACTGGATCTAGAGTTGAACCGCAATTTCACACTAGAGAAAGAGGTTGGGTCAGATGGAGAAGGTGTCGGGTGGGACAGTATTGCAATTGAGTCACTTAAGGACGCTGTGGATGAGGGCGGGAAGCGCCGTGCAGAGGCCGTTGCAGTAGTGATGCAGGAAGGACTGGCTCATATCTGCTTTATTGGCCAATTCCAGACAATATTGAAGCAAAAGATTGAGATGTCTGTGCCGCGGAAACGGCAGGGAGGAGGGGATCATGATAAAGTGAGTTTCTGTTGCTATGTTGTTGTGTCTATGGACCAGGTTCAAACCCTTACACCACATACTCTCAGGGAATGAACAAGTTTTTCAAAGTCACACTCGAGACTCTCCTTCGACAGATGGAATTCAATACCAGTCTTACTTCAGGCTCCAACAACGAAGCTGTTCGACCCGTGCTGCTCGCTTCACCCGGATTTGTCGCCTCTGGCTTCCAAAAATACATCCAATCCGAGGCATCAACAACGACTCCTGGGCTCAAGCGACTTCTCCCTAGTCTCGTGGTTGTGCATTCCGCATCAGGGTACACGAATTCCCTATCAGAAGTCCTGCAGTCGCCCGCAGTTAAGACCATCCTGGCGGACACGAAATACGCCCGTGAGACCAAATTGATGGACGACTTCCTAGAGCAACTGCGCAAGGAGACCAACAAAGCAACTTATGGTCCCCGCGAGGTTGAGTTCGCGGTTGAACAAGGTGCTGTCGGCCGAGGTGGCGGCGTGCTGATTATTTCAAACCGCTTGTTTCGATCACAAGAAATCGCTGTGCGTAAACGCTGGGTAGCGCTTGTGGACCGCGTCCGCGATGTTGAGGGTGGTGATGTGCGGATCCTTAGCTCAGATCATGAAAGTGGGAAGCGTCTGGAGGGGCTGGGTGGTATCGCAGCGCTTTTGACATTCCCTCTTGTTGAGCCGGACCTTGACTCCGATGTAGAATAGACTGGCGATTCAGCCGGCCATCGACAAATTCGAAGAGTTATTACAACATGTGGCATGATCAAAACATGTCATGATCAGATGAACAACATGCCAGAATCATTGGTTTCATTGATTCTCTCTCAATGAAGCCAGCCCTAAACCCGTCAAACCGTAGATAACTACCTCCGTGGCAACCCGATGTCGCAATTGACATCTGCTCCTGCCTTCACGAAGCCCCTGAAGGGGTTGGGATTCTCAAATCTTCGCAATATACCTTGGGTTCATTATGCATATGCTCCCTTTTCAACCTCGCCGCGGTTAAAAGAGGTAACACAAAGTCACCTCCAGTAAGATTCGGTCAGTGCAATTCAAATCCACGCGTTTAAGCAAGGACTGCGCTCAGGGCACTCAATCGTCCACAGAGTATCACAAGGTGACTTGCATGTACGCTTTAACCGTGATGTGATTGACTGTTCGGCTGGTGGCCAGATTCAAGCTCTTGTCATCTGCCCTCACCTCGCGTGTAACCTTCAATTCACGAATAAACAGATGTTTACTATCTTCCAACCCTACCGAGTCGTTTTCGATGGCGGAGGTTTTACCGTTTAAGTAAGATAATAAGCATTGCAAGTGCGGCGATCTCATCACAAGTGAAGTTAGTGAGATGCAAAGTCGAAGGCTTGAAGGCGTTTTGTCGCAAAGGCTTCGTGGTTTAGCTGGTTTGGGGCAGGGTTGGCCAAACATTCAGTTCAGTGAGATAAACTAGAGATGTGACAGATCACCAAACAAGACTCAAAGTTTCGAGTTCAATCTTTGCCTGTGACCTAATTAGGCCGATTGCAAGATGCCCTTCCAAGGTGCAACACCTTAGCTCTGAAGTGTCGTTCAATTCCGCCGTTGAGCTCATGTTCTCTGGCTATAAAGAATATCCATTAGAAGAATTGATTCAAAGTCTTTGATATGTCCATCGGTCCCCTCTCTTTCATGACTGCTCGCTTGGAAGGACGATCTGCTTTTTCAGGTGGCTCACTCCGCTTCTTCTCTCTTGCGCGTTGCTGCTTCTCGACATCGAGCTTTTGCTTCACGGGACCTCGAGTAAACAATACAATTGACTTCGCATTATAACGAGAGCGGAAAACTACCCTGTCTCTTCTGCTGTGATCGACAGTTGGTAGCTTGAACTCCAAAATCGGGAGACTCGTTGGTAGGGATGATGGTGTTCTCGGGTCCTCGTTTTCTGATGCCAGGAGACTAGACTGGTACACATGAAGCAAAGCCAAGAGATTATCGTCGATTGTCTTTGACGTTCCATGGCTTTCCCAAAACCAATCAAGCCTGCAGGCTGACCATCCCTTCGCGGGAATGATGCCATTCGCGGGCTTGTCATATTTTTGAATCGCCTCTGTGATATTCTTACACTCGTATGCCACAACGAGCTGGAGCTCCGGCAGCTCCCGTAGAGCTTCCAATGCCGCAATGGTTATTTCGCGTTGGTGGTAAAACCTGAGAATGCGGAGGTGCTGTAGTGCTTGGGATTCAATCCAACCACGCACAAATCCGTCTTGCAAGGGGAGGCCGTCATTACTAACACCCACGGGATCCAGCGGGGCAATATTAGACGAGTATGGTTCACTGTAAACGTCCAGGGCAACCAAATTCTTGATGTTTGGTATAGCAGTCAGGTCTGTGGCAGTACAGTACGTAGTTGCAATGGTCAAGATTGCACGCCAGCGAAATTCATCGCTATTCAGAATACCAATATAGTCTCTTAGTGGCTTTTTGGGGCAGCCAGCATTGAGGCAGTAGTAAGGACTAACCTCACAGAATTGTACAGGATAAACGCTAGCCAGTATTTTCCACATGTGCATTGTCTGCTTGTTGCTGTGTAGACGGTCAGATTTGAACAAACAGACTTAGGAATCTGTTGAGGGAGTATGAGGAATCTTCAATGATGACCTACCACCTTTTCAGGGCATCCCAAAGGTATTTCGCCAAATACCAAGGGACGTGATCCAATAGCTCGGGCTTCAGTGCCGACTGGTCTTGTAGCAGTGCTTTCATTGCAGCATGTTTTAGTGATCCAGATCCTCGATCATTGGTTGTCTCCCACCCATAGGGTAAAAAAGGAATCTCGTGATACCATGTGGGACCGAGACGTAGGAAACCGGGGGGTTGGTTGTCTTCGAGGATGATCGACATCACGGAACAGAATCATGACCAGAACGAGCAGGGATCCAGTAAGAAGTTACAGTGTAGTTTCTAGCAATACCCATGGATCAAGTTATCTGGTAGACTGGTGTCTTTCCAGATTAAGACATCAAATGTTGAAGTTGGGCGCGTGTTTCGAGTCGAAGCGCGACCTATTGGATGCATGCACGTGACCCCGTCTAACACGGACCGTAGATCCACGGATTTTTAGTAGCAAGCGGGATTTTGGCTTTTTTCATCTAATTCTTGTAACCTTCAAAGGAACTTACCTTGGATTTTTCGACTCCCACATCGGGTTTGTTACACTTTGATTGTTCATGGCTCCTCCTACCTTTCTAGCTAGGCATCCTGCTTGTGTCTGTCACGTTTGTGAAGTTGCTTCTGGGAAACCTGTGATGAAGATGTCAGGTCAAGTGACCCTTGATAATCGGGAGCTATTTAGAGTAAGTTTATAAGGGGCTGACCAAGATCATTTACAACATCAGATGAGACGAACCGCGTGATTCTCCAAGTTGGAGAGCAATATTACTATTGTTATCCAGGGTGTACTGTCGGCAATGTGGGAGGACCCCCACCCTAAGCGCATTCCCAACACACACATAAATAATCTACTATAGATAAATGAAGGCTGGATAGGGTAGGGCTGGATATAACTACGGGAAAGTGGGTTCGGTAGTTATTAGACTTCGTGTCACGGTGTGAACCGTAATGCTTAGTAAGAGGAAGATCACGACACGTGATCTCCGACCTGTTTATCTGAACTTCAGTTCTAGATCCTGTTGTAGCTCTTCGAGCTACGTCTTGTATAATAGCCTGCCCCTGCCTGTACCTGTCAAGTGGAATCTGATCTGTTATGACCTGTTCCTACCAGTCATCTCCTATCATACCGTCCTGCCAGCCCGCACCCTGACATTTTAGGTTATGTTAGGTTAGCTTAGGTCCGGGTTAGAGTGGGTTATGCCGAAGTCTAGTATAGTGGGTGGTTAAAGAAGTAGTGTTTAAATTGATTGATATGTTTTGGTGGGGGTGTCTAGCTTAGTAGTGAAACACATTAGTCAGTTAACTAGTTGGTTATTATTCTATTCGTCCGCAATGATCTTCCATAAATTGAGATTATTTGGATCTTCTCTTTGGGCGAGCCTGCAATTTATGTAAATACTAATAAGACTACTACATAAATATAGGTTTAACACAATTTTCAAATATTAACATGGTTTAAATGCGTTAATACCTTGTCGACAGACGTGTAAAGCGCTCATAATGGGTTAATTTGCTCTCTTTTGTCCATAGTGCAAATAACAGAATCACTACCTCAGATTCCGTTTTCTCTATTCATTGGTGTGGAGAGAAGAAATAACCTGGCCATCTTTTAAAGACATGCTACTTGGCATTTTTTTCTCTCACTGGTATACTTACTATAAGGCTCTTCCCCGCCCAAGGCATAGAGAACCTCTGCCTGAAAGACAAAACGGACCATGGACGAGATATTTAGCTTATGATTGTTCATAACTAAGCTGGGAACAGGCCAACATCGATAGAACAGCGCGAGCTACCATATCGGCATTCACCATCATGCTTCTTGAAATCCAAGCTATCTTCTCGTACGCATAACATAAGCAGTGGTCATACATTCCTGCGTGCATACCTACTCCATGAACGGATTCTTCGCCCCTTCCAATAGAGCAAATAAGGCACAGGCAAAAACAACAGCGAAACTCCACCCAAGAGGGTTAACGTCCATGAAACGCCAAGTTTGTTGTACATGGTTTCCGCGATAAAAGTCATGACACCGGCAGCAACAAGGCGCAGCATCTGAAGAGAGGAAAGTGCGCTTGCAGCATGTGACTCGAACGCATCAGCGACATACTGGTACCCCGAGACGAAAAGACACAGCGTCCCAAAGCCATACAATACCGAAGCCACGAGCGGGCTCCAGTACGAAATCTCGAGCTTGGCCGTCCATCCCATCCAGAATAGCGAGGCGGGGACAGCAGGTGCACCGAGCATGCCCATGTACAGACTGATCTCCGGGTCTGGGCGATGTTGACCCCTCTCACGGCTGCGGTAGATCTCTCTACGGATGAGCCACATTGAAAGCGGGATTGTCAGAGCAGAAAGAAGGACTCCGACCTCAATGCCCAGGAACGCGAGGGAGGTGGAGGTCGGGCGAAAGTGGTATTCTAGCTCATAGATAGAAACGTAGCCCGCGATGAAGGTATACAGAACCATGAAGAGCAGGGAGAGGGAGACCGAGTGAGTCATGATGATTGGTTCTGTCAAAAGAAGCGAAACTGGTTGGTGTAGTGAGACACGCATGCGTTTGGCGAACGTGGCTTTTCTGAACTCCAGTGGGGACCGGTACCGGTCGTCGCCTGTCATGCGGCGGAGCTCTTTGGCTTTCCAGTACAGTAGGACTGGGCTGTATGTCTCGGGTAGGAAGAGTACAACCAGGATCAGGACGAGTCCTGCGAGGATTATGGTCATCCAGTCCACCCAGCGCCAGCTTACCGAATGAGCACTGACAGCAAATGATCCTGGTATCGGGCCAACCAATGCCCCCGTGAAGATCGTTATCGCAAAGATCGGGAAGGTGTACACTCTTTCAATGCGAGACCAAACATCCACAAGTGATGCTGCCGATAAAACCGCCGGGGCAGACCCAAAGAGCCCAGCTAGACCGCGGCAAACAATTCGCTGTACCACTGTTTGGCAAAGCCCTGCGCTCAAGTTGAACAACATGAACCCGATCATGGTGGGGATGTACACGGGGTTGCGTCCGAAGACTTCTGATGCAGGCGCTGTTATCAATGCGCCTAGTCCGGCACCAACAAGAAACAGAGCTGGATTATCTCGGTCAGCCCGGTTGAATTGGTTCGAAATGTTAATCCCTACCAGTCGGCAAAGTCTCAACTTCAAATCTAGTATGAAATGTTTTTTCGGTGGTTGTGAGAGCAGCGGAATCGATTGTAGACGACCAGAAAACTACAACCCCAGTAAGCGAAGTGAGAATGGTTGTCAATACTCGACGTCTGAGTGTCCAGTTATGAGGATCCATCGTGTCACAGTCACCTTCGAATGTGACAATAATGGTTTTTTCCCTTTTCACCGACTCGACATCAGTTTCACTGTCCGTCGCATGATCGGCTGGCCAGGGTCTTTCAACGCCAGTCACCATAATATCAGCCGTGTTTCCCAGCGTCTCTTCTGCATTGATAGTATGAGGATCGGTTGAGACTTCTGGGTCGACCTCCGCGCCCTCGATATCACCTTGCCGCTCCAGATGTGATCGAGTGGTATGGCGAGGATGAAGGGCTGGCCCAGATATAAATGTGCGGTGACCGTGCTCCCTCCTTCGCCCGGCAGCAAAATCATCGCCTGGCTCGCGAGGTTGCGTGTAAATTTCTTCTTCATGGTAATCGTAGAGGCCCTCGTGGGTCCAAACATCGTCGGGCTTCTCATGCTTTGTGACAAATTGTTGTTCGAGCTTTCTACGGATCCTGTGGTGCTGGAGAATTGACTGCATTGTGCTTGATTCAGGGCCATGCGTTTCAGGGTCGAATCCACCGTGTTGCCCGAGCATTCAGATCAGATGAAGAGCTTACATCTCCTCGGAGGCACCCTGGAGGCAAAATGACATATGACAGTTCTCTTGAGGATATGAAATCCGTAGAGTGCCATGCCCATATCACTCGGTCAGCTCTCCCGCCAATGACGGATTCCTTTGCAACGAGTTGAACAGTTGAACGTGTTGAGTTGATGCAGAGCTTGTAGCCTAGTAATCTTGATCTTGGCAAATAACGAAGCTACAAGGATTTCCCCACGTAACATCACTACACCAAAAAGTACATGTGGTGGGCAAATGCCCAGGTCGGCGGGCAGTCGTCTACGATGATGTCAGAAGACCGATACCCATCGTCACTGGGCTAATCTGCACTCCATTTTCCCAGGATAAACAGTGATAGATCACAGATTCATAAGGATTCATCATTAATCACAAATAGGGCACTAACCGCCCACAGGTCAAGTATTCACTGGAACACCGAAGGCGGAATTACATCAAGGCAATTGATTAAACACAAAAGCATGCTTCATTGAAAACCGTACAAGCATCGTTCCTTGTCTCCATTTCAAAGTGCAATTACATCACATAAAGGATGTCGGTATCTATAGCAGTTGTCAGAATTTGATTGCAGCCGAGTAACCCGAGAATCTTACCTAAGGGATGGCTGCAACTCAGCTGTGGCTTCTGGGAATATTTGGTCGAAAGTTCGTCACGAATGCTGTTCAAAAGCTGGACATAACTCTGCTGTGGGTTCTTCCGAAGCGCGGCGATGAAAGCCCATGACATAGCACCAGTGGCCTGGCCGGCAATCTGGGCATCCTGGCTGGTCTGGTCATCTTTACTGCCTGACCACATGATCACATCCGCCGGACTAGTTTTAGTCTGCTTGTTGCGTTCATACACTTCGTCGCCTTTGGTGGCCTTTTTGATGAAGCCCATTGCGGTTGACACCATGCTGCCCATGTCACCACGTGCGTATGCCGAAACCACACCAAGTAGGCCCTGTCCAGCTTCCTTGGCCAGGTTGGGCTCCTTGAGCACACCGGAGGTGGAGTAGACGTAGGGGAGATCCAGAGCGGAGCCAGAGTGGCAAGAGTCGAAGATCGCTGTAAGACGGACACCCGGTTGTAGAGTTTGCACCATGATACGGTGCATCTCATCGTCAACAATGTGGCCGGCAACCCGGAAGTCCACTGGGTAGATAACTTCATCATATCCATCTTCTTCGTCGCCGTTCAAGTCGGGAGTCTGACCGCCGTGGCCTGTAAACTGGTTAGTTCGCCCCGATAGAAGCGCTTGAGGCGTGGCTACTCACCAGAGTAGTGGAAGAACAATGAGTCATTGGGGCGCGCATCTTTGACCAGCCAGTGCATAGCGCGAAAAATGTTTGCCTTGGTCGGCTGGCTCATCGGATTTTGCTGGTCATCGGTCAAAAGGACCATGTCCTCGCGAGCATAACCGAAGTTTTGGTTCAAGTACGTCGACATATTCTTCACATCGTTGATACATCCACGCAGCTGACCTTTCTGGCCGAAGTAATTGATACCAATCAACAAGGCCTTTCTCTTGCCTGTACAGCGGGAGTATTGGAAGTTGTAGCCTTGGGGAGCGCCGTGACCGAAGGAGACGGGGTTGGTGGGAGGGGGAGCCGGACCACCGCTTTGGCCGTAGGCTGAAATTGCGCATCATTAGCTTTCACTGCTGAGGAGGTGGTTGGGAAATGGTAGGCAAACCTGGTCTTCCTTGGATTTGTTGCCCAGAGGGCGGGGGCTGATTATACCCAGACGGTGGAGCCTGGAAAGGATTGATACGTGTCAATCTCATTTATGTTGGACCTAAGGCTCATCATGACGTACATTGTAACCTTGCTGAGGAGCATGCGCGCCATAGGACTGGTGGGATGACTGGGGAGAATGGCTGTAACCGTACGGGTTGGATTGCTGCAACGGCTGCTGGTGGTAGGACTGGCCGGGATAGCCACCATAAGGTGGCTGCTGCTGGTGATTCATTTGTCTGCGATCAAATCGTTATTAGATTTTCGAGTCCTTTATCAAGAGAGCAAAGGGACAAGCAAGCATACGGGTACTGCTGTTGCGGGGGATATGACGGCTGCTGCGGGGGGTATCCCGGGGCGCCCGAGTAGGGTGGATAATAAGACATCACAGAAATTCCTTGAGTCCACCCAGGGAATCAAGCGAAGTACAAAGGTTGAGGAGTGGAGAACAAAATTCGATGGAGAAGATGGAGAAGGGGAGATTCAAGGCAAAACAGATCGGAAGTACGGCAGGCGCCAAGCCAAGCCTTCAAGAGTGCGACAAGCTAAATTGACAGCAAATGTCCAAAAAGGTAAGATTGAATCAAATCGTTTGGGTGATTCGGTTAATAAAAAAGAATGAAGAGGTATTTGAAAGGGATCGTCAGACTAGTAACTCGCCACTTGCACTACAAGAGGTTCGCGTCCACTATTTCCTTATAAGGCTGTTTCAGGTTGGCACTAGACAATGCTAAGTGGACATGGAAAAAAAAGATAACTGCAAAAACCCAATGTAGTGTATACTGACTTTTATATATCTGACATAGTCATCGGCATCCCCGATCACCCCCTGGAAGCCCAAGACCCAACTTCGTTATTGGGCTTCGCTAATATGATCCTGTTAGATTTTGACCCAATTTTGTACGAATTGGAGAAATGAAGGACGTAGATTCAAATACAATAATAAAAAAAGAGAGAAGCAAATAGTGCGGAGTACTCCGTGAATCGATTGTAGGATATGCTCGGACCAGCTCGGCCCTGGAAAGCAATCCGATGTCACATGTATGCAAATATTATAAAATCGAGTTCAAGGATTGCTTTCATGAGGACTAATGGTTATATTGTATGTACTTGGAAAGACTGTGTTGTTAAGTCGGGTTATCTCTAGCAACTCGTCTACTTATCCTCCCTGCACTTCATATTCAATATTCATCTCACAAACACCGGCTTTGAAGCCACTAAAGCCAGAGCAGAGTTCGCTCCAACTGCTTCGTGGCCTTCAACCATGCAGGTGTCTTAGTTTTTAGGGGGGGGGGGGGGATATTATCGAGCATTATCCAGTTCAGGTCAAACTCGTTTATCCTCGTCGGGGCATGCCGCGGCCGCGGCCCCGGAGGGCGCGCTGGGCAGCACCTGGCGGCATACCGCGCTGTTGACCAGGCTGAGCCGACTCCTCATTCTCTGATGATGAGAACGTATGAATTAGTCATGATATGGAGCAAGAAATTTTTAATTGGTTAATAGGTCACTTACTTATCGTTTCATCCACACTCAGGATCAAGCAAGAGGCTTCCACTGCGGCCTGAATAGCATTAACCTTGACCAGGCTGGGCTCCCAAACAAAAGCAACCATGTTGTCACGGACGCCCTCGTTGTCAAAGTCAACGCCAGCCCAAGTGTTACCCTTGCGGTGCTCCACGCGCAAGCGGTTCAGGATGTCTGTAGCGTCAAAGCCAGCGTTATCACACAACTGGCGGGGAATAACCTCCAAGGCCTTGGCAAATGCCTTGACGACGGCCTGCTGTTTGTGTGGCACGTTACGGTCGGCAAATCCGTGCATGTAGCTCGACAACTCCATTTCAGTGGCGCCACCGCCAGCAACGATGGTTGTGTTGCGCAGAGCACGCTTAACAATCATGATGGCATCGTGCAAACTACGCTCCACCTCCGCAATGAATTGCTCAGCGCCACCACGCAGCACAAGAGTGCAAGTCTTAGCGCGAGGGCAGTCGGAGAACAAGTTGAATCGCTCTCCACCAATCTGGCGCTCCTCGAACGCACCACAGGTACCCAGGTGACGCTCCTGGATATCAGTGCAGGTCGATTGGGTTGCGGCTCCGGTAGCCTGGCAAACACGGTCCATGTCGTCGGAGGCCACACGGCCAGCACAGAAGATGTCTCGGTCCGCAAAGTACCTGCAAACCAAATCATCAGTATCTAGACACATACCCCAGAGCAGATAGCAAGCACGTACTGTGTAGCAAGATCGCCAATAGGCAGCTTGCTAAGCACAACCTTCGCTCCTGTTTTGTAGACAGCCTCAAGCTTGTTGAAAATGATCTGCCACTCAGCATCGACGATGGCCTGGTATTCCGAGACCTGCTCGACACGAACTTCTGCATTGTCTTTCTCGCTCTTAAGCTCCAGCTCAACGTTCAAGCACACGATACTGGGGTTCTCGAAGTGTTTGGGCTGCTGCTCGAAACCGGCGTAGGAGAAAGTTTTCTTGAAGGCGACACCGTCGACGAAAAGCGAGTCCTGGAGACCACCACCGGTAACCTTCTTGACACCGATCAGCCTTTCGTTGAGATCATCCTGATCCAGCGAAAGTACCGCATCCACAACCACTATGATACCATCCCGTCAGCCTTGGGGCAAAATTGGAACCACGGGGTAGGGGATCCTCACTCTTTGTGAAGAAGTCCGAATTCCGCTTGATAAGCTTGCTGTTCATGGCTGTTGCGGCTAACCGTCTTAGTGTCTCGACCTTCTTCTCCTGGCTGTCTGAAGCATCCATCATGTCTACTGCAATCTCCTTAACCTTGTTGACGGCCATGGCGCTCGCCCTTCGCAGACCCTTGATGATGGTCTGCGAGCTGACACCTTGCTCAACGAGGTCTCGCACCTCCTTCAGAATCTCACCAGCCAGGACAACCACGGAGGTTGTTCCGTCTCCGACTTCGGCATCTTGGGATCGAGCGATATCCGTGAGAATGCGGGCGGCAGGGTGCACAATATCCAAAAGCTACCCAATGCACGCAAGTCAGAATCATCGACTCCCTCCGGTTATAGATTTGCATCAATAGCAGGACGCACCTTCATCACTGTGGCTCCATCGTTTGTAATGGTCTGTTTGCCATTGGCATCCACAAGCAGGAGATCACCACCATAAGGACCGAGAGTGCTCTTGACTGTTCCTTGAACTGCAACACAGGCGTTGATGTTGGAGATAATCTGACCCTTTCCCTGAGAAGCATCGGTGCCTGTGGATTTGCAAAGTAGCAGTAGTTAGCGTAAGTTACAGAATCCCACCAACAAGCTGCCCGCACTGGGGACAACACATACCCTCCTTCAACACGACAATCGTGGGAGTTTGGCCGTTGAAGGCCATTAGATCGGTATTCGGAGACGAAACCGTTCAATAGAAAAAATATAAAGAAATTAGAAAAGGGGTGTGTTGAGTCGGAGGGTCGGAGGGGTTGATCTGCCAAAATTTCCCAGAGCTCCTGTTCCCCAAAAACCCCCCCAATCGCGCGAGGCGGTGACCAATCAGGGCTCCTCAACCCTACGCAGTTAAAGAGATGTACATATTTTAAGACATTTCTGAAGTTCCTGTTGATGTTTTATTGAAATATCCCACTCAATAAATTTACCAAAAAGAAGCGTAGTTTATCTAGCATAAATCGTCGTTTCACTGTCCACATTATAGTATAGTAGTGGTGAAGTACCATCGGCATCTCAGACCGAGGCCTCGACGCCAATAGAAGAATCGAAAGAAGAGAGAAAAGGTAATCCCGAAAGAAAGTAACGCCCCGAAATGAGAAATCGAGTTTAAATATGAGGTTGGTTTACGTAAAGTCATAATTCCCGTCTGAAGGACTTCCATACTCAAACTTGGCAAGTAACTCAGCATCATGCTGTAACTCGTGTGGGGGTGGGTTCACAAGTCCAAGTACATCTTGTCGAAATGGATCTGAGCCGTCATCTACCATCATTTGATAGGCATTGCTGGCTGTATGGTAGCGCATTGCATCGTCAAAGCTTGACATGCCAAGATTATGAGGCCCCGGGGCGAACTGGCTCGCCATGGGGTTCTGTTGTTGGTAGCGTCGTAACTGTTGATGTAATTGCATTATCTGAGGATCGAGGGGCATAGGTGCGAACCCAGCCATGGGGTGGACTGTGCCGGGCATGGCTGAAGGAATGGGTTGGTGCACAAGAGGGTTGTAACTGGAAGGCTCATCGGGTGATTCGTCCATCGCCTGCGGGACATTGACGGGTTCCTTCGGGGATTGCTCAATTGTGCTATCCAAATCCATGCCAGAAATTGTTTCCGAGCGCGATTTATCTTCATTTTTACTCCCTTGTATGGGGGGCACCTTGAGAGTCTCTTTGCATTGTGGGCAGTCTCGAATCACGCGATTGACAGTCTCTTTAATTCGTACCCAGTGGTATTTGATCGCAATAGCAGCCGTAGTTTTGTTGATTCCGGCATGCTGCTTGACATGAACTTCTTGGGCGATATCGTACTGCTGTTGCGGGTCTGACACCACCTCCTTATCCTTCAGCATCAGCCTCTCAGGCTCTCCATCCTCACCGCCAAGAAGTTTATAATGAGTTGCCGCACTGCGTAGTCGACTCTTTTCCGCCCGATCAGCACCACGGGGGTACTTCCCGTGCTTCAAGTAATAGCGGATTTTCTCAAAGCGATCCTGGGACACAGAGTCCTCGCCATCCAAACTGAGGCCTCTACCGTAGATGATTGCATCGACATATTCCCCAGGTTGGGATTTGATACTGCCTCCACCAGGGACTCGGCCAATCCGTTTGAAGCCAAGGGAATCCCACAGGCGACATGAGGCAACGTTGGACTCATATACCAAGTTGAAGACTGCATATGTATATCCCTAGCAAAAGATCAGTTCGAAGCGAATTTGAAGCGACTGCAACGAAGAACTCACTAATCGAGGTGCCCACTCCAGATAGGATTCGCCCATCAATCTACCCACGCCCTTGTTTCGAGCAGCATCAGTGACAATGAAAGTGCCATTGCAGACATGACTACTACGACCGGGATAGTTGGGCCGAATGTGGAAGCCACCTAGACATATCTTAGTCCAGTTGGCTCCAGCACGGTCCATAGTATGTGTCTGCTCTGCACTCTCGATGTCACCAGTAAGCATAACCACACCAAAATTCGAAAACCAATATCTTCCGAACTGGGCGAGTGGAATGGGCTCTGTCATAGCATATGTATCTCCCTTTTCGATCTCTTTGTTGAATTGATCAGAGAGATACTTCATTAGAGCCCGGGGTACTTCCTCTGCTGAGACAAAAGGGACCAGGGTTGCGACCGTAACCCGATCTCGTAAAGTTACTTGTCGCGGGGCCAGAGCAAGGGGATAATCTAGATCAGGACCCGATGGAACGAGCTCTGAATCTCCATGAACTTCAGACATGGTAAAGTGGCCCTCTGTAGGGAATTGCCAATCACACGACTGTTGAGCATGTTAGTTAGATACAATTTATTCCAGAGTGTCTTTGCATCACAAAATCTCAGAAGTGAATACAAGAATAACAGAAAGGCAATGGCTACAAGGAACTGGGTTCAACAAGGGGTCTGTTCACTGACATTCTGGACTGCTTCTAGAAGGGAGCCCTCAATCGCACTTCGAGGACCGCGTGAGTATTCTCGAGTCCGGAATGGCTCCAACGCAAGTCCAGAAGTCGTGGTCCTTGCTGACTCATTGTGTGCGATTAAATAAGCTGGTTTCTGAGCGCCTGACAGCCTGAGGCATCGCCACGCTCATCCTAGTCTCGTCAGAAATCATGGGGGGTGGGTCCGCCTGACATCTCGCTTTAGTCCTACAACAATGGTCAATGCTCACGTGGGCCCCCCCCGTTTTGCTATACGAGAATGCGGTTTCGTTTTGAAATAACGTACATTTGATTAGATCATCCCGTTTCAATATAAAGATCTACGCTATCAATTAAAGTGAATTCTAAGGGACATAGTTATTCTAGTTATTCACTAGTTGAGTACTAATAAATGACTCTTATAATACATACCTCTTAACGTATTCGGTAAGCGAGCTGGCCACCCCAACCAACTTCTTAATTTAAAATACATTTATCTCAACCAAACCGCCATTAAATTAAATATACTAAAATCATCTATCTAGCTAGGCATCTATTAATCTTATGTCCTATTTCTCCACAACCACTACACTTTGGCGGGGCCCGCGTACGTGGTTGTAAAGCCGGCGAAGGGCTTCTTCGTGGAGGGGGAGGAGGTGCTTCAATTGCTTCCACCAGCTCAGTAATCAATTGAGAAGCTTCTTGAACAGAGAGGCCTTCTTCAGTAGGTATCTGCCTCCGGGATCTTGTACGCTTTTGCTTCTGCTTCTCGTTGGCGAGCGCGTAAATCCTTGTTTTCTTTGGCGAGTAAGATAGCACCTTGCATTGTAAGACGAAAGCCTTTTACAAGCTGGTTTAATGCACGATCTGACGGGCTAGGTGGGCTTCGAGATCTTGTACGAAGTAAAGCTTTGATTGATGAAGCTTGACGACGTAGTTCTTTCTCCGTAAAGGGGGTTTTTGGGGTAAAATTCCGGCTTGATTCACTCCCCCGGCTGGCTGGGGGGGTTGGGGTTCGAAGCCGAATATCAAGCTTTGAAATCACTCGGTCGGGTGCAAATGGTACTAAACCAGCTGCTCCGAAGCTTATTTTAATAGTCTCCGATTTAAAAGCTTCAATTCGTGCGAGAGGGTATGCTTCGAGGAAGTCAAGTTTGTCGATATGGTTGATCCCGTTCCGCATCTTAGTTTCAACCATCCGACCGTACGCACGTTTTAACACCGTAAAACAACCAACATCCAAAGGTTGTAAAAGATAAGATAGATGCGCTGGCATACAGAGTGGTATCACCTTATTTTGCTCGCAAATTTTTGTCAAATTGAGGTATTAAATGACTTCCGTGGCCGTCAAGTATCAAAAGCCGGTATACCCCCTTCGTACACAAAGTACTAGGAATAAAGACCTTCTCTAGCCAGCGAAGTCCAATTTCATCAGAAGTCCAGTCGTTAGGACTAACTTCGAAGCGCCAATCCTCCGGGAGACCATTAAACCAGGATTCAATAAAGACTTTGCCTTTAAAAATCACACACGGAGGAAGCGCCCACCCAGAAGCATTCGTACATTCAACCACCGTCACCCATTCACGATTTCTAGGTTATAAAACCGGCCTCCTACCATAGTTTTCACTCCTCGTAATAACCTTCGCGGTTATAGTCAATCCCATTGCAAAACCGGTATTATCAAAGTTATAGATATCATCAGGGTCGATTCCAAATTGAAGGATTGTCTTTTGAACCAAATCAAACCACTCCCCAATGATTTTAGGATCTTCGCATTTCGCACGCTCGTAGTTGTATTGTTTCGAGAATCGGGAGGATAGGAGAGGATGCCGTTTCACGAAGTTAGATACCCATTTCTCGCCGACCGAAAGAACCGGGGTAGTTCCACGCTTTTGAAGAAGAAGATCTGCCATTTCTTGTACCATAGAGGGCCGGGGGGCTGATCCACGAGAATCCATAGAGAGGATCCATTTCTGAAGAGATTCCTCTTCAGTATCAGTCAATTTATGAGAGTTGGCGCGAGAAATCGCGCGGTGTTGTATACCATTCAGGCGGGTGGAAAGGGTGGATCTTGGGACGTTAAAACGGCGCGCCACTTCACGAATTGAAGAGATTTCTTGATTCTTAAAAGTCTGGATAGCTAGTAGGATCCTACCCTCCTGCTCTATTGAATTTCGAGAGGATTGAGTACGAATTGGTGGCATGGTGGGTGGTTGAACTGACTAAGATCTAATTCATGGACACGTTTTGGTTGGGGTGGCCAGCTCGCTTACCGAATACGTTAGGAGGATAGCATGAGATGTCAGGCGGAACCCCTGGTGTGTAGTAACTAGTCTTGTAAGATATGTGCGACGACCATCATTAGACTGTGGCAATGCAGATAGATAACTACACATTCGGTGAATAAAAGCCTGCGTTCAAGAAACTTAGCCAGCCGTCAACTCCATATTGCGAAGTACAACATAAAGCACCATTGACGCAGTTTTGCCTATTGCGAACCATGTGACAAGTCATCCACGGCTACCAGATCGTATCTATGCAAGGAATTGCTGTCTGAAATTCCGGCTAGTTTTCGGAAAGAAGGAAAAGTCGTGCGGGGTCTATAAAGACCAAAATGGAGTAGGCTAAATACAACACCGTTGAACAGCGTGACAAAGAATACACAGCGAGCAAATTTTTTAGCGAATTGGTTGGAAGTCTAGAGTATTGCAACCCCGATAGATTCATAATGTCCTTGTTCAATCGCAAGAGAAACAGAAAGGAAGCCTGTTATCGCTTGATTCTACCATATTCCATTGAGCTAAATTAGCCTGAATTGGGGTGTCATTTTGTGATACGACACTGCAAGTTGTATCAAATTAGCATTAGCGTTGAAAGAACTAGGTCCATTGCCATGCCAGTTGTCAGAATTAAAACATGATTGGTGCTACGTGCTACCGAGTTTCTCCCATTTCCCAAAGCCACCTTCGCGAGCAAGGCTCCCTCCCAATTTCTTGACCAAACCCAACCCGCTGTCAACTTTATTTACGCTCACAATAATCACTGAACCATGACTGCAATTGAGATTCCTAAGCTACAACGTGCAGCTATCCGCCAAGGTCACGGGGATTCTGCAACCGTGGCCGTCCAACAGATCGAGGTTCCTAAACCTGGTCCCGGTCAAATCCTTGTCAAAATTGCATGGACAGGTCTATGTGCCTCCGATGTATCCCTTCTGCACGATGAGTGGGAACATTCTGGGATCGCTATGATGCCTCAAGCACATGGTATCGCAGGCCATGAAGGGGCCGGCACTGTTGTTGCTATTGGCGATGGCATGCATGATCTTTGGAAGCTCGGTGATCGAGCAGGAATCAAGTGGATTGCTAGTACGTGTGCGGCATGCGAGTTTTGCCTGAATGGTGTCGACGAAGTCCACTGTGTGAATCAAATAAATAGTGGATGTTCAGCCCCGGGCACATTCCAAGAATACTGTCTAGCTGACGGGAGATACTCGTCGAAGCTACCAGACGGGGTGAAGGATGAAGAAGCCGGGCCGATTATGTGTGGTGGCGTGACTGCCTACTCGGCGTGCAAACGGTAAAAAGATTCTAATCTGCCTTGGGAACCACGACAGTTACTAAGTTTAAGTCTGTTATAGATCTGGGGTTAAGCCAGGCCAATGGATCGTGCTACCTGGGGCAGGTGGTGGTTTGGGCCACTTCGCGATACAATATGCTCGGGCAATGGCTATGAGGGTCATCGCTATCGATAGCGGTGACGAGAAGCGCGACCTTTGTCTGAAGCTTGGCGCTGAAGAATTCATCGACTTCAAAGCTACAAAGGATGTTTCGGCGGAGATCAAGAGGATCACGGCTCATGGTGCCCACGGTGTCATCGTGACTGCGGCAACAAAAGAAGCTTACGCTTTAGCCCCTTCATTCCTCCGACCAAACGGGACTATGGTTGTGGTGGGTATGCCCAGGGATGCAAGTTTAATTGCAGGTGCCGCACCTATTTCGATGGTGATTAATAGGCTTAACGTGGTTGGAAGCCTTGTGGGAAGTCTAAACGACGTCAAGGAAGCCTTGGACTTTACCGTGCGAGGCCTCGTACACGCAAGTACCCCCCACTTCTGCTCTACTATAATTTCCGCAAGGCTAATTCGAAATAGCCAATTTTGTCGAAGGGAAAGTTGGAAGATCTAGGTGCATTTATCAAAAGGTTGCAGGCTGGCCAGCTGGCCGGTCGTGGAGTCTTGCAGGTCGCGCCGTGAACGATCATGTCGAGCACTTGTTGGGAACATATGTTTTTACTCATGCACGTAGTGTTTGTACGTCAACATATGCAGGCTCCACATCCTCTGGTTTTTTTAAGTGTTTGGCAGGTGCGACGTGGGCGGTTTTTAATTTCATTCTCGGGTGCTTTAAATTGCATCAATCACCCGGACTCGGGCCAAGGCCCTGATGCTAGCTTAATTAACACGTGTAGAGAAGGTTGCTTTATCCAGACCGCTCATCCCTGCATACCTAAGTAGGCACCTATACTTAGCTCTTGCTCAGTGAGTAACTCGGGGCCCTCAAAATATGATCAGTGATCAAGTCAGAGTACTCAGGAAGGTACTCGCTTTTGCCCAGTAATCAAAAGCGGCAAGAGCTGAGCATCAAGATAGAGGGAGAAATTTTTCGAGTGACAAAGATTGTCGGGTACATACGTACCGGATAATGCCTGGCGCTTGAGACTTTCCCCTTTCCATTTTAGTGCTCACCTCTTGCCGCTTTTTGCTCTCAGAGTAAAATTGAGCACGCCTCCGAGCGACCTGATCCGCTCACTGAGTGTTACATAATCAAACTGATCTGCTCACTGAGCATCACCTGGTGGTCACCTGAGCACCCTAGATCTACAACGGTCTACCCTATAAAGATTCACCACCTCCACAGTGGCGGTGTAGAGATCTGCAAAATTTAGTCCTAGTGAAATTTAGCACTCTGTATTCACCATGTATTGCTTTGCTCTTGAATTCTTCCTTCTTCAACTACCCTCTCTACTAGTCTT